CCCCACAGCCACCTACGTCTCCTCCTCCTCCTCCTTTCGGGGCAGGGCAGGGACTCGGAGCCTCACTGGAAGCCTGAGGAAGCTGGAGAAAGCCTCTCTCAGCATGGCGCCAACAACGGTGGAAGCCCCTGAGCGGGCCCCTTGACAGCCCAACGCCAATCCCAGGTGCGCAGGGAGGAGCTGGGCGGCCACCTCAGTGCCTCGCTTGGCCCTGAATTCACGCAGAGCCCACAGCAAAAGAGTCCGCTCAGCATCCTTGGGAGCCCAGCGCTGTGCACCACTAGAGACAATGGTTAAGACGTCCCTGCAGATGATTGTGGGGGAGGCAGGATGATGTAATTATTCATGAAGTCAGATACACATCCATGCCTCTGTACAGATGCCAAGCATACTGAAACAATCCCAGGTTAATATGGAGATACAGATAACCTAATCAACCAATTGCAAATTCTCAATGCGAGCATTTTCGAATCAAATGAGCTCAGTCCTCCAGGGAAATCCGGCTCTGGTAGGTTTTAACAAAAAAGATATACCTCTAAATTACAATTCTCAAGGCAAATTTCATCGCTGAGGTCATGCTGAAGTATCATCCAGTGATCCAAATTAGTGTCAGGTATTTTTCTTAGTTATGTAGCAACCTCAGTATATATGACACTTTACAAAATATCATAAGCAAAAAAACGATGGTCCCAAGAAGCTTACAATCTAAATTTTGACAAAGATAGAGGAACAGAGAGAGAGGAAAAGAAGGGGGGGTGGGATTCAGAGAGACCAGAGTATCAAAGGAAGACTGGGGATGGGATATAAAAGCAACAGGCATAGTCACATCAGATAAAGTGGAAACAAAAGACTTTTAAGTACCGTATTTTTTGCTCCATAAGACACACTTTTTTCCTCTTAAAATCTAAGGGGAAATGTCTGTGCATCTTATGGAGCAAATGTGTGGTCCCTGGGGCTGGAGAGGGGGAACAGGGGCTTCCCCCGTCAGCCCCAACCTGCTCTTTGGGGCTGGGGGTGGGGGAAAGCTGGGCTTCCCCCACCGCCAGCCCCACAAGCTCCTGAGCAGCTCTGGGGTAGCCTGCAAAGCCTCCGCAGGGCAGCAGAGAGCCTTCATCCTGCTGCCCTGGGGAGGTTTCGCGTGGCTATCCCTGGCTTTTGTGGGAGGTGGGGGAAGGGACAGAGCAAGGCTCTCTCACTTCCCCCACCTCCCGCAAAAGCCCCCAAGAGCCGCATATGTTTTCTTGAATCCCCCCCCCCCAAAAAAGTAGGTTCGCCTTATGGTCAGGTGCGCCATATGGAGCGAAAAATACGGTAACTTACAAATGGAAGTCGATTAGACAAAAGGTTGATTCACATGTTAATTCCTATGTAGCAATTTTATCACATCATTTACACATGGGGAGTTGTTGGTGTGAGCCAGCAGTCCCTTGAAATACTGTGTTGCAGTTCTTTGACATCCCTAGTCAGAAGTGACCCTTCTCCCGTGAGCACTAAGACTGGTCCATTCATCATGGTTTGAAGGTTGTTGCTTTACTAATTTATCTCAGCTGCAGAAGTTGCAGAAGCCAAAAGCAACCTGGGTTGTTAAGTAAACTAAGGTCCATCGTAAACGTGGTTGGCCTTCAGGAGTAGCATCCTGTGTCCCCTAGCATGTGGTTCAAGAGTTTGGAGGTGTGCATTACCACCACCATCATCATCATTATTTATTTTTATTTATTTTTATTAGTTTATTGAATTTATCTACTGGCCTATACCTGGAGGTCTCAGGGCAGTTCACAGAACAAAATCAAAATATTATTAATTCTTATTAATTGCCTACCCTTCAACCTAAGGTCCCACAGCAGGTGAAAACTTAAAATACATTAAAAACCAGCTGAAAATAAATTACAGTCACAAGAAAAGACAGTGTCCTAAAAGTATACATTTAAAGTGTCAAAGGCCAGGGTAAAGAGGTACATGATGGAGACAGGATTCTACTGTGGCTTTGTGCCCTTGGAACACTACCTTAATCATCATCGGTCATTATTATGCTGACTTAGCATACAAATAGGCTAGGAATATAAGGCAAAATGGATGCACCCCACCAGAGAATTAGCTAATTGACAGTGGTCCATTCCTGTCGATGCCAAGTATGAATTATTTATGATATATTAATTTGCTATAGTAAATGCAGCGGGGGGAGGAATCCTAATTAAGGTTTGGTGTCCCATTGTGTGACATATTGCATATGCATGGATGCACCCTAATTAGTCCCACTGATGTCAGCACAGCAAAGAGATAGAGGGCTTGAGTTCTCCCTGAAAAACACTCTCAGGAGCAGCCACAGATGTTTTTCATTTTTAATTATAACCCTTATAACTGGCAAAACATCATCGTCATGGTTACATACCACACTATTATTTTAAAAACAAGAGCCACTGGAATGTTCAGCAAGTGGAGCAGCCGAAACAGCTTGGGATTCTTACTGTATAATATAATAGTGATTCATTAAAAGAAAAGCTCAGGTGCTTTGCCGTGTTGCTCCTTGCTAACATGCTTTGATTGCCCCTCCTGCCCAACCTACCATGGCTCTCATGTCACCAGAGAGATGCAAAGTGTTAACTAGCACTCCAGAGACTGAAACTCTGATATTTCCAGACAGAACTTCAGTGTTAATTTTGATAAATGAAAGATTCATGTCAGCTCTTTTTAGAAACACACAGATTTCTTTGAAGAATGCAAACAGGATTTATTTATTTTTTACAGTTGAATAAGATTGCCTGTCTGTCTATCTGTCTATCTATCTATCTATCTATCTATCTATCTATCTATCATTGTATCATGCCTTTGAAGCCCCCAGCCCCTAAGCCACAGTTGGCAAAAGACGTGATACCAATACAGAAACAACTGTTTGCCATGCTTATTGATAAATAAGGCAGGGATGGAAAACATTATTCAGCCAAGGAGTCAAATGCAAACATTTCTGTATGACCAAAAGCCATAGGCTTCCCATAGAATCTCAGAAAAGCCCCCACTCCAAGCTTTCTATCAACCCTGTGGTCTTGATCCCTGATGAAGGTGTGGAGGGTGGCCACACAAGAACAGGCCTTTTCAATGTTCTCCCCAGGGAGACACACCTGGAACCTTCCTTGTATGTCTTTGGGTGCCCTCAGGCCTTTCGTAGAATCATAGAATTGTAGAGTTGGAAGGGTAATCTAGTCCAACACCCTCCAGTGCAGGAATCTCAACTAAAGCATCCATGACTGATCCAAGCACGTTGGTCCACATCCTTGAGCCTTACTAACTGAAACTCATCCAACATAATAGGACTAGACAGTGCTCTGGACACCTCTTGAGATTCATCTGCCATAGCAGTGGAGTCAAGGTTGTGGCATATGCAAGTGACCATCCTTATATGTCTCTTGCCTCTGCAGAGGGGAAAAGGTGCCAAAAGCCTAAATCTCAACAGGAAGTGGCCTGACCATGACAAGGGGTTGATGTCAATATCCCCCACTTTCAGGTCACCCTCTTCCTGCCCAGTTGACGGGGGGAAAGCCCAGAGTGGGGCTAGCCACATGCATTCGGCCAGTGACAACTTGGGATAGCCCCATGATCATCATGGCAGCCATGAAGTTCTGAGCCATCCAAGAGCCAGTCGCCTTAGCATGGATGTTGAAGTCCCTTAAAACTAGTAGTCTGGGAGTCCTCAACATCATTTCCTACACCAGCTCTGTCAGCTCAGGCAGGGAGATTGCTGGGCAGCAAGACAGATGGTACATCAGCAGAATCTCTAATCTGTCCAATTGCCAAATGCCAGGAACACACACTCTAGATTTACCCCACCCCTCCACCAATCAACTGAAAAATGGAATAAATTGAGAACTCTCATTGTGATTTGGAAACCTCACTGTGAACTGACTTTAAGGTCAGTTACAGAGTGTTCTAGAAGCATGAAATCGGGACACTTCATAGCTGACTGGAAAGTGGTCATTAAAAGGTTCAATGTGAATTGATTTTTTAAAAATCACCCTACATGTGTTAATTGGCTTAACAACAAGTGGGTTTTTTTTGTTTTTGTTTTTTGAATGGCCTCTGCTAATAATATAATTATTACTGACTGTAGTTTCTGCATTTCATTCCCTCTGACTTCACTGTTTACAATCCCGCCTCAACCTAACTTTCTCTCTGTGTGTACAGTGGTACCTCGGGTTACGAACTTAATTCGTTCCGGAGGTCCATTCTTAACCCTTAAGAATTTAACTGTTCTTAACCCGAGGTGCGCTTTTGCTAATGGGGCCTCGCGCCGCCACTGCACGATTTCCCTTCTCATCCTGGGGCAAAGTTTGCAACCCAGAGCAACTACTTCCAGGTTAGTGGAGTTTGTAACCTGAAGTGTTTGTAATCCGAAGCATTTGTAACCTGAGATACCACTGTACTTGAGGCTCAAGGCAATATTTCATGCATATTATGTATATGGAAGTTTTTAATGTCTGGTGTCTTACTGTGTTTTAATAGGATGGAAGCTGCCTTGAGTGGCTGGGGAAACCCAGTCAGATGGGTGGCATATGATGATGATGATTTCTACCAGTACGGTTTGCTTACTGCTATTTTGTTAGTTAAGTACTGTGTGACTACAATTACATTTGCTTTATAATAGAGAATTTAAAGCACGAATTTTAATGCAATCTTCTTCTCAGAGTTCTTTTTAGAAATATAATGCTTTTCTACTTTGCATTTATTAATGAAGAACATTTAAAATACAATGCTATTGTCTTTAGACTAAAGAGCGGAAGTAAGGTTAGTAAGGGGTTTATGTTTGTTATCCTTATGTTAGCTTTTAAATATTCATTATCTTAACAGCACAACCATATCTTCTACTGAGAGTTGGATGATCGGGACATGATCACATTCAAGTCCCCTTGTCTTGGCATAACACGGGTAATTGCCAGCTTGTGCACCGAGTCAAAAGCTGTGCTGTTCCAGCAGAAGACAATTACACATGTAACTATGGCAGCTGAACCATGAGGCGCAAGAGGAAATATGGGCATGCAGGCCTGAAAGAACAGATGCCAGCTTATTTAGCATTTCAAGGTTGGAGTTGTCTCTTGTGCATCCATGTTCTAACAATAGAATACAAGAACACACCAAGGATCCATCAAGCCCAACAGCCTGCATCCAACATGATCAATCAGACATATTTGCAAGATGGAGTAAGTCATATTTTGTGTGTTTAAAACATCAGGTAATCACACACATGATAAGTATGATTAAGACTACAGTGCTGAAAATATGGCAATGCCAGTGAAATACAGTGGTACCTTGGTTCTCAAACATAATCCATTCCGGAAGTCCATTCGACTTCCGTAACGTTCGAAAACCAAGGCAGGGCTTCTGATCGGTGCAGGCGCCCCAGAAACAATAGCTAACAGCCGCATCGGACGTTTGGCTTCTGAAAAACATTCGAAAACCAGAACACTTCCGGGTTTTTGGCATTTGGGAGTCAAAATGTTCAAGTACCAAGGCGTTCGAGAACCAAGGTTGCACTGTACCATAAAAGCAGTGTTGGGCTTCGGCATGTCTACATTATGAAGCCGTTTCCAGAGGAGTAGCTGCATTGGGCTACAATCCTCATCCCAATTACCTGGGAGTAAACCCCACTGAACTCAATGGGACTTAGGCAGAGTTAGAAATGTTAGTCTTACAGCAAAAACAACAAAAAGTGTTGTGTGGAACTTTATAGACTAACAATTTTTACTATGAAACAAGCTTTCACGGACTACAGTGTCTGCTTCACCAAATGCATGAGGTGTAATCCTCAGTTGCAGGGATGTAACATAGTTGCAAGGGTGCAGGGAGTTCTTTGCAGTGAGGTTGGGGGGGGAATGAAAATGCAAAAAAAATAGATAGAGATGGTTTAATTAGGTAGAGAATGTATGCAAAATAAGCACAGTACAGTGTTACCTCGGGTTACATACGCTTCAGGTTACAGACTCCACTAACCCAGAAATAGTACCTCGGGTTAAGAACTTTGCTTCAGGATGAGAACAGAAATCATACTCCGGCGGCACGGCAGCAGCAGGAGGCCCCATTAGCTAAAGTGGTGCTTCAGGTTAAGAACAGTTTCAGGTTAAGAACGGACCTCCGGAACGAATTAAGTACTTAACACGAGGTACCACTGTAACTATTTACATCAGCGCATTTTGGGAAATGAGACAGTGCTGAGCTGACACAGAATCTGCTGGATCTCATCTGGCCTTGATGCTATCTTGTGACAGGACTGATGATCCAGGTGGGCGGGGTATAAATGATGATGAGGATGAGGATGATGCCTCTTTGTTGCAGCAGCCTGGGGATTGGTGTAGTAAAAAGCTTTCTCCCATATTTTCTGCCCTGACTGGTGGGGCTATGGATGCTGTGAGGGGGCAATGCTGTTCTGCCCCACTGCTGCTAACCAGGAGTTATACTTGCATCCTTGGAGTTTAACTTATCCTTGGAGTTTAACTTATGGATGAATTGCAAATGTACAGTTTCAGGCTGGAGTCTCCCAGTGGCATTCCTTTGTTCCTATTTTCAGGTAGGTAGCCGTGTTGGTCTGACGCAGTCGAAATAAAAATAAAATAAAATTCAGATACATTACACTGAAACAGAAATCACCAGACTGGGTGATTGACTCAATTGACTGTGTCAGACCAACCTACCTGAATCTATTTACCATACCCATTGAGTCCATCACCCATCTCCTACTACCCTTCTGAGGAAAACCCCACCCCACCCTCCCACTATATATAAGGATCTGGTGACTTCTGTTTCAGTGTATCTGAAGAAGTGTGCATGCACACGAAAGCTTATACCCAGAACAAACTAAGTTGGTCTCTAAGGTGCTACTGGACATTTTTTAAATTTATATTTATTTCGATTTTGTTCCTATTGCGATTGTTGTTGCTGTTGTTGTTGTTGTTGTTATTATTATTATTACAGCGTGACCTGGCGGACTGAAATGTTCCCCTACTGGCTTAGGGTTATATTGCCACTGATTTCTCCTGCCAGGCTTGAGGCTCTAGCGAAACCCTCTCTCACCTGCCACACAACACAGCTGCCATCCTGGGGCTCCTACACACGCTGTATATAGAGAGCCGGTGACTGTCCTACTTCCTCACCCGCTCTCTCGTAAAAGGAGGGAAGTGACCTGCGCAGCCTCATCCGCAAGGGGCGCTAGAGCGCCCACACCATCCCGCGAGCCCCACCCCTCCCTTTCCGTTCCGGCCGCGCATCTCAGCCTTGGCTCCTCCCACCTCCGGCGCCACTTCTACGCCCCTCCCTTCTTGCGTGCTGACGTCTCCGGAGCTCGAGCGCCTGCTCGCTGCCCCTCGCGCGGAGGGAGGGGGGGCGGCGGCGGCGGCGCAGAGCAGTCTCTAATCGCCAGGCAGAGAGAGAGAGAGAGAAAGGCAGACGACGGCCGGCAGGAGGAGGAGGCGGGAGCAGAGTGGCGACGGCAACGACGCTGCTCCTTCGGCTTCAACCGCCTGCGGAGGGATCAGGCACAGCGGGAAGGCGACTCCCGTGAGGGAGGTGAGTGCGCGAGTGAACGCTGCCCTTCGGGGGATGATGGAGGAGTCGGCGCTGTGGTGGCGGAGGCGGCTCTATTGTGTCCGGGGCCTTCTTCGCTCGCCCCCCCCCCGCGCCAAATCCCCGCCTCTCCGCGGCCGCTTCGCTTCTTCCGGGCAGCGGCAGACCCGAACAAAGGCCCCGTGTCGTCGTCGTCGTTGTCCGCGCGCCCAGAGTGCACGAGCCGGCCTTTTTTGGGGGGGGGGGAGGAGGAGGTTCGCTCGCCAGCCCTCCCTCTGGGTCACCTATTGGCTCCGGCCTCTCGTCTCCCTCTCCCCTCGGATAGTCACTTGTTTGGGGAGCCATTAGCTCCCTCCCTCCAGCCCCCGACACGCGCAGCCACACTGGGGAGGTGCGTGGGGTCTCCTCCTCCTCCTCCTCCTTTTTTAATGGTGTTATGGGGAGGGGGGGTGTTTCTCTGCCTGACCATCCTTGCTGTCAAGTGCGCATTTATTTCCTAGAGATGTTTTTCTTCCTCTCTCATAGCCTCAGTCGCTGCTGCTGCTGTTGCTGTTGTTTTTCCTGGAGGTGGGGGGGGGGGAGAGCGTAAAACAAAAAACGACTCCCTCCTCCAGGCAGAATTTGGGGAAAGGCTGTCGTACTTGATACCCGTAAAGAATAATAATAATGTGCGATGACAACTTCTTGTTGGGCCGATTGTTGTTTACCATGGAAAGCTCTCTTCCAGGATTTCAAATACTGGTTGGTGGAAAGAGATATTGTTCCACTTGTGCTTTTCCTCTCAAATGAACAGGGGGGGGGTGTATGAAAAACACACACACACACTGCCCTGGCTCTCCCGTTGCTGCGCCACCTTTGAGGGGAGGGGACTAGAACAAAGAGCCACATGATACCATCGTTTGATACAATTGACAGCAGCTGATATTCAGGAACTGTCATTGTGAGGGGTAAAATAATCCGTATAAATATGATATTGTTATAAACCGAGAGAACGGCTGTAGTTGAAAAGCAGTACACAAATGCTTTTAAATGACCGTGTCATTTGTATGCTTTTAATTTTACTTTTTTTCAAAATGTTTTTCAGTTAAGAGAAAATGAGATGCCTGGCTAAACATAAGTATTTGGCCATGGGGCCTATTGGTAATTGTTTCTAATTTGAAAGGACTGCAGTTGGAAAACTTTACATTTAAGTACTGTAGTAGCTGCTGCACAGGGTTTTAAAATCTAACGTTTACGCATTTTTGTCACAACCACATTTTTTTTGGCATTGAGATCAAATGAAGCTAGCTCAATTTGAAATAGTTCAAAATATGTAATTTTCAGGTAACATAGCCACAGCTTTTGGAACAAGAGGTTTGAAGTTTTTAAAAAGTGAAATGATAAAGTTTGCTGGACAAATTACTTAGGCCATAGCTTTTTTAATGTTGATGGGTGCAATTGGAGCTGTACTCATTGACAATGTGAGTGTGTAAAGGTGCTTCATAAGTCCTAGAAGTATTAAACGCTAAATGAAGAGAGGACTATCCTGGCCTGGAAATCATTAAATGTGGTTCATTGTAGCCCATAAGAGATGGCTGAAAACATCAGAGGTGCCCTGATCCAGGTAACTGTAGCTACAGTATGCTGCTTCATGTCCATTGCTGCCCTTTGTACTGCACTCAACACAGCTCAGTTGAATGCAGTAATGCATGTTAGCCCACAGGTGCTGGCCCATAACTAGATTTGTACCATTTCACCCATCATCTTTTGCACCTTAGAACAGTAGACATGCAAGTGGAAGCTCAATAACACTAGCTTTGGATTGAGAATATTGGCTTGATAGTTCATGTCCTGATCCTAAATTTATATTGTTAACATAAAAACATGGCCTCACGTTAGGAGTACTGTATCTAGCTTTTTCTTTCAGCCTTTCTCAATGACGTTACAAGACTCCTGATAAAATACTTAAAGTTAAAGTTAAATTGCAATGAGATAACATGGATAGAAAGCACCCAGAAGTACTTTACTTCCATGATTCACAACTCTGAAATCTGACAACTAAGTGCTTTTAATGCTGCTCTTTATAGCAGTCAGTTTGAGTCTTGCTGTTTCCTCTGTGTATAAATGGGAGGTGAAAATAAGTTCCTGGTCTACTTTGTAACAAACACAAGAGATTGCTTCTGTGCTGAATGTGGAATACTATTAGGAATAGATAGTAAGGAGATCTTATATTTGAACAGCAGCAAATTGGGTAATCTAGGCCAGAATAATAATTATATGCAGTGTGCCTATTAGGATGCTTTAATGTGCTTTATACATAGTTTTTTTGGGGTTTTTTTTACCAGCAGTAAGATGGGCTTCTATGTTTTCGCTGTGTTCATATTTGATCTAGATGACAAAGTCCAAATGAAGAACAACACAACAACAGACACATGGGTTAAAATCTGGTGGCCACTGAGAATACATGATCAGAACCAAAAAGCATTTAAGAACTCCCATAAGCAGCACAATAAAGTGAATTGAAATGGAACCAGTATTTTCCCACTGGAGCACATCACAGTAGGATATATACTATATCTGAATTTAGAATTGAACATTCTGGGTCTGTAATCGGTTTCTGCTGAAATGAGAGGGCCGATTGCTTTTGCGCCTACTAAGTAATAAATTGATTTGACTGTGATTGTTGAAATTTATTCTGTTTTAGAGAAATGCCATAGCATGTTTTTCCTGATGCCTCTTGGTCCACAAGGCCTTTCAGTTGTACGTGTTCCATCAAGTTAGTCTTTTTTAAAAATAGGGCACATTATTTTTAAGCTTTTTAGTAATTTGAGATGAGGTACCCAATGATATTCAGCTTTAGAACTGTGGCTTCATATGGAAAATCAAGTTGGTATCAAGGAATATCAACTTAAAATAGAAGCAAATAAATTTATTGTGTATAAAAAGATTAACACACATATCCTTATGAAAGATAGTTTAAAAAAAATTACCTACAACCCTAGGATGCTACATATCCAAAGAAAACAGTCATTTATCAAATGCAGATGTGCAAACAACTCCTGGTATCTTATGCATTCTTTTCTGAGAAAATGCCTATTGGTCTGTAAGTGCTTAGCCTGGAACATAGGGTAGATGAGAGCATCCTACATGAGTATTGTAATATGAGTAAGTCATATTGGGGGACTTAATGGCAGTGATATTAGACAGTAGTAATTTCAAAAGAATGAGACTCTAATCTCATAGATTTCACTGGGTCCACTAGCTGTATGCCAGTCCCCTTGATCTAGAGAAGTTGGCAAATATCAGAGTGAGCACCTGAGTGCAGGTGCTATTAGCACTGCATTGTTTTCAATGGAATGTTAATCCTCTCCCTGTAATAAACTTTTTTAGGAAAGTAATTACAGGTGCCAGTTTTCACTTGTATGACATAGAAGTCATAGTTTGGAAGGAATAGACAAAATGTCCAGGTTGGCATAAGCTACTGTATTTTTTGCTCTATAGGACGCACTTTTCCCCCTCCAAAAATGAAGGGGAAATTTGTGTGCGTCCTATGGAGCGAATGCAGGCTTTCGCTGAAGCCTGGAGAGCGAGAGGGGTCGGTGCGCACCGACCCCTCTCGCTCTCCAGGCTTCAGGCAGCTATCTGCAAGCCTTCTGAGCGCGGCGGGAGTTCCCACCGCGCTCCGAAGGCTTGTGGAACGCAGCCTTTTCTCCGCAAGCCTGCTCTCCGCAAGCCTTCTGAGCACGGTGGGAGTTCCCATGACACATATATTTGCAAAAAGCTTGTCAAGCTGTAAGATTGGGGGTGTTTTAAGAATGGCTGATGTAATATATTATTATTTATTGCCAAATTTCATGGACTCCAAAAAAAGTTTCATGACACCACAAATCATACACATGTCCAGAATAGTGTCCTTTTGATGTGGCAGTGAATTGTGTCTTTTCCAGCAATTTGGGTGCAAGACACTATCAAAAGTATCACTCTATCATATAACAGACAAAATATGTAAACAGGAGCTGGAGTTGTGCACCCCACAATAAGGAGACTGTTTCCTACAATATGACATAAAATAAACTTTGAGAGTCTCATTGAGAATTGTTTCCAGGAGATGTAGACATATAAGTTATAGTGGCCCAAAGCTGAACTTTGTTCTCTCTCTCTATTTCAGCAATTATTGGCATTATTATATTATAAGGACAAGGAACTTAAAAAACTTTGATTCACCTCAAGTGGTACAGGAGAGTGTCTTCTACAAGATGACTTAAAATATGTCAAAATATATAGAATATAGTCAAAATATGTAGAAGAGAATAAGGAACTGGGGGCTGTGTACCCCATAATATATTTGTCCTACCAGCAATCGTATAAATAATAATAATAATAATAATTTATTACGGCCGTAGGCCCATACAGATAAAAACAAGACATAAATAACAGCCTGTGCACATGGGAAAAAAACAGCCGCTAAAACACTACTATAACAATAAGCTACTATAAGATGGAATGGCATACTACGCCTTAATTAGCTTGTGGTGCTCCTTGGCGACGCTTTTGGGTAAGGACAGCGACCAGGAACCTAGCCACTTTCAGGGTCGTATGGGCATCCTTATCCTGCAAGATTTGGGCAAGGTGGAATTTTGGTGGAGTACCCTCTAATTTCTGTATGATTGATCCCAACAAGTTTGCCCGTGGCACCTTAAATAAGGGGCAAGTGAACATAATGTGCTGAAGCGACTCCGGCATCTCCTTATCACATTCGCACATGGCGGAGGTTTGGCCCTTTGAGAATCTATGTCTCAGGACATTGGAGGCAAAAACATTAAACCTCGCTTTGGTGAAGGCCAGCCTATGGGCAACAGTCGAAAGGGAGGAGAGGTATGATGGAACGCAATAAGTTAAAGTGATACCAATGTTCTGGGGCGAACAAACACCTCCCCCCAGCATATAATTTTGCTGTAAATCGATGTCATCCAGTCTTTGGCGGATCAGTCTTTGAGCAGTGATTTGATCTAGTTTTAGGGAATCTAAGGGAGAGATTCCATAGCTCAGGAGTTTGGCATGAATTCTACTGGTCCAAAGGCTGGGGAATTCATCTCGCCATAAGCATTGGGCAAGGTAATGGTCTGGTAATCTATGCCACAATGATAACCAATAATTGAAGACTTGCTTCCACAGGCAGGTTTCTAAGGATGCGATCCTCAATTCTAAACGCATGGCTGCGTTGCTTACGCACAGGGGAGCATTAGGAGCCGACGTAGGAATTGGTTTTGCAAAGTCTCAAGAGGAGCAAGGTCTGTCATCACGACCCAGAGCGGGGCAGCATAAGCAAGCACGGGAACCACTTTTGCCTTGAACACCTTTAGGGCCGGGGAACATGCAAAGCTCCATCCGAAAAGAAAAATCGGAGGAGCGCATATGACAGAGTTTTGGCCTTATTAAGTAGGTGTTGAATATGTGCTTTCCACCCCAAATTGTATTGAAAAATAACTCCTAGGTATTGAAATTTTAGGACTTGCTCTATTTTTGCTCCACCAAGCTTCCATTCGTATAATCTCCGACTTCTGGCGAAAATCAGAATCTTAGATTTAGCATGATTGATGGTTAATTGGTTGAGTTGACAATACGTGGCAAAGATCTTCAGAGCTCTGGTTAGTCCAACACGTGTATAAGATAGAATTACCGCGTCGTCCGCATATAAAAGGAGTGGACAGCGGTAATCCGCTAGTCTAGGCGCATGTGTACTTGGAGATGAGTTGACTAGGGGTGCTCGCATGTCGCTGATGAATAGATTGAATAGGCAGGGGGCCAATATACATCCTTGGCGCACTCCCTTGTTTATTGGTATCGAATTTGTGAGGTCGCCCGCAGGAGTAAGTCTCACTCTGGCAAGGGTACCTTCGTGGAGCTGACTTATAAGCCATAAGAGCCTTCTATCGATGCCCTGTTTCGCAAGTTTCTCCCAAAGAATATTTCTAGGAACGCTGTCGAAGGCTGCCTTAAGATCTAAGAAGGCAGCACACAGATAGCCCCGGGAGGGAGGAGTACTTCCGTGCCAGATGGTAAAGAACTATCGCATGATCAGTTGTAGAGCGTTTAATTCTGAACCCTGCTTGTTCGGTGGCCAATCTGGTTAGTCTCATCTACCCATCGCGATAGTTTCGTCAGCAAAAAGCTGGCATAAATTTTCCCTATGATCGAAAGGAGGCTGATGTTACGGTAATTTTCCGGCTCCATTGGAGAACCTTTTTATGAATTGGTACTATAATGGCCTCCTTCCATATTTTGGGGATGATACCAGAAGCGTTGATTGCGTCGAAGGTTTTGGCCAAGATGCCAGCCCACCATTTTGGGTGTAGTTTGATGGCTTCAGCAGGGATCAGGTCGGGCCCTGGGGCTTTGCCCAATTTCAGCTGGGCTATTAGCTTGGCTATTTCGTCAGGATCGGTGGGAGGCCAAATAGGTAGGTGGGAGAACAGATGCATCAGATGGTCGGAGGGAGCATCTGCCTGTGAGAAACATTTCTTCAGGAACAATTCCCATGTCGGTGCAGGGATGACTGCCCTTGGGTATTTCCTCACCCTTCTGTTAATCAGAGACCAGAATTCCCTGGATCTATGTGATTTTGACAATCGTATAAAACATACTCAAGATATATGTCCTGTATAAGGTGGCATAGATTCTAATAGGCTTCATATTGGGCACAATATGTTTTCTAGTGTATGGGTTCACACCAATAACTACAAAAGGGTATAAACTAACTGCTGATGGTTTGAGTGTATTTTTTGGGGTGTGGATATATGATTTGTAGTGATCTAAAGCTTATTTTGGGGTGCATGCCCTCAGTTTCTTGTCCTCATCTACATACAGTATTTTGGCAATTAATGCATTATGCCATTATAATTTAATTTAATATAATAGGCTATTTTAGAAGTCCTCTCCTATAAGCATATTCAATATACATCTCATTGAAAGCAATTTAATGTGGAAGATGTCACATAAAGATGTGTGTTTTGAAATGTGTCTGAATTATGCACATACAAGCATCTTGCTCATACTTGTCTCCTCCAGATTGTGGAAGTGGCTGCGTTTTCGTGCATATGGTATTTTATACTTGATAGATGTGGCAGGACCATCTTTCTACATTGTGATTCGACATGGCTGTGGCCAAATAGTAGAAATATACGATTGTGCCAAACCTAGCTATGTTGATGGTTCTTAGATGTGATGGTGTCTTGACTCTCTATCCTCCATACTGTTTTCAGTGTAATGCCTTGACTTTAGATCTAAGAGAATTACTTTAGTTGAAGTTCATCTGCCAACACATTTTTTTCTGTGAAATTTCAAATGAGCTACACAGTCATATTTGGTTTTTCTGTGTCAACTGGGGAAGGAAAACTTTTGGGTTCTAGGAAGAACTTTTGTTCTGTACAGCAGCTCACTTGACAATAAGGAATTACATTCCCAAGGTTACTAGCTAAGATGCTTTTGTTGCATTTATACAGCACCATTCTAGTTTTCAGCCTTCTTATTTCTCTCTTCCTGACCTATTTCATTGCTCATTTGTGCCCCTTTCATGCCTTAATAGATGAATAGCTTACCTTTTCTGGGTGTCACCAAATGACATAGGAACTGCAGAAAAGTAACTCACAACTTACATGCGTTTAACTTGTGCACATTCAGCTTTATGCACTTGACAAAAAAAATTAAAAAGCGGCAGGCATCTGGGAATGAAGACTTTGGGAATCGCACTCACCATTGAACCCAATGTGTTTTGACTATATGTGATTTTCATTTTACGCACTGTCCCTAGAATGTAACCCCAGCATAAGTTGAGAGTCACCTGTATCTAATACACCTCTTCCTCTGTGTCCTACACTTTCTTGGTGGTTAATCTCTATTTGTCAACCCATCTATCCTGACAATCTCCAAGACTGAGAATGTTCAGATGTGCCGTAAGACTTTACTGATTTAGCCAGTGTTTAGTGAGTGGAAGTAAATAAGCAGTGGTCCACAAAATAAAGCACACAGTTCCTTTATATAAAGATAAATGAACATGTAATTGAAGTATTTTAATCTTGCTAGGAGAGTTTGTAAGTACTGGATCTTCAGTGCATCATAGGTTAAATGCAGTGATTGAGTGAAATCATGTTCTAAACTTGCCTTGAAAACATTTATAGCCTTTAAAAATATTATTACCTTATTTTTCGTCCTATAGGGCGCACCGGCCCATAGGACGCACCTCGTTTTTTGGGGGGGAAATGAATAAAAAAAGATTATCCCCCCCCCCCCAGTTGCGGCTGCTGCTGCAAGGCTTGCGGACACCCGCCCGAAGCACGGGGCACCCTCCGGAGGGCGCCCCGTGCTTCGGGCTGCAGGCTGCTGCCCGCAAGCCTTGTGAGCCCGCGGGAACTCCCGCCGGGCTTGCAAGGCTTGCGGATAGCTTCCTGAAGCCTGGAGAGCGAGAGGGGTCGGTGTGCACCGATGCCTCTCGCTCTCTAGGCTTCAGCGAAAGCCTGCATTCGCCCCATAGGACGCACACACATTTCCCCTTCATTTTTGGTGGGGAAAAAGTGCGTCCTATGGGACGAAAAATACGGTACTTCAATCTTATAATTATACTGTGGTCCGTTTCCTAAAGATAATTACATGCTTATTTCAATAAAAAGCACACTTTCTTAACTCTATGATAAATCTTTAATTTTTTATCTCCTTTTTTTCATTATTCATCCATCTTCCTTCCATTCTGTCCATTGGAGGCTGGTTTATCCTTGCAGGTGGAAAACATTTTGACTTTCAAGTAGCATGCACTTATGATTCAAAGGCTGTTGCACTGCAACATTTTTCAGAACAAATTTGTTCTGTCTGATAGGCAACTTATGAGGTGGTGGATGGTTAATGGTATTAACCTTGATGTACAACGTAAGGCCAAGTGGACTGGTTTTATCTCTCCTGGGGGAATTCCAAATGCCTTTTGTTTGCAACCTTTTCCTGTGCTTTTTGGGGAAACAAGGCCTGCAAGTATGTATCAAAATTCGAGATGGGAGAATGACTACATCACTATATGTACCTTGTTTCTTCCTGAATTTAGAAGCATGTTACAGAGTTTGTGACAGTTTTTCTAGCCTCATACAGCCAGAGCACCTGAGGCACATTTACCATATGAATTTCTGGGAGAATGAAAAGCTAGTATGCTTCTGAAGCAGAACACTGGAAGAAGGGGATAGGGATCAGGGATGTGAAAGAAGTGGCGCAAAACAAGACAGTGAATAAAGGCAGAACTGAGACCTGGTTGAGAAAAATAGGGCCTTCAGCAAGACAGTACTGTTACATTAGAGCTGGGAGTGCAGGAACCTGCAGTGTTGCAGATAACGAACAGTTGTGGGGTACAGAAAAAGGGGTAAGATACTGGGAACAAGAGAGTGCACTATGAGGAGTTCAGACAGAGCTGTGTAGATGCAGAGAGGAGATCCCACTGTGAGGTGCAGAGAGAGACAGAAAGTTGTATGATAGATTAAAAAAACATATGGAGTTACAATTTTAACTTAAACTATTTTTTATTGTTAACATAGCACCTGGCTCTCATGAGTTAGTAGAAATCTAAAAGTGGCACTCCAAGTGAATTGTGTGTCTCTGCCCTAAAGTAATGTTTTAAAAAGAAAAATCACATGACACCTGTCTGCCTGGTTATAGCCTTTTTTATTTTTTTAAAAAAGGAAAAAGGTTGTGAAACAATTACATGCAGCACACAAGGGACTTCAGTGCAGAGGTTATTACTCAAAAGTTTTAATTGGAAGTTCAGCCAAAATCTTCCCAAAGCTCTTTTCAATTATGTACATTACCATTAACCTCTCTGCAGGACTTGTCGATTTCTTGACTTTATTTAGCAGTATTCATATGAGATGAATTTAATGTATGCAGTAAAATTTCACTTAAATAGATCTGCTTAGGCAATTGAAAGTTCTGCATCCCCAAGTTCAATAAAAAGTGCCTTTCAGTGTAACCTCTCTAGCAGAAAATGAAATGTAATGCATCTTGGTTAGATAGCCGTCTAGACATTGTGTTTTAAAACACTAACTGCACAGGACTGGTAAATGCTGTGAAGCAGAACCTTTCAGTTTGGGATGAGTTTGAGGTTTGCCATGAGAGAAGTCTGCATATGATGAGGAGAAAGGAGAGCATTGTATTAGGTTAAGTGGTAGGATTTGAATTTTGGGTGCCTTTGCCCTGGAACCTGCAGACCTCAAAATATCCTGCCCTAATAGTCCAATAGAATATTCAAGAAATAATATGATGGCTTTTGACGTTCAACAGACTGGTTCCCCAGCCTTCCAGTGGACTAACATATTCTAGAGCAGCTTACTTTAATTGCCAGCATGAATTGATTGATTTTTATTTTATTTAGCAAAATTAATTGTATACTGCTTGATCGTTTTATTTTTGTAAACCACTTAGCAGTTCTACTGGCAAACATCAAAACTGTCAAGAGAATACAAAGTTAAATCAGGTATTTTTAAAAATTCAAAATGGAAATAAAATAAGCAGTTAAGCAATAAAAATAGATTAAAACACATGTCAGCTTCTACATATCTGGATAGGCTTGTCTGAACAGAAATGTTTTTAGCTGGTACTGAAAAGAGTAAAGTGAAGCCTCCTGCCTGATGTCAATAGGCAGGGAGTTTCAAAGTGCAGGTGCTGCTAAACCTAAAGACTGATTTCTTACAAGTGCAGAATGAATGTTTTGTGATGTTAGTCCTGCAGATCAAAGTGGTCAGGTAGATATATAGGGTATGTTGATCGCTCAGGTAAATTCGTCCTAAGCTATTATATGCTATAGTATATGCTAATAGTAACACCTTGAAACTTGCTTGGTAACAAATAGAGAAGTAGTGCTATATGTTGACAATGTCTCTCTTCTGCCAGCAACTTTACTGCATCATTCAGCACTAACTGCAGTTTCCAGTTCAAGCTCAAGGGAAGACCCACATTGAGTACATTGCAGTAATCCAGTTTTGAAGTTACTAATGCTTGAACTGGGATGCGGGTGGCGCTGTGGGTTAAATCACAGAGCCTAGGACTTGCCGATCAGAAGGTCGGCAGGTCAAATCCCTGCAACGGGGTGAGCTCCCATTGCTCGGTCCCTTCTCCTGCCAACCTAGCAGTTTGAAAGCATGTCAAAGTGCAAGTAGATAAATAGGTACTGTTCCAGTGGGAAGGTAAATGGCGTTTCCGTGTGCTGCTCTGGTTCGCCAGAAGCGGCTTAATCATGCTGGCCACATGACCCGGAAGCTGTACGCCGGCTCCCTCGGCCAATAAAGTGAGATGAGCGCTGCAACCCCAGAGTCAGCCACGACTGGACCTAATGGTCATGGGCCCCTTTACCTTTACCTTAATGCTTGAACTACTATGGAAAAGTCCTCCCTGGCTGTAGGTGTTGTACAGGCTGCAGTTGGTAAAGCACACTTCTAGCCACTTAAGTTGCCTGGGCCTCCAGTAACAAAGATAGATCCAGACTGCAAACCTGTTGCTTCAGAGGGAGTGCAACCTGTCCAGAGCTGATCGGTTTCTCAGACACGAGAACCACTCACCTACACAGTCTCTTTGATCTCAAAACTGTTTGCTACTTTGATCTTAAAATGACTTAAGAGAACATATCCATGAAATAAAAGAAAATGCTTCAGATGTAATAACTGAGTAACTGAGTTCACTGTGGAAGAACCTCCAGCTGGCTTAACTGAAACTTTTGCCATTGCCTCCTCTGCTCCCAGAACCAATTCCATTCACATCTGCTCTGTCTCATTGAAGCAGCAGGAGAGGCAAGACGGTGTACGTAACGCCATCAATTGAACTGACTGGGACCAGCTGCCATTTGGCTCCTCCTCTCCCAGAACTGTTTTGTTCACTGATTCTGACATCCTTGTCTATGGCACAGTGGGTCAGTGCGGCTAGCTGCTAACCACAATATTGGCAGATACAGGCCACTCAGAGATGGCTGTGGGCAGGATTGCAAGGGGTTGGACTAGATGACCCTTGGGGTCTCCTTCAGCTCTACAATAAAATAGTGGACTACTAAATTTGCTTATTTTCATCCCCATCTCTTTTTGTACTTGTATTGTAAGCCACTATTATCATTGTGTGTTATCATGGCTAGTTGGACAGAAAGCTGCTATTTATAAATATAGTTCATATTTATAGTTCATAAATATATTTATATTATATTTATAGTTCATAAATATAAATAACTGGTTACTCTAAGTCTGATAGCTCTTTATTTTCTCCTTAACTTGCAGTGGTACGCTGGCATTGCCCATGTCCAGAAAGCAGCATGCAAGAAGAATAAGTTGTTAACTGGGAAACAAGGCACTCAGCTCTGATTAGATACATATAAAGATGGTTTAATTTTGCAATATGTTCCAAGAAGAGTGATAAGAAGAAGAAAAAGAAGGTAAGGTCAATGTGATGTAGATCTTGTATGTGTCCAAGTATGGAGTTGGCATTTCAAATGTGACTTGTACTTGATACGGTAAACTACAAGTGCATAGTAAAAAATTCATCCCTTCTCAGACATCAAGCTAGAGAGAGGTTAAAACTAGCTGTTTTGTCAGTACGTGGCTGAGGAACTCTGAGAACCTTGGCTGCCCACTGCCAAAACAAGCTCCATTCTTTTGTTCTGTCTTCAGGTGGGGAGGGTGGGCTGGCTTTTGAAAATGAGCAGCTGAGGTATTTGGAGTAAGTGGGCAGGCCAGCACTGTAGAAGCCCCTTCTGCCTCGCTACAGCTGTAAGCTAGAGAATGAAAGGGATTGTCTCTGGTCATCTGTGAAGATGCTGTGTGAGGTTGGGGACTAAAGCTGCAATCCTTAAAAGTTCTTACTTGGCACTAAGCACTACTGAATGCAGGGATTTACTTCTGAGTAAATTCATAAGAAGGTGGTAAAGGGGAGTAGGTGAATGTTTAACTGTGTTTCTGGTGCATTTTTTTTTACTTATTTTGGTTTTCTGTACACTACAATATTTTAAAATGTGAGCCATCTTATAAATCTTTAAAATAAATAAATGTTTCTGGCAATCTCATGTTTTTGTTTGATTACAGGGGCCAGCCTAAACTTGTTGAACTCTGTTCCCTTGCTAAACAAATGCTTTTGTACTGTTAATGGGCATTATGAGGCTCTCAATGCATGCTGTCACTTTTTAATTGTGGAATTACTCAGGTGTACCAAGTTCTCCTTTTTCTACTTGGTTTCCCAACCTGCTGGGACACCCAAGTAAGTGGATATAGGATTGCAGACTTAGTCTATGTGTTGCACAAACCTTCACACAAAATCTCACCTTGGAATTTGTAAAATCCAGAATACATAAGCCAGATTTTTTCAACCTTTTTGTGTCCACGGCTCCCTTGACCAACTGCATTCTTTCTGTGGTACCCCTGTGGGGCTCAGAATCCCAGTTATGTCACCCCTTGCCTGCAGAGCTGGCAGCCTCTCACCCTTTTTTGAACACCCTCCCTTGTGGAGTGTTCCCTCAGCCTCCTCTCCTCTCCACTCTCCTTGGGAGTCTTCTGGGCAGCTGCTGCTGCAGCCCTTAGTCTCTGAGCTGCCCCCCCTTCCCCAAAAGGAGGTGCCTCCTCACACTGCCCCACAGGGGTCTGGGAAGAGGATGCCCCCAGCCTTAGTGGCTCAATGGAGACTGGCCAAATGTGAACCTGAGGCCTGCACCTTACCTTGGAAGCCAGCCCCAGAGGCACCATTTGCTTGCGGAGGTTATAGCCAGGGTTGCTACAACAAACAGTTGTGCAAGCCTTTGGGAGGCAGAGATGCAAGAGGGCATCAGAGGAAGGAGGGAAGGAAAGAAGGCCAGAGGCCAGTGTTGCCGTGGCACCCCTGACCATCATTCAAGGCACCCCAGAGTGCCATGGCACACTGGTTGAAAACCACTGACGTAAGCAGATAACCATGGTTTTCTATTCCTGAAGTCACATGTTCAGACATCCTAGATGAATCAAGCAACTGTTGACTGAATTTTGTTAAATAAATACAGTAGACTTGGGCTAAAATCTTAATTCAAATATCTTTCTGGCCTTGTGTTTGCGAAATCCAAACATGTAATCAAGATTTGGGACCCAGATCCTCTGACTTAACTGTGTCCAATTTTTTGATGTGTGATATTGTGCTGTGCTATATGCAAAAAGTAGGGAATCAAGACTGACCAAGGCCAAACACTCTTTTGTACAGATTGTGATGGTTTCATTAATTCTTTGACAAAAAGCCATGACATTTGTTCACTTCACTGTCATCTCATCAAAAATTGGAAGGAGCATGATTGACACTTGTTTTATTTATACACATATGCAGAATATACAATCTACTGAATGTAAGCAACATGCTTCAAATAAATAAAATGCCTACAAGAATAAAAAGTTGCAGTAATACAGATGTTATAAACTCCTTGGATGGGGAGTATGGGGAAATAAGGAGATCTGTGCTTATAGCACTGAAAATACATTAAAATGAGTGCCAGGCAGGCCCATCTGGGGAAGGAATTCAAGTAAATAAAATGCAATAAGAAGGCCATTTCTCTACTTGCCATTTACCTGAGATGGCAGGGTAACTAGAGAAGACTTTTGGTGCATGGGCAGGTTGATGCAGAAGCATGTTCCTTCAAGTATTCAGGTCTCAACCTCTGCAGGGCTTTAAAGTTAAGCACCAGTGCAGTAAATTGGCTCTACAAACAGACCAGTAGCCAGTAGAGATCTTGACGCACAGACAAGATATGATCCCAATAACGAGTCCTGGTTAGTACCAAAAACAGCTGCTAAGATACTAATGGCAGCTTCTGAGCAGAAAGCCCCTGAACAAGGTACTGTGGTAGTATAGCAAAGTTACTGTAGGTAGGCTGTATCTCTCCAGGAGGGGCTGCATCTGACATAGCTGGTGGAAGGTACTCTATACCATACTGGCCCTGCACTGATGAAGATGGATCTGTGGGCACCCCTGTCCAGAACAGATGACACATAGGAACTACTACCACCATTTACATATTCTCAGTTTATTCATCATCATCCAGCCCCACCCCCACCCGTGATCTCAAGTATCAATTTTAAACTTCATTGCCTAACTTCAATCAGAGGCGAGGGAGCTGAATGTTTCATGCAGATAATTAGGGACCAGATAGGACCCTATAGTGTAAATTCCTAGGGCTTAGCAGTAGTCACCCAGCACAATGTTCCAGAAGTTCCATGTTACTTAACCAAGCACTAGAAGTGGTGATCAGAGGCAAAGTAGTTATGGAGGACAGCTGTCTTGGTGTTGAAACTTTAATATGCAATTTTGTTTCACCTTTTCTCTAGTGTGGTACTGTAAACTATCATATTTGCATCCTGTCGTTTATATATATTAGGTTGCTCATTTACTTCATTCTTGTAGAGTGAGCTTCATGTGCAGGCAGCAGCTTGAACCCCTATCTTCCAGCCCATATTTTCTGCAGCACACTGATTGTCATTGCAGATTGATATTTTGTTTTGTCTGTATATGATGCAGTTCATGTACATTTTTGTAGCTTTTTTCAGTTGTTATAAACTGTTTAGGATAAAGTCCTGTGGTTAAGCAAAGTAGGCTAACAGTAGGTCCTGCCAAATTATGATACTTTTGTTGTTCTCTAGGATGGCCGGTTGCGGTGAGATCGATCACTCAATCAACATGCTTCCCACAAACAAGAAGACAAATGAATCATGTTCCGGTGCAGCACCATCTCTCATGGTCCCTGAATGTGCTATCTGTCTGCAAACATGTGTCCACCCTGTGAGTCTGCCTTGTAAACATGTCTTCTGTTATCTGTGTGTGAAAGGAGCTTCCTGGCTGGGAAAGAGATGTGCACTCTGTCGTCAGGAGATCCCGGAGGACTTTCTTGATAAGCCAACCTTACTGTCACCTGAGGAACTCAAAGCAGCCAGTAGAGGCAATGGGGAATATGCCTGGTACTATGAAGGCAGAAATGGATGGTGGCAGTATGATGAACGTACCAGTAGGGAGCTGGAAGATGCCTTTTCCAAAGGTAAAAAGAGCACTGAAATGTTAATTGCTGGGTTCTTATATGTGGCAGATCTAGAGAACATGGTTCAGTATAGGCGAAATGAGCATGGACGTCGCAGGAAAATAAAACGGGACATAATAGATATTCCAAAGAAGGGAGTGGCTGGGCTTAGGTTGGACTGTGACTCTAATGCTATCAATCTAGCAAGAGAGAGCTCTGCTGATGGTGCAGACAGCACACCAGCTCTAGGAGCTGCTGCTGGGCAGCCTCTAGCAACTGCTTCTGTTAGACCCCTTCCTTCACTAGATGGTCAACCGACAAGCCCTGCAACGCCATCACCTGATGCAAGCACTCTAGAGAACTCTTTTGCCAACTTGCAAATAAATGGAGACAGTATGGTTGAAAGGAGCCATAGGGGTGAGGGAGAGGAAGACCATGAATCATCGTCTTCTGGTAGGGTGCCAGTTCTTGACACCTCCATTGAGGAAACAGAATCGGATGCTAGCAGCGATAGTGAGGAAGTGTCTGCCCAACTTCAGTTGCCTGTATCCTCTGCTCAGCAGAGACATCTGAATGCAAGTCAGCCAGCCTTGGATAGACCAGTGGTGGGGAGTGGGGTGGGAAGCACCAGTGTAAGGTCTAGAAGGCCTGATGGACAGTGCACAGTAACTGAAGTTTAAATCTAGAGCCATGTTTTGAAAACTCAGTCTTGTATATGTACATTTTGTCTGTATTGGCATTGCATTCCAGCCTAGCAATGTATTCAAAGTGTTTCAGGGTGGGAGGAGGGGAAAGGGAAAACCAAGCCTGGTCCTTGAACTTGTAAGAAAATCTCTTAATGTCTTGGCTGGAAGATTCAATGTTTGAATGAAGAAAAAAATAAAACCCTGGGGTGTGTTAATGGTTTGACAGCTACTTAGCAATACCCAGTTTCGTAAATGTCTCACGTTTTATTTTGTAGTATATGCTCATCCCCAGTAAAACCCTGTCCCCCTTTTTGACCAGTGTATATTCACTGTACAACTTGGAAATGTCATCATTCTTCATTGCATTAAGTATCTTTACTATCTGCATGGATTGATGTATGGAAGGAAAACTAAAGCGAACTGGAAATGAACAAGAATTGGGGGTATGAACCAGATGCTTAATTTTAACATAAAGTAGGTGTGACTTCTAAAGTTCAGATGTTTTACTAAACAAAGAGCAATCATCTTCCTGAATGAAATGTAAAATAACTTCTGTTGCAGAGTTTTACTTGTAAACACTTCATGGTGTCTTCATCAGCTCTTCCGTCTAGTCCCTGTAGCTTGTTTGTTTTCTTGTTCCGTCTGGTTTTTGTTACAAAATTTATAATTTAATAAACTACATTTTATCAACCACCTGAGCTCTGTTTCCACATGGGTCTGCACCCATGTCATCTTGAAGTTAGTTATCAAAGGAGGAATGGACACTGCCTTTGGTTAATTGTAGGACTTTGTGTGCTGAAAATCAACATGAAACACAATGTGCTGAAGATTACACAGTGCTTGAAAAAGATGGTATAATATATGGCTCTATAAAAACCTATTCATTTCTCCCGCCTTGCCTAATCTGCCAGGATAGGGAATCTGCAGAAATTTGTAATGTAGTGAGATAGACAGAAAGCCAAACTACAGCTTGCTATTTTGGTTAAGTACCATCTGTGAAAATACACCTCTCACAGACTTTCTGTACTATTGCTAACATTGGGCAAAGACATCCTTTCGTGTGGGGTGTGGATAGATTACTTGGTGGAAAAACCATCACATCCATAGCCCTGCAGTTGGGTGGGTGGTAGTCCAAAGCTGATACGGTGTCAGGAGACAAAAGGAACATTGGGTCCTGTGGATTCACAGCTATTGTAGAACACTCTATTTTGCCCTACACTGTCACTAAGAACACCACTACTGGAATTTCCAGTCGGTGTCTTGGGAGGCCACTGGAAGTGTGGTTGTCTTGCCCACAGCCCATTTTGTTCATCAACAGAGCTATACCTCTACTAGCGCCTTTGGCTTTGACCCTCTAGCTTTGTAGCTCAAACAATATATGAAGGGGATATAGATGCGTGCAATTTAGAGCAAAAGAAAACACAATGATCTTTACTTCCCTACATAATAAGACATCTGGCAATTAGAATAAGATGGCCTGCACGTTATATGCAAAGGATAGGCACCTTGTAGTGAGACCCCTTTTGCAGATACTGTTTTCTGCTAAAAGACTGTCAAATGTTCAGAAAGCTACTTCTGTCAGTGCACTGGTTTCTGTGATTTTATGGATGGCTCCTTTGCAATTAACATATGCAATAGCTGACTATCAATAGTGTTCAGTACTGAAAATGGAAGGCTAAGAATTGGAACTCCCCCAGTCTTTCATTCTGGGTACAGTGTTTGCTTCAATTCTTGGTGGCTGCCACTGAGCACTACCTCCTTTCACATTTAACATTAACCTGCATAGACATTGTAAAGTATCAACAAGTGTTATAACTAGCTATGTGAACTCAGTACCATTTATACATGAAGTAAATGACAAGCAGGCCTCCATAGTAAAGCCACAATCATGGCAGCATGAAGGAGATTCCTGACCTATCCATTAAATACAGCTGAATAGCTACTGCACAAAATAGAAATCTCTTTTGTTATAAGCATATCTGTAAGTGCCAGGGTACTGTGTATCATTTGGTGGTTATTTATCAGTCATTTCTGGTAATACTGTCTTCAACAAAAACACAAACCTAAGTTTGTGCTTCTGCACAAAGCTATTCTTTCCCTGGTCTATTCTCAAGCTTAACATCCATGTGATCCCCATATCAGAAGTGGCAGCTAACTACTTGAGTTACACATAAATAGGGGCCTGGATATAGATGCTACCTTCATAAACATCACAGTACAAACCTCATTTTAATCAGCCTGTTTGCACATGGATCTTTTGCAGCTCTGAAAAAAAGACTCTATCTCCATATGTACTAAAAAACAAGAGATGATACTCTTTAAAGTACAGTTCTCCATCCACAATAAAGCAATTTAAATAATTTATCCCGGTCCCATAATGTGAACTAGTTTAATAAAAGGCAGCTGATGTTTTAGGTCAGGAAAAGAGAGGGCTCCAAGGAAGAGTGTACAGTGGTGCCCCGCAAGACGAATGTCTCACAAGACGAAAAACTTGCAAGACGAAAGGGTTTTGCGTTTTTTGAGTCGTTCCGCAAGACGATTTTCCTATGGGCTTGCTTCGCAAGGCGAAACGTCTTGCGAGTTCTTGCAGTTTGTTTCCTTTTCTTAAAGCCACTAAGCCGTTAATGGCTGCTAAGCCGTTAATAGCCGCTAAGCCGCTAATAGCCGTGCTTATAAGGCAGAAAAACTCGCAAGACGAAGAGACTCGCGGAACAGATTAATTTCGTCTTGCGAGGCACCACTGTACCTCTAACCAGGGCTTTTTTCCAGCCGGAATTCAACGGAACTGAGTTCTGGCACCTCTCAGGTGGTTGCCATTGTGATTCTAAGAAGTGGGAAGTGTTTATGGTCAGTTCCGGCACCTCTTTTTCTAGAAAAATAGCACTGCCTCTAACATATTGCCAGTTTTTCAGCTATCAATGTGTTTCACATAGCTGTGGGACATTGATATATACTGATATTGAACATGCTCTGCTTTTGCACCCTGGCACCATGCCTTCATGTCAACAATGCTGCTGTATCAAGCAAAATGAAGGACGGCTCTAATAACACTTTCATCAGGAATGATTCTGTAAATTAAGTGAATTCAGAGAGCCTAGCTGTAGTTATTGTGGATTCTCTGTGCAAGTCTCCACCAGGGATTCACAATCCTTGGCTTGCCTTGATAACAAGCCAAAATTCATGCTTGTTATGACTCACCATGCTGAGAGATGAGCAGGGTCTTACTTCATATCACACCATTCTCTGAGCTAGGAGGTCGGTGGGCGTGGGGGGACTCTTGCTGCTTTCCAAGAGTCTCCAAGGCTCAGTTGTTAGCTGTTGAGCACCTGCTCTTCTCAGGAGAAGCACATACATTCTTTCCCAGTATTGCACTCAATAGGTTAGAAATGTGCTCACCAGTGGTATGTCTGTCTATGAGCACTTCATTTTTTCTTTAAAAATTGAGTTATGAAAAAGCTGTGCTATAGAAAGCTTGAGTCAAGAGGTTGCCATGCTTCACCCACCACTGCAAATGTCTTGCTGTAACAGACTTTCTGATTTGCCACAGCTTTGTATGCCGAGTGTATCACCAAAAAGAACAAAAAAATAAAATAAAACAAATCTGTACTCCTCTTTGCTGGATCAACTGCTATCATTACTGGCTCTCATAAGGTCTATTCCACACCCCGCCTCCCAGGTGACATAAAAAGAATAACAGTAGGGTCATCATTAGAAAGGAAGAACTACAAATAATAGTATTACAAACAGAACAGAAGTAATAACTTGTTTTACTCAAAGTTCTTGCAGTCCTAACACAAATACGAGGAAGTTTATACTATAGAAACTACAGCTTTAAATGCATCAAGGATATTGTATACAAAACCAATTTACTGTTTCCACAAAGCAGCTAGATACTGGTTTTGGCACTTTGAATGCAATTGAAAGTTTGCAGATGCATGTCATCTTGGAGATGCTTTCTTGTATAGGCTGAAAAAGGTAAGGTCAATTAAGTTAACCAGGAAATCCATCAAATATGCCTTTGATCCATATATGCCTAGACACCATCACTGATATTTGCAGATACAGCATAAGATTGTGTGAAAATCCGTTTTACATTTAACAATGTGTCTGCCAACTTTATCTACACAAAGACCTAAGATGAAGGTGAGATGTTCTTGCACTTAATACAAAATCTTATAGCACCTTCAAGAATAACAAATGCATAAGCTTCTGTAGATGAAATCCACTTAATCAGATACAATGTGGACTTGGGTTCATGAAAGCTTATGGCATAATAAATTTGTTGGTTGTTAAGGTGCCTCAAGATTCTTTGTTTTTCCTGCAACAAACGAACACAGTTTACCTTTCTGGTGTAAGTTTGAGATGGTTTAATAAGCTGAAGGCAGGAGCTCTGGGCCTGTGCATGTAGTGTATGAGCTCACTGAGTACCACCTAGATGAAGTTTGAGGAAAGCTATACTGTTACTTATTTTAGTTCTGACCTGGCCAATTCTCAGTGTACATGTACACTGGGCTAAAGTTGCTTTTAGGTTAAACCTATTTTTGATCAAACTATGTCAAACTTGGACATGATTGTTTCCAAGAGCTTTGAACTGGAGCCATCAACAACAACAACCAAATCCATTTGAAAAGGATATCATCTTACATCCATCTCAGGTCTTTGCAAGGATAAACTTGGCTAAAATGTTGCACTTGCCTTTCAAAATATTATGCCTGTATATAACATAATGCACATGAAAATAATGCATTCAGTGAAGATGCTCTGAAAGAGTAAGTTTAATTACTACTCCAAGTATGATAGCTCTTACTACGAGAGAGAGGAACATCTTACATATACTCACTGGGATGCAAATGTCTCCCGGCTGATTTGCAGACTTACATATACATACTACCTCCACGTGCAATATGCAGCAAGTTGCTGGAAGGGGAAAATATATATATATATATACACACACACACACACACACACACCCCTACCTGGGACTAAGCTCCCAGCATTTCTTTTATTTTTCAAGAACAAATTTCCCTAATCTCCACTTTAGCTGTGATCAGAGTATAGGGGGCTTATAATCAAACGTCCCAGAAAGTTAATGCCCACTGAGTTGATACAATTCTTAACAGTTTCTCCCAAATCCCTGTTTGGCAGCAGCTGTTTGTTTGGGAAAGAAAGATCAAAACCATTTCTTTTGTGTGTCATTTATTTATGTTTTGTTCTCTGAGCCAAAGCCTGTAAATTGGCAGGCCCACCCCAAACAGTTCCAAAAATCTCTTTTTCAGTCATCAAGGCAGCTTCTAACTGCAGCTCTCGTCCTGCAGAAACCACTTTCTTCACAGCCTGAATTACTGCAGGAGGGCCCTTTGTGTATGGTCTGAGCCATGTACATGTTTCTTCCAGTGACTCAAGTTCATCAGATGAGGACAACACGGCTTCTACCAGGCCAATACGAAGGGCGGTCTCTGGATCCACTTTTACAGCACCACTCAGCAACTTGAGGGCAGGGCTGCTGCCAAGGATTTGTACGAGCCTGGCAGCTCCTCCCCAGCCTGGTACTAAGCCCATCTGCTTGTGGACAAATCTAATTTCGCTCTCCGGGGTCATTAACCTGTCAGTGAGAAACAAGTATTCAGTTGTTAATTTATACTGAAGCTTAGCAGTCAAGCCATCTCAGTTCTCTCTGCCTCATTCCTATGCAAAGCACAATTTCGGATGGCAAGATGCAGACTGTAAGTGTTTTCTAACGTTAGGCAGGCTAATGCTACATCAAGCAAGCAATTTGCAGAGACTGAATCCAAAGTAAGGCAAAACAAATGGATCACTTTGAAAGGGAAGACAACAACCTTTAATCCAAAATGAGAATCCAGCATTTTTATATTAGGTTGAATATTACCTTTCAGATCAGAAATATGCAAGGACAGATTCTTACTACCACCTCAGCATGGGTCAGGGGTTGTTTAAGGACAACCTATGCTCATTTTCAACGACTTCAGTCTGAGGAGTTGCAATGAACACATATCTTCTTCTCTGGCGTCGATGCCGAGTAAGATTGTCTTCCACAAACACAGTTTTAACAATGGGTCCGTAAGTGACTGGAGGCCAATTCTGGACCCACACGTCCTTCCACAGTGTGGACATTGGTTCCTGGGCGTTGATCACAGTGTGGATTTGCCAGACGTGCCTTCCTCTTAGCACATTTCTCCCTTGAGTTCGAGTGTCTTCAAAGTCCATGACACCTTTGGTAAAGGCTGTTCTCCGACTGGAGCACTCGCAGACCACTGGTTCCCAGTTGTCAGTGTTTATACTACATTTTTTTAGATTTGCCTAGACAGTCTTTAAACCTCTTAATGAACACACATAAAACCCTATGGGCATGGGGCTGAAATCAGATGGCAAGGCTGGGAGGGATTGTTTTGCCATGAAGCAGCCCATGTTTTGCTGGGCTTTCATAGCTAAGCAAATGTTTGTGGTCATCAGGATTCCATTGGTCCCATTTTTATTTTTTTAAAAAGGAATGCCAAATATGCTAAATGGGGCTTACTCCCAAGTAAATATACACAAATTGCCAGCCCTAGTCCTAGTCTGTTCTCCTCCTAGTATGAACATGTGGATGTGATGAAGGAGAGCAGGGCTGTTTTGGAACCAATTGGCTAAGATATAACCATTTCCTTGGCTGCCTGTCACCAAAATGACTATCCCCAATCTTCTCTCTTGGAGCCACAGGGACCGTCTGGAGTTTATATTAATAATAGCAGTCAAGTACCTCACCATGAAACAGGTAGCTTCAGACCTACCTAAAGCAAACAAATTAATAATTACTGGATTAGAGAACATCTCTACCACTCAGAAAAAGGGAGGGAATATATATTTCCAAAGGAAGTGAGGAAATACTATAATAAAGCAAAATAATTTCAAAGGCTTTCAGTAGCTAAATGACGTTTCAGTGGCCAAGGGGGGTATTTTTAAAAATCATTTGTGGAAAAAGGAACTTCTTGAGGGATACTGCAGCTGTTAGTGGTAGCTGATAAGTAGAAAAAATCTTCAGATAGTATTGGGGAAAACGCATAGCAGTATAACCCACATAATGGAAGTACAGCCCAGTAAAATAAGTGATAGATATTATATAAACAATCCACAAAAGGACAAAGCTTTTTTCGGCCAAACCAGTTGGAAAATGGCCCAGATATTGATAACAGAACTGAGAAGACAGCCAATATTCCATGTACTTTTTTGATAGAGAAAGAGAGCTGGTCAACTATATCCTTGTAATTTGGACAAGATCAAGGGGGTGGCATTTTAGAATCCATTGCATAATTAAAACTTTCTTGATATAAGATTTAAAAAAGAAAGAAAGAAAGAAAGAAAGAAAGAAAGAAGAATGAGAAATAAAAGAAAAGGGCTTCTGATTTTCTGTCTGTCAGTTACATAAAAAGATTTATTCAAAACATTCACATTTTAGTGAAGAATCCAGGCAGCACGAGAATCAAGAAGTGATGGGGAAAACAACAGAGAAAAATGAGATTTTGTTCTATAGTTCAGTAAAAAAGAGAGAGAGAGATGGCAATTGCTATAATGGTCAGGACCTTGCCTTTTTTTGCGTCTCATGTGAATGCTCTTTATTGTGCTTTAAAAATAGAGAGAGAAGCACAATGCTGAGGTTAATGCCACTTTGCAGAGGAAAACTAGTGCAGTTACTAGCTGAATTGGAAAAGGGAAAGCAAAATGATAAAGGGCCTGAAGTAACTCCCATATGAGGAAAGGCCACAACATCCAGGACCCCTTTTTTGGGGGGGGGGGATAGGGCAAATAAGGGAGAGAGAAAATGATATGTGCAAAATTATGCATGGTGTGCAGAAGGAAGGTAGACTTTTTTCTCTCACGCAATACTCAGGGACACCTCAGGAAGTCAAATGTTACAGGTTTCAAGGCAGACAAAAGGAAGTGCTTCACCCAGCACACAGGTAACTATAGGATTCGCTACCCCACAACATAGTGGTAGCCACCAACTTGGACAGCTTTAAAAGGACCTTATACAGATTAATGGAGGACAAGACTATCAAAGACTCCTGCCCATGATGACTATATATTAGCTCCAAAATCAGCGGCGATGTGCCTCTCACTACCAGTCGCTGGGGAGAACAATTAGGAAGAGCTGATGCTGCACTCGTGTCTTGCTTGAGGGGTTCCTGCAGGCAGCTGGTTGGCCACTGAGAGAACAGGATGGTAGACCAGGCAGGCCTCTGGTCTCTTCCATCAGGGCTCGTCTTATGAACCTGACGATGTTTCTGTACTTTGTTGGAATAGGGCCAGAGACTTGAACAGGCTTGCAACAGTAAATTGTTCGGCAGCATCCACTGGCCTTCGCAGCTCACATCTTCCACAACATCTTTGAACTTACCTTATTGCGTACTATAGTTGTGGTGATAAAACCTTGGCACAGGGAGGAGAAAGAGAGACAGTCACACATAGGTCAGGAAGCAGGAAGGAATGAGGGGTGGATAATGGAGGGGAAGAAGAGAGTGAGCAGCAGGCAAGTATGTTTGTGGAGCGGCGGTTACGAAGAAGGAAGAACGAGGCTGAGATCAGGATCATACAGAAGAGAGAGACAATATGCAGTCTGAAAGCTTCTGGAGGAGCAACAATACATGCATAGGTTTTATTTGCTGGGTAGGCAGAACTCTGAGTTTCTCCCACTGATTTTAACTGGAAAAAAAGATTAAAGGAATGTATGCTGTAACAACCTGAACATGGAAGGCATAATTTTTGAGAGAAAGAAGCTCTTATAAATGTGCAGCCACTGCTGCCACCATTCTCCATTCTTCCCTCGCAGGCCTACACAGGGAGAACATTATGTGGACATAAGCCAATATTATCACGTGCGCTACACAGAACTCAGTCATGCAGACAAATAATCTTCCGCACTGAACATGGACTTTTAAGGTTGTCTGGAGAATGCCCTGTTTCATATGTATCTGCTTGAATCTGCTTTCAAATATAGACAGATTTGTCTGGATTATTGCTATTAATAGGTATCAAACAGGAAAACACACCAGCAACTAGACAATAATCCAAAACACTGTGGTCCATGCTGCTGGGAAAATGGCAACTCTGGGCTATATACATAGAATTGTAGAGCTGGAAGGGACTCTGAGAATCATCTAGTCTAGCCCTTCTCAACCTGTGGGTCCCCAGATGTTGAACTACAGCTCCCATCACCCCTAGCTAGCAAGGCCAGAGCTCAGGGATGATGGGAGTTGTAGTCCAACATCTGGGGACCCACAGGTTAGTCCAACCCCCTGCAATGCCGGAATATGCAGCTGTCTAATACAGGGATTGAAGCTGCAACCTTGGCCTTATCAGCACCATGCCCTAACCAACTGAGCTATCAGACACATTGTTTGAAGCAGGATGGAAATTGACCAGCACACAACCAAATTAAACATAAGGGAAGGCCTGTGGCTCAGGAGTGGAGCCCATGCTTTGAATGCAAAGGGACCCAGGCTGAATCCCCACCTTCTACGGGTAGATCTGAGACAGGCTGAGGGCAGGCAGATTGAGTTAGGTGGAGTCATGCCCATTTTTCTTAACAGGACAGCCTCCACGGCTTGCAGGTCTAAAAACGTGTTTAAAATGCAAATGATTAAAAAGGCCGGTCTGACTTTTGCAGGTCACTGCAGATATCATGAACTCAGCTGACCAATGGAAGATTAAAAATGAGTATCCCTCACACTTCATGCATAAAGCGATCCCTCTGTTTCTTAGCCTGCACCTTATTTCTGTGAGCACATCATTGGCTCACATGAACACACTGCACCAAGCTCGCAGCAGTGTTTTGTCAGCTTACATTTCTCAAAAAGAGCTCATATGTGAATGCTCGGTGTGAAATTTAGGCCATATATTTGTAAGAAAGGAGAACTGTGAACAGAAGAAACTTCATTTCGCATTAAAACCATCTTGCTTACTGGACCGCTGCTTTGGATTTAAAAAGAAGAAATAAAAAGACCATAACAACGCCTGTGTGTTCCTCTCTAACGATATGACTTGTGATTCAAGTGGCATGGTCTGGAATACTAATGATTTTTACAGTTTTCCTAGAAGAGAAGGATAAGCAACCTAGAAAACGCAAGAATTTGATCTGCCATAGCTCCAAAGCTTTATTCACGGGCAAGCAGGGGGAGTGAGGAGAGGAAGGGCATGTGATGGAGCCACATATCTCAGAATCTACTTTGGTATCACTTACACACACAACAAAGCTGTGTGTATTCTGCCCATGTACAAATGTGCTTTGCAAATATAAAATTCAACATAAGTTTCTAGTTAGGAGATGTGTAGAGATAAGCTCTCCCACATTTTCAGGCCTGTTGAAGTATCAAGAGTTACAAATCCCAGACACCTCTGGCAGTATTCTAGACTGACTGGAGGGGGGGGGGACTTTACAGATGTAGAGTCTGCTTCAAGAATATCATAGGAAAAGCTAAAGGACCCCTGGATGGCTAAATTCAGTCAAAAGCGACTATGGGGTTACGGCGCTCATCTCGCTTTCAGGCCGAGGGAGCCGGCATTTGTCCACAGACAACTTTCCGGGTCATGCGGCCAGCATGACTAAACTGCTTCTGGGGCAATGGAACACCGTGACGGAAACCAGAGCGCACAGAAATGTCGTTTACCTTCCCACCACAGCGGTACCTATTTATCTACTTGCACTGGCATGCTTTGGAACTGCTAGGTTGGCAGAAACTGGGACAAAGCAACAGGAGCTCACTCCGTCACACAGATTCAAACTGCTGACTTTCTGACCTAAAGTGTCTATAAAGGTCTAGGCTGTGCCTCCTCCATTTATCCAGAAAAGGTAAGTGTGGGTTATTCAGGATAGAAACCTGCTCAGCATTTTATTTTCTAGTCCAATTCAAAGGTCACCTTCTCCCAGAACAGGGTGATCAGTGGAACTGACCTCCAGCTTACAAACTTCTGCTTCCCAGCTCTGCATCTCCCTTGAACTGCAACAGAGAAGGGGGACCTGAGGACTTTGTTCACATAGAGTGTGTGCCAGCAAGTTCCTCCCTATCTTCCTCGGATTTCTTTATTCTTCCCTCTTCCCTTACCAGAGCACTGTGAGACAGAGCCGCAGAAAAGCCAGCCATGTAATGTAGTAATCAGACCTATGTTAATGACCTATTCTCTGCCACCCCCCCCCCCCATTTCTATATCATTGCTAGTAGCACTGGGCGGAGTTCGAAACTGATTGAAGTTAAAGCCATATCTTCAGTTAGCAGAAGCATTAAACATGAGATATCAAACTGAAGTTTCCCACCTCAGGCCAGCTTGTAATTATACAGTATTTCATGCTTGTAATTATACAGTAATATCTAAACTGTGTGGCTAAATGCAAAGCTATTTTTAATTGATGCTTCTCCCCCCCGCTTCCCCTTAAAAGAAGTTGAAAATTTGTTTCTGCACAGAGCTCTTCAACTTCATTTTTCCCCGTGCCAAATAACGTGATCGTGGTATGAGGCCTAATTACATAGATTCAGACACAAGGAGCTGACATTAGCACAGGAGTCGAACACAAAAGGAGGATGGTGGGTAGAGGAAGTGATCCATGCGTCATGGGTGCTTTAGTTGAGATTCCTGCATTGCAGGGGGTTGGACTACATGATCCTCAGGGTACCTTCCAACTCTACAATTCTATGAACACCCAGTACCCCTGACCATTGCCCAAGCTAACTGGACCTGAACTCCAAATGGCCGGCATTCTTCTGGCATGCCTGTAACATTACTCATCCCCCAGCAGCACATGAGCATGGTGAATGCCCAGCCACCTGGAGAGCAAAGCCAGCCTGTGACACTTCCACTTCCACCCCAGCTACCAGAAAAAGGAACTCCCAAGAGTTACAGGTTAATTCACCACCTGGGAGGGGACAACTAGGGCTTTTTTCAGCCAGAACTTGCCGGAACTCAGTTCTGGCACCTCTCAGGAGGTGGGCGCCATTGCCATTCTAAGAGAACAAGTGTTCTAGAAAAATGTCACTGGGGACAACCACTGGCTAACTCTCCTGTCACCAATGAGTGAGTTCGTTATTTATTTAGTAAGTGTCTATCCCACCCTCTCCCCAAGGGAGAAGTTCTCCCCGCTTGTCATTTTATCCTAGCAACAAAACGATGTGGTAAGTTAGGCTGAAAAACAGTGACTGGCCCAAGGTCGCCCAGTGAGCTTAATGGCCGAGTGGGGATTTGAACCCTGATCTCCCAAAGCCTAGTCCAATGCTTTAACCACTGTACCAAACTGGTTGTTCAGGTCAGCCTGTTTGGCCCTCCCCTGCTTTCCACCAAAGCATGAAGTCTGAAAGAGCAGTCTGACATGCAGGGGGAAGACCCTTGGGTCGTCAGAAGTATTCAGTCAGCACCTCACCCCCAGGTTTCAAATGAAGAAGTTTTTTATTAAAGTCAGAGATGAAGGTATAAGGAGAGGAGAGAGAGAACAGGTAAGATAGCGCAAGCAGAAAAGCAAACAGTTTACTGTCTAAACAACCCACACTAGACAACAGAGCAAGGATTACCCATGATGTTGAGGAGATGACCGGGTTTTTTTAAACCCTGTAGATACAATTCTCTATGCAGGTATGGCTATGTGCACTCAGACAATCACTACAGGCACTTGGGGACTTGACAAGGGATGCCCAAGAGGATGAAAGGTTGATACTTCTCAACAAGCTAGGAAGGAGGAAGTAAAAAGGTGACAGCAGGGAGAGATTTCCTAATTACTTCAGGTAGACAGAATCCATGGGGGGGGGGGCGTTTCAGCTTGCAATGCGACAGGAAAGTTACTATGTAATTGGGAATCTATGCCATTAAAGAGACGGGCATTTCGTTCTCAGGCTTTTCTCCAAAATGAGCTGTTCAAATATAAAGAAAGGGGGTAGTGGAATTGCTTGACTTTATGACTAAGCAACAGGAAGTAGTGATGGCCACCCATTCAGATGGTTTTAAAAGAGGATTAGACAAATTCAAGGAGGATATGGCTATCAATGGCTTCTAGTCAAAATGGTTATATTCCACTGCAGTATCCCTCTGTATACTGTATAGGTGGGAATAATGAGCAGGCAGAGGTCTGTTGTACTCATATCCTTTTTTGAGCTTCCCATAGGCATTTGGAAAGCACCTGAGGGAACAGGATGATGGGCTAGGTGGGACTTGGGCCTGATCTCTTCTCATGTTCTTATGTAACCAGTTTTCTTATTGTGGAAGTTAAAAAGATTCCTTCTAATCCAACATTTTTACAACATAGGACACAACACTCAAATGGGTGTAGGCGTTCCCTTTGAAATATTCCCTTTTATTTATAAAAATTTGTTAAATTGCCGTTCTACCAACATACACTCAAGGCAATCTATTCTATTTAAAGCCAAGAGCAAACAGCACAAAGGATTGTTTAAAAAACCCCACGATACTATGGCAGCTATGGCAGCATGAAAGAAAAGTGCTAGGAGAATGAAGTAGATGAGATTGTATCTGCCACTCTTTCCCTGGGCACAATCCAAATGTGAAAACAATGTCTGAACAGAGTCCCAAGTCTGCTCAGGGATGCATTTAACCCTACCTGAAGTCACATGCAGTGGTGAGTTCTGCTCCTCCTCCCAGAGCTTTCCCTTGCACTAGTGCAACTGTAATCAGAGGTAACCTACACAAAACGGGGAGCAAGAAAGAAACCATTCAAAATTAGAACTACAGTCAAAGGGTTAAATGATAAAAAGGCATGGTATTCCAACTAAGACAAACAACAGTTTGTCTTGGAAAGTAAGCATGACACATAAACATCAGAAACAAAAGCAATTATCATAGCAACAGTAAAAATACAAAAAAAGCAGTAGATCTGCTTCATATTTGTTTTACGGTTCTCTTTTGTAGGCTATCTTGAAAATCTAGATTAATAAAATTACGTTTTAATTTTTTATTTTTATTTTTTAAAAGGTGAAAGTAAGCATTAAAGTGCACACACATTGTGAAGACTGCCGGGTGGGGGGGGGGGAATTGTAAGCTTTTATGTTTTTCAGACTTTATGGAGGACTGGGACCTGTTTAGTTTTGTCCATTTATGGTGCCCTGTCATGACCCCCCCCCCCCCGGAAAGCTACCTTATCTCTGCATATATAAATAAGTTTCTTTTGGGGGAAAACACATAACCAGAGTCAGACATTCTGTTAAATTTTCTAATCTTTTTTATTCTGTATGACACATTTAGAAGAACAACTCAAAAGCTAATACAGTGGTACCTCGGGTTTCATATGCTTCAGGTTACATACGCTTCAGGTTACAGACTCCACTAACCCAGAAATAGTGCTTCAGGTTAAGAACTTTGCTTCAGGTTGAGAACAGAAATCGTGCTCCAGCAGCGTAGCAGCAGTCGGAGTCCCCATTAGCTAAAGTGGTGCTTCAGGTTAAGAACAGTTTCAGGTTAAGAACAGACCTCTGGAACAAATTAAGTACTTAACCCGAGGTACCACTGTATGTGGCTAGTGTGGTTTTGAGCTCTCAAGAGGCCAAAATTAGAAATAGTATATGAAAGCTACAGCCCCCAAAATTGACATGAACTGATAATGAAACTCAGTTATAAGACTATTCCTTCAAATGTGTCGTGAAGAACTGGGGACTGAGAGGTTACTGGCTACGAATTTTGGGGAATTCGTTTTCCGAAGCTCCCTCTCCCACAAGTTTGCCTCACGGTCCTTCATCCTCTGTCACCTTTTTCTCATGTGACCTTGAGGAGTGATTCTTCTATGCAGCAGTAAGTCTACATTCTGTTATAGAAACGTCTGAAACAATGGGGAACAGGATTAAATGTCAGAGAAGGATGGACTTTTGTTTCTCATCTGGAAGTCCTTAGGTCATTCTACAAAAAAAAAGCCCTCTCATAAAACTGAAGGTCAGAAATAATCCAAAACAATAGCGGCACGAGAAATATGGCTTCCCAGTTACTAAGAGAGCCTTAAGAAATGCTGGAGAGAGAGAAACCTTTGTGGGGGTGGGGGAACAGATGGTGGATTAAACTAACAGTCTCCTCCTCTGCACATGTTGCTTCCATACCCCTATGTAGGTTGTGGACATACTGCTTGCCAACTTTTAAGAGATGACTTCAACACTTTCTAGAAATTGAGACAGAAGTTTCAGGGGGTGGTATGTCCCTGCCCCTACCACCAAAGGCTTTGTTGTCATTTCGGAAAACTTCAAGAGTTCTAAATGTCATCTGCTTATAAGAACCAACGTTTTAGTTTCCAACATCTCCAGGCTTACAAATCATGCAACATGAGATGCCACTTTTGGATTTATTTATTTTTTGCTAGGGCTACAATTCAAGCTGTTGAACATTTTAAAAGTTAATCAGACAAAACACACTAACCTCATGAGTCTGGTTAAGGTGTTTTGCATGAACATACACATGTCCATCCCATCCTATAAAGAAGGAGGAAAACAGTTAAAATTATCCTGAGGTACACAAATGCCCAAAGGGAATAGCTGCTCTGGAACGTTCTACTGATTCCAACTGAGCTTACATATAATAAATTTCCTAAACGTTTTGCCTAGGTTCTGTACTCTAAACTGTACCAAAGACATTGTGCTCCAAATCAGCTACTGACTGCTACCAATGGCTCCATAAAGATGCCAAATAGCACTGGAGACAAAATAAGCACTGGGACATTCCACAGCATAACTGCCAGGACTCTAGTGCTCGGGTCCTGTTTACAGGTTTCCCACAGCCATCTATCCGGTTGGCCACTGTGAGATCAGGATGCTAAATGAGATGGCTCACTGGCGTGATCCAGCAAACTCTTCTCATGTTCCTTAGACACATAGTCATCCAGTGCTACTCTATGGAACCAGCCCTGCAGGTGAGTACAGAACCAGTGCAGAATAGCATCTGCAATCACTAACCTACAGAGCTAATTCAGGAGGAATCTATAGTTGATGGTCTCAAATGCTGCTGAAAGATAAAGCAAGACTCACTTGACCTTCTCCTGATGGTCATCCATCAGGGCTAGCAAGGTCAACTGGGCTGCGAAACCAGGTTCTACCCAAAACTGGTAAGAGCCAGAATAATTGGTTTCATCCAAGAACATCTGTACTAAGCACTTTCCCAAGAAAAGAGGTCTTTGCATTTAGGTGGAAGGTGTTGCCTGCTACTGGATCCAGAGCAGGCTTTATTAGGAGTGGTTGCAGCACCACCCTGCTACATAACGATGCATTAACCACTTGCTGGACTATTTCCCCCCATCCAAGCGGGTTAAGAGGGCAAGTCAGCATTGCTACAAGCCCGTTGTCCACATTGTCAGGCCCCAGTGGAATGAGTGACTGGAGAAAGTATTTGGTGACCAAGTGGGAGTGACTGGGTTAATGGTGTGCTTGTGTGTGCTGGTGAAGATGCAGTATGGGTTGGTGATATTAAATTAGTGCACATTGTATGATTTATGCAGATGTAGCACAGAATTTGGGTGGGATGGTGAACAGTGAGGCGAGTGTTGCATTTTGGGTCAGGGTGTGCCTTGGCAAGGGAGAGGCTGAAGAGGGAAGGGGCTCCAGACTAAAGACAATTCAAAATGTGCTGCTGTGTTTTTGCTTTGGGCATTTTTCTTTTTGTTATATTGTATTATCTTGTAGTTTCTGAGGCTGTTTGTTATATAAGCATATTGCATTTGTTATTTTGTACACTGCTTAGTGGCTGAAATAGGACTCTGCAGTCTCTAGATGCCGATTCCTAGCTTTTACAATACACAGGCTTTTTTATTTTGCAAAACATTTTTAAAAAATGAATTTGAGACCCTTAGCCTTTTCTGTTTTTATTTCTATCTATTTGGCACATATTTTTGTTCTCTTCTTCATCTACCTAAAGGTAGCCTGAGTGGCTGTACATCTCTCTCTCTCTCTCTCTCTCTCTGCAATTTTATTGCTGTTTTGACATGGTATTGTTGTTGGCTTGCATTCACTTTTTAACTGTTGTAAGACACTGCAAGACAGCTCAGGGTGAAAGGCAGATAGCAAACCCTATATATCAATAATATAATTAGGAACACAAATTCTATTCATAAATGAAATAGGATTGAATAAAGCTGAAGAACAAAGACATTTTCCACCCTAAGCAGTGATCTCACTATTTAACTTAAAAAACACCCTGAGCAGTGCACAAAGCAGGCCAGAAGAGAAGTCTAAAGTGTTGATGAATACAAAGATGCCTGTGTTTATGGAAGGGAAGGGGGGGAAGAGGAACTATTCATAGTGAAAAGTTTCAAAACAAAGCCACATTAATGATCTCAGAGCATTTCTGCTTCTACAAAGTAAGACTGTCGGCTGGTGCTAACTCTTGAATGGCAACCAGAAGGCGGACTGGGGAGTGCATGCCATTATTAATATCTTATTAATTAAATGCCATGGAAGGCAGAGACTGAAAAGACTTTGGCTCTTGGCTTCAGTTAAATGAGCCTAGCAGACTGAAGAGGAGCCCTTGATGAATAAGACCAAAAGCACCTATCTGGTTCAACATCCTATTTCCCATGGTGGCCAATCAGATTCCTCTAGAAAGTCCATAGGCAGGTGAAAGGAGGCTGCATATATAGCCGTCGTGACTAGTAGGTAGCCACTCATGGCCATATCTTACATATCAAACATTCTCCTCTGACAAAACTGGCTGCTACAGAAAGGCATATCCAGTGGTTTGGGTAGTTCTTTCAGAGAAGATTTCCAGCTAACATTTAGCTGCTCTGCACTGCACAGTAAGTTAAACTATGGATTACTGAAACCACACAAACATGTGAACTCCCAGAGAAGAACTTTGCTTCTCCCCAGTCCTTTTTGCTTCTCCCCTGTGTTAAGCTAACCAATGCCAAGTAGCCAAGTCATCAGAGGGATGGCCTTTTCACCACTGCTGGAAAAGACCAGTGACATTTTTCGTATTTTCTCAACACCCACAGGGCAACACCATTCCCCAACAACAAAACCTGTTTGCGACCCTGTAATATGCTGTACAATAAGCCTGCAACTCACACACATTTAGCTTGTGCGCTTTAAGCACTTGGCAATTTATTTATTCTTTAACAATTAAAAGAAGGGAAGAAAGGAGGCAGGCATCTGGGAAGAAAGACTTTGGCAGTCCCACTTGCCATTGTACCCAATGTGTTTTGACTATATGCATTTTGGCTTTAGGTGCAATCCCCAGAATGTAGGACTTACTGTAATTATTTTCAAAATGTGCAGTGAGAAACATCAAGCAAGGGTGAAAATAAATTACTGCCATGCAAGATATGGTCTGAAAATTCACACTCAAGGTTCTTGAAAGACACTGGGAGTTCTGAGCCATTATTTAGAAACAACTTTCCTATGATTCAGACACCAGAAAGCAAAAGAACCTCTCACTGTAGTTAAACAGAGGATGATATGCAACATTTGTCATATTCAGAGTAGGCTTAAATCCACTGATTTCAAAATGACTAATGCTGGATATCAGGGAATTCAGCCAAGTGAAAGGAATTTCAAAAGGGAGAGATTACAGCACATGCTTAGCTCTCCTATTGTAATCAATGGGACCTAGAATGTGAGATAACTTTACACAGCTAATTACCAAAGTGATTTGGGAAGTCTGACATATTTCAGAGAATGGAATTTTACAAATACAACTAAAAAAACTGGGGTAAGTCTGCTGCTGAGAAAGTGTTTTAACCAAATCAAGTCAGACCTCCGTTTCATACTGTGAGGAATATACAATGTGTGGTCCATGCCAACAAACCCAGGAAACAATTTTATTGAACCAAATTTGGGTCACAGTAATTGCACAAGTTTATGACTCACGCCAAGGAGTAAATTTATTTTATTTCTCACATTTTGGAAATGAGATTTCCAAAGGATAGAAACATACAGCGATCAGTTAGGAGAGCGCTGTCTTTTATTCTTGCTGTAACAATAAACAAAGCCAGTCGTTTCATTTTGTCCTGAGGAAAGTGAGAGCACTTTTCAACGCTGGCTTGAAAACCACTGTGAATTGACATGTTACAGCACTGGACAGGTTACTCAGCACTAATGACAGCTTTTAGTTGTCCTACGTCGCTTTATGGATCCAAGTCCTTTTTTAAAACCTAGTATTAATCCTGCCATTATTTAAACAAAGGCTGTGGCTGAATTCTTGCAATGAGTGAGATGTGATTGCAGGGAATAAAATGGACAAATATCCTCTGTGGCCAAGAACAACAGCCAGATTGATACTGGGAATTTCTGCCTCATCCTATGTAGGTTTACTCAGAAACCTATCTCAGTGTGGGACTTACTTCCAAGTGTGCATAGGATTGCTGCCTGAGGAATAAAATAAACCTTGCAAAAATCTTCTCAGAAGTTGTCCCGTTCAGTTCAATGGAGCTTGTTCCCAGATAAGTGGGTACAGTGGCACCTAGGTTGTTAAATGGCTTGTCTCCTGAACAAGTTGGCTTCCGAACGCCGCAAACCCGGAAGTGATTGTTCCGGTTAGCGAATGTTTCTTGGAAGCCAAACATCTGATGCGGCTTCTGATTGAGTGCAGGATGGTTCTGCAGGCAACTGGAAGCTGTGCCTTGGTTTTCAAACGGTTCCTGGAGTCGAACGGAGGCCTGGAATGGATTAAGTTCGACAACCAAGGTACCACTGTATTTGGAATGCAGTCTAAATAGCTTCCTTTTAACAGGAGTCTCCCTCCACATAGATTTCTTTCCCATTAACTGAACTGCAGGTGAAGGAGACCAATCCACTTTAACAGCTTGGGAAACCAATCAAGCTCATCTTACTGTCTGCAACCAGTCTCATTTCTCTGAAGATTTAAAAAAGTTTTAAAGAAGAAATGCAATAAACTGAGGGAAGAATTTCCAGCATGGAAATTCTGAGTAATAAATCAAAGGCACGACCCCTACACTTGCACTACTTGCAATTTGTCATTCACTTCTGAAATGCTGACAGCACATTCAGCATCCAGACACAAAACAGAATAATTGTTATTGTTTTCTTATGATGATTTGCAGGGTCATCTTTCATTGAGGAACAAGTGGCTCAGAACATTAAACAGTGCATGAGAAATTGATTTCTACTATCACTTACCTGTGGGCTGGACAGCGCCCTGACAGCATTCAGATCAGACCCTGAACAAAAAGTGTTTGCTGCACCACGGACAATTAGCCCTTTTCCATCCGTCCAGTTTTCCAATTCAGCAACCCTCTCCTGTAGCTCTAGCATCATCACACCTGCCATCAAAAGAAGGAGCATGTGAGGGTCACCTTTAGAATGCACTTTATTAGAAAAACTAGTTTGAAAACAATTATATGGTTCTATGATAATGATATATGACTCTATATGAAAAGGCTATACTATCAGCATCTATACTTTCTATTTTTAAAAAACAGAACTCCTATTGTCGACTCTGTCCTGGCTGCACCTCTTTACCTCTGCACCTCTGGCTGCACTTTGGAAAGTGCTGGTGGAAGGAAGGTGCCAAGTGTCCGTCCAGGGGAATGGCTGGGTAGGGGTCACCAACCTTTTTTAAGCCAATGGGCACATTTGGAATTTTGAGGAAGTGCTGTGGGTGCCAGTCACATGCCACAGGGCATATAGTCTCACAAAACGATGCTGTGGAGTGTGACGTAACATGAAATGGCTGCTGGGAGAGCATGATATAATGGCTTACACATCTTTTTTTTAAAAAACAAACAAACCAGAAAAAGAGACAGGACTAACCACAAAATCATGGTGGCCACACACACACCCCCAACCTCCCAGAGGAAAAGCATTATCAGTCACTGCTCTACATGCTCACATGTAGATGCTCCTTGCACTTCTCTAGTGAATTTTCTTTCCCTTGGTAAACTTGTGGCTTGACACTTTTAATACCCCCAGATGATTTAATGGATTCTCGATATGGTATATTTATTGATTTGAATCCTTTATTAATTTATTTATTAGTATCCTATCCAAACTCTTGAAACAACATAAGCATGCAGTGGCCAAACGCCAGCCAATGGGAGAATGTATCAGTATTCCAGGGTCTCCACTGTTATAAGCTTCTAGCTGTAATTCACAGTGAGAGGACTTGACCTATGATTTCCTAAATCCTCGACCCCTGTGGTCATATTTCAGTTTCCATGGTCAGCAGTGATTAGCCTAAGGTTACCAGATTTTTTCCAATGAATCCAGGGACACTTTTCAACTTCAATGGATTTTGTATGGGTACTGATTTGTAAATCTGAGGACTGTCCCCAGGAACGGGGATGTCTGGTACCCTTAGACCAGCATACAGGTCTATAGAAAAGTGCTTGTCCAGCTTTTATGCCCTTTCTCTGGAACACTGAGGAAGTCAGAGCAACTTCCAGAAGCAATACAAGACTTTTTTTTAAAATCCATGATGGCATTCAGTAGCAATTTCTAGATCAGCATTTGGTTAATCCACCTACATTTCTATATTGAAAATCCTTATGAATATTGCTTTGGACTTGGAGCCTTAAGAAAAGAGCAGGTTACGAATTTAAATAAACCAAGAATTAAGTACATTTGGGCAGATATATAAAACAAAGAGAAAAGAACTGGGGCATCTGGCTTCAGGCTCACTGAACCGTTGTGAGAAAAGGCTTTTTCAACATCTATAGTGTGGTATTACAGAGTCCCTGTGAAGAACACGACCCATTTAAAATCTCTGTGATTGCAAGATAATTCTCATCACATTTGAAGGCAGGTGTTAAGGAGTCATTTCTGCCTTTGCACATACTGAAGAGGAAGCAAACACATATTATTAAATGTATTAATAATTAAGAAAGTATTCACTTATTTGCTATACTAGACACCCAATAGCTATCACTCTCTGGGCATCATACAAAGAGGAGAGAGAGAGAATATATAAATGTACATAACAAATTGCAAAAACCATCCACAACACATTGCTAATACCTGTAAACGCATTCATAAACCTTGGATTGTTCAATGTCAGTATCCCAATCCCATCATCTTCTTTAGAAAGGTCAACAGATCCACCTGCAAATTGCTGAAGCTTCTTCTTTATTTTCTCCTCCTCAAAGCCATGAGTATGGGTATGGAGGGACAAACTCACTTGTGGCAACAATCTGCCATGAGTAATTCGATGAAAACTCTTCCATAGTAAAATGGTCATTTCTGGAAAGGAGCACAGAGGAGAAATCAATCCAGGTTGATGATGCCTAATTGCATCTTATTTTTCAGACCTATCTAAACAAAATAAAAAAATTCCTTCTAGTAGCACCTTAGAGACCAACTAAGTTTGTTATTGGTATGAGCTTTCGTGTGCATGCACACTTATTCAGATACACTGAAACAGAAGTCACCAGACCCTTATATATAGTGGGAGGGTGAAAGGGTGGGAAGGGGTATTACTCAGAAGGGTGGTGGGAATGGGTGATTGGCTGATAGGTGTCATCCACCCTATCAGCTACCTGAAGGTACAGGTATATCCCTATATGAGCCTGCCTGGGTGTCAAGATCTTCAGTGAGGGGCCTTCCTCTTGGCTCCACCACCCTTACAGACACATTTGGTGGGGACACGAGAGAGGGCCTTCTTGGTAGCTGCTCCCACAGAAGGCTAGGCTGGCCCCCTCTCTGCTTTCCTTTCGTTGACAAAGACTTTTTTGTTTGGGCAGGCCTTTGGCCACTAATTGGCTGTTGCAGCAGGGTCTTTTAATGGCTGGCTTTGTATATTTATTTTCTGCTTCTCTTGTTGCATTTTCAAACAGTTTTAAGTTATTTTGATTCAGTGCTGCTTTTAATTTAGAATCTTATTTAATAGTTGCTATTATTTTTTACTATTTATAACTAACTGGTTAGTTTATTTAGCTATATTTGTTTCTAATTCATGTTGCAAGCCGCCTTGGGTCCAGCACTGAAGGAAAGGCAAGATATAAATAAAAATAATTTTTAAACACCGTAACTACGGTAATTTTGCCTTGGCAAGTCAAAGGGCAGGTAGCAAATGTGGACATTACAGCCAGGTGATGCTCAGGAGTCATGAACAACAAGTAACACAATACAAGGTACTATCACAAAATTATTTTTCTCTCCCCGCACCCCACCCCTCTTCTCTAATGCTAGTCATTGGCACACCATGATTTGGGTCAAGCACAAAAAGATTGATATTTTCAATAGCTTAATCTGAAAAACACAACTGCCCTGGAAAGTCTGATGTCGAAGCTCACGTTTAAACCTCTTTTAAAAAAAAAAAAGATATTAATATTTGATTTTGAATAGGGTTCTTAATTTATGGAATGTCTGACATTTTATCTTGCAGGCGTTCAGCAAGATAAATGGCCAATTAGCATTTTCATAATGCCTCCTTGATTTATTCCACATGAAATCAACCAAGTGGGTTTTGAAGTTCTCCAGCAATAACTAGGTCAGCCCTTGAAATTTTTGTCATAAGTCTAGTAAAGCATAACCACTAATAGTTCAACACCAACACCAAGAACCCAGTCAGCCATCAACACCACTCTCTAGCCACAGTCCCCACCTTCTCTACTAAACTATGGCTACTCAATGGCTTTGCTATATTGAATGCTGGAGAAAAACCAGCAGCAACTTTAATTGTTATGTAGAAACATTCCCCTATAGCTTCCAGTTACTACTATAAGATTAGCAAATTTGATAAAATGGGATTAGCACTCATGTACATCCCGAGGGATGCGGGTGGCACTGCGGGTAAAACCTCAGCGCCTAGGACTTGCCGATCGCATGGTCGGCGGTTCGAATCCCCACAGCGGTGTGCGCTCCCGTCGTTCGGTCCCAGCGCCTGCCAACCTAGCAGTTCGAAAGTACCCCCGGGTGCAAGTAGATAAATAGGGACCGCTTACTAGCGGGAAGGTAAACGGCGTTCCGTGTGCTGCGCTGGCTCGCCAGATGCAGCTTGTCACGCTGGCCACGTGACCCGGAAGTGTCTGCGGACAGCGCTGGCTCCTGGCCTATAGAGTGAGATGAGCGCACAACCCTAGAGTCTGGCAAGACTGGCCCGTACGGGCAGGGGTACCTTTACCTTTTTACATCCCGAGTAGGTTCACAAAGTATTCATATGAAAAACCATGGTGCCTGGGTGATGCCTTTTAAAATATCTATTGGATTTATTCTAACCAGATACTCCATTGTTTGCATGTATTCCACTGACATCTCCAATTTAAATAATGCTAATCTTGTATCACTGTTACTTGATTTATTATTTTAAATTGCTTTTATTTTATCTCAGTTGCCCTGATAGAAGCTATTGGGTACTTTTTCTTTCTCCCTCTCCTTTTTTTAAACTTGGAGGGCCTGTTAGGCCTTTCATTAACAAAACAGATGAATAAGTCTGAAGGTATATGTTAAAATCAGCATTCTTCCTAGTTATTTCCCCAACAAAGTGACTTTCTACCTAACCTAGTTTCACCTGCAACTGCTAAGGTTTTCAAATCCCATTCAGGAAAAGCAAATCCTGCAGCATTCTGGGGGATGGGACTCCTCCCTGATACAGAGGATATGAAGATTCAGGCCCAAATACTATCCACAAAGCTACCCTACGATAATTGATTTGTTTCCACAAACAGGAGAATGGTTAAGGTACAGCATTTGTAAAGACAACATCTTTCTGTTTCAGAGTTAGGCTCTGAGGCTTCCTGAATTAATACCTGGCAAAGTTCCCCCATCTCTGCAAGATTCATGAGCCTAAAACACCAAAGCACTGGACGTTTTCTGCTTTTTATAGTTATTAAGAAAGATTATATTATAACCCAACAAAACCCTTACTTTCCTTTCCCTCTGGTAATAGCTAAGAGGAAAAGTCCTCAGCTTTTAGACAAATAAAAACTGGAATGGGCAAAGGTATTTTTTTTCCATTCAGTTTTACCTCTGAACAAGACACGCATCGCCTAACCTAAATGAGAAAAAAGGAGATGAAGATAGCAATCACCACCAAAAATTACATCTGCTCTCTTTATTGTTTTTCCTTTTATCTAACTTAACATATATTTCACTTCCCTAATTTCATCCCATTTCTTTTTCCCCACAGGCATCATTACTTTGAAGTGCTCAATTTTTTGGATGGCAAACCAAGTGCTTTCAGATTTACATAGAATTCATTTGTTCTGTCTCTTTCATGTTCTATCGAGATTTTGGATTTTCTTTAGCCAACTGAAAGCCCACACATCTCTTGGCCTGGTTTGAGGAAAAGTTAGAGGCAAAATATTCCACATGGAGTTTTATGGTTGTTTTTATGATGGTAGTGACTCCCTTGTTAATTAATAAAATTATTTACTTTTGATGTTATTTATTTTCAAATGAATAATTTCTTTCTTTCTTTCTCTTTCCCAAGAGGGCTGATAACATCAGAACATCTATGTACACCATTTTTTTCAGATGAATGCGTATTTACTTTTTACCCTAACACTTATTTTGAGTATTTATAAATTGTCTCTATATTTTTAAAAGAATCTAACATGGTTCACAGCACACATTTTTAACAGCCAGATACAAAACCCCCACATTTGCTTCCCTACCCACATAAATTCATCTGAAAAAGAATAATCTCCCTTCTCTCCAGAACTATAATCCTAGCTAAAAATAAATATTGAGTTCATTTGAAGGACAGGTGACAACCGATTTAAAAACAACAAAAAACACCCAAAATGTGTTATTTAGAATTCAATTAAATATAAATCAAAAGCTATAAACCACAATGGAGATTTATTGATTATTTATTTGATTTATTATCCACCCATAAGCCTAAGGTACCAAGGTAGGGCACAACCATTTAAAATACAGCATTAAAAATAGTTTAAATGATATGACAATCACAAGAATAGGGTGGGTCCTAAAAATACGCATCTCAAGTGTCAAAGGACAGGGTAAAGAGGTGCATAATCAGCATTCAGTGTAAACTGTACAGTGAAGGTGTCAGGCACGTTCTGTGAAGAGGGAGTTCCACAGCTTATGGGTTGCCACAGAGAAGTTTTATGGTTGTTTTTATGATGGTAGTGACTCCCTTGTTAATTAATAAAAAAAAAAAAATCTGGGGCAGCAGAACTACCAAGAGGGTGCCCTCTGCTGATCTTAACATGTGAGAGGGTCTGGAGGTAAGAAGGCGGACTTTCATATATTTGGGGCCTACCACATTTAGGGCTTTAAACACCAACATGTGCACCGTGGATTGGGCCCCAAAATTAACCAACAACCGATGCAGCTGTTCTAAAAGGTTTACTGTTACATGCCACCCTGATTTCCAAGCGGTGAGAGATACCAGGGGTTCCAGCGGTTACTCAGGGTTTGGTATCCTTGGAATATTTATTTACACATATGTACAACCTGGGCAGAGGTTGGAGGGGTTCACAGAATTAACACCCCAACAGAGCTTGCTTCTCCGCTGTTACCAGGAGAGCCCCAAAGTCCAGCGCAGAGCTAAATGTGTCTTGCTGTCCTCAGCTTTACAATATCCTTCTGATTCTTTTGCTCACTCACACAATTCTCTGCAATGTAACAGCCCTTCCTTCCTCCCCATTTGGATGCTCCTGACAGCTCGACCCTCTGAAGTGCATATCAAGGCTCTAGAAGTGGCCATCTGGTCTCTGTGTACAAAGGACTCGCTGGACTGGTTTCTTATATTTGCATCATATACCTTAATCTTCACCCCCCCCTAAAGTCAGCAAAACTGAAAGGTCTCAGCTGATTTTCAAGAGTTGTTCTGGCTAAGCCTTTGGTGTATTTGCAAATGTTGTTTTGAAATAGTAAATGTGTTGGCTCTTTAACCCTGTCTGTATGCGGCCACTACACAGGAGCATAGAAGCCGGAAGCCCAAGAACTGAAGTCTCATAAATGCAACCAGTGCTGAGGAGTCAAAGTGCAATTTTTCTAGAAAAAGAGGTGCCGGAACTCACCATGAACCCTTGTTCTCTTAGAGTGGCGCCCACCTGAGAGGTGCCGGAACCCAGTTTTTAAAGAACACAAGATCAAATGCTCTGGGAGCTGTTGCTTAGTACTTACTTTGTGCTAAAGCCAGGAAGCAGTTTCTGTCTCCACCAGGTGAGCAGCAATGGATGCCCAGTTCATAGTTACAGGAGCGGTTTATGGCAAATTGTAAAATGTTTTTATTGTTCTGACTACACAGGCTCACATCAGCAAGATCAGTCACAGAGGTTGGCTGTAAAAACCCTCACTATAGCCAAACATTTCCAATTAAAATTCACACAGTCTCACAAAGGTGAAGTAAACCTATATTCCTTCTAATACATCTTTGCTTTGAATGCTCAGCTCCAGACTCGGAGGTTTTGTTACAATCATGTGGTTAAATAGATTTTGTTAAACACAATTAGAAAAGCCGTGCCTTATAGATATAGACACATGCATGCAGGACATTCATATGTAGCAGCAGGAGTGGGACTGTGCTATTGGCCCAACCCCCAACACTGCGTTCCCTTCATCCTGACTTTCACATGTTGAGCAAAGAGGTCTGAAAGAGAACTGTTGGCACAAGCTCTACACAACTGGGAAGCCCATGCAATCAGAGATGCAATGTTGGGGTGGGGAAAGAAGCATAGCCCTGTTCCTGCTGCTACATTCAAGTGCCCTAGACACAAGTCAGTGTGTGATTAGAGCTACACTGAAGGTCCTTTAGGACGCAAAGTGGGAACATATTGATCTTTAGACCACAGCAGTGACAGAAAACACCAGGCCTCTCTTGTCTTCAATGCCGTTGGATCAATTCTAATTGACGTTTCCCACACTCATCCCAGTTGAGCCCTACACTTTAACCACAGGGCATGGTACCAAGCAACAGAAGGATCTATTTAGCATGGTGGCTTCCCTTGTGTGAGTTGACTACCTTCACTGACAGAAAGGGATGGAGGAAGGATAAAGGGAGATTCTCTGGTTCAACGCTTTAGACTAATCAGTGCAGACTGTGACCTATAGCCTGAAGGGTTGGCAGATGCTGAATCAATGCGTCAGGAAACTGGAGGAAATGTGCCAACAGACCCTTAGAAATGCCTTCTGTGCCCACTCTCATATAGCTGCATCATCTCAGGGTGGGATTTTTAAAGGAAAAAGCAGAACCTGGATCTAGTGGAGATAAGCACAGCAAAAAAAAAAAAAAAGCAAGACGCACTCCCCTCCCTTAGTCACGGCTTTCTTTTGTGCTAGAGCCAGGAAGCAGAGAAAACTGAATTGGGCACCTGTCCATGGAATCTATGTTCATGACCTCAGAGGAGAGGAAAAACCCAAGCCAATAACCACACAGCACACTTTTATCTGAAATGGTTCCGACAGGCAAATATACATTTGTCCCAATTTTGGAAAAATGTGCATCTAAGTATATTTGCTAAATGACATGGGCAAACTACGAGTGTATATTTGTAGGATAAGAAACTGTTGGCAAAGTGGTTCTTTAGGCAGAGGTTGGCCATAAAAAGACTTTTTGCCCTTTGTAAAGTGTCATGCACACCAGTGGGGGTTGATAAATAATAATAATGTTCACAAATTTTAACTGCTTTTTCATTCATCAAGATGACATATCATATAATCAGAGAATTGGAAAGGACTATGAGGGTCATCTAGTCCAACCCCCTGCAATTCAGGAATCCTGCCCACAGTCATCCCTGGATGGACTTGAACCACCAACCTTCTGGTTAAGAGCCAGATACACTGACACACTGTGCCACTGGAAGGATTTTAATGCCTTTCCAGTTGCTAGGAGACTTGAGGCATCTACAAACGCAGTGTTAGCAAATTATTATCAAAGCAGCTTTTCTTCATAGGGTTTCTATTTTACATTCAATATTCATTGGGTACTTTGAATGAGAACACAGGAGAAATGACTTTGGAATGGTGGCTTTGAAAATAGTGATGTTCTAGATTTTTAAAACTGCACAGTATTAACCTTTGTTTTTCAAAGAACAAAAGTAGTCAGAAAATCATAGGATTGTAGAGTTGGAAGGGATTCCAAGGGTCATCTAGTCCAACCCCTGCGATGCAGGAATCTCAACTAAAGCATCCATGACAGATGACCCTTTAGTGTTTTATACATTTCTCCAATTGGGAGCTCAAAGCTTCTTTTTAAACAATATTGCAGTAAGGATTTATACAGTGCACAACAAATGCCCTACATACCACAGTGTCTCATCCACCTCTCTAGGTTAGAAGCATTTTTAAGGTAATAACACATATTAGCCTAAAAAACCCCTCACATTTTTTTAAAAGTTGCATCTCTGGATTTATGGCTCATTCAATGGCTGCAAACTTTCCCAAATAGGAAGCAGATATAAACCTTAAGGAAGAGATCTAATCTACTCTGGTTTGAACATAATTTTTGCCTTAGCAGCTGTCATTGTCCATCTCTATTCCCCCACCCTGCATGATATTTACATTTACAGAGGTTTCTCAAACTTCTGTGGGTTAAAATGAGCAAAGACATTCATAGCACAGCAAATCTGGAAATAATCAATGCAGTATAGATTAAACTGGTAGTCAGTTTGGTAATAAAATTCCAAATTAGAATTTCTTGCCTGGCACTGATTTAGAATTCTGTGCACACTCTACACTGACATTTCACTATCAAATCTTTGTACATTAAGCTTTAGGAAGAGAGATTGTGCAACAGCCTCAGGATATGCTTGAAGAAAACCAATTTTTGTACCATCAACTCTAATTGCCTTTAAACTAATGGAAAAGAGCGAAAATGGTTAAGAGACCATGAAAAAGGGGGAAACTAGAAAGTTTATGCTGCAATCCTTAGAAGTTCCATAGCACATTTAGGCAAATAAATACCATTTTTTCTTCATTTTAAACACGAAATATCTTACAACCTCTTATTTCTCCTTATTGTCTATTATTCAGGTATATCCCAACTTAACAGGACAGACTCAAAAAGCAGCGAAGGAGATCTCTCTCTCCATCACACACAGTATACTCTATCCAGGCCACGAAGAGTTCAAGGGCACACTAATTTAAGGGATAAACATTTGGAGAGAGGAGGTGTGGTAGACAATGGGGTGTGGCCCAGGAAGAGTCCCAAGGGGCAGACAGGGAGGCTCGGAGGGTTATATTTGGTCACTGAGCATGAGGTTAGATACAGAAATATACCAAGCCAGACCATTCATCCATCCACACTGGACTGGTATGAAGCTTCTAAGGTTCTTAGGTAAGAGACATTCTCAGCCCTACCTGGAGATGCCAGGGGGTGAACATGGGACATTCTGTGTGCAAAGCAGTGCTCTACTGCTGAGCCATGCCACTTTCCCAAGAAGATTCCCAATTCCTGCTCAAAAGGGTTTCAAAAGTCATCTAATTCAATCATTGGGCAAAACTCATCCATCACGCCTGTACCAATCACTCCACTTAATCCAGATTGCAGTATACTAGACAGAGCACTTTCTGCCCTAAGCATGTTTCCTTGGCTGTTAAGTCCTACCAGATTCAATATGGGTAACTCTGAAATAAATACACTTATGGTCACAGCCAGTATTTCAGAACCTTACAACTCCTTCAGGTTCCGAAATTACATCAAACCCTTTACTTTTGAGATTTTGATCATGACACTATAAAAAGAACAAGCCCAAGAACTGTCAAGAGGCAGCAGGACTCTTCTTTCCATAAAATATGGAAATAAAAAAGTATGTAAGGAGATGACTGTATCACCCCCTGCAGCATATTAAGAGCTTAATTTGAGCCAAGGTTAATGCCTAGATTCCTCTTAGATGAGATAAAACACATTTCCCTGCCAAACTAATTATCAATGCATGTGGCAGTTGCACAAACCTACCACACAATAAACGTTTATGTAGAATTTTGTAATGTCTAACGCTACTAGAAGGAACCACGACCAAGCTGTACTCCGTTTTGGGGGTGGGGGGTAAATGCTATTCCAGCTAACACTGGTCTCCAGCAGGTGGGTCGGGACCCACATGGTTGCATTCCAGGATGGGTCGCAACAGCTGCGCTACCACCGTGCAAGTACAGGGCAAGAGAAAATCAAAAGGCGTCCTCACGCCCCCGTTTAAATTAGATGTGGGTCCTAAGTCTGAAAGCACCCCAGACTAGGTCCCACGCATCCTCCTTTCCCAACCAGGCACGGTTTATTTACTTATGTAACCACCACGCGTTAATACAAAAGGGAAGACAGGAAGGAGAAAGCCAACCAACAGAAAGCAGCAACTTAATTACAGGAGAAAGGGAAAGAAGCCAACAATTAGCGTTCATAATTCCCGAAGGGGGAATCGCAAGCTCATTTCCCCGGAGTCTGGCGGTAGGGTTCTTGCAACTAAGCGTTATGTATTTGCAGAGACTAGTCCATAGCAGCAGCAGGGGGAGGAGGAGGGAGAGGTCTGGGCTGCCGCATTCGCGTCCTCAGGCGAACGTGCCTCGCCAGGATCACTAACCTGCAGTCCGCCAGCAGGAAGCGCCGCAGCGAAACGGGACTCGTCGTGTGACCGGGAAAGGGTTCCTCCAGGAAACCACACCCCTGCACAGGGGTTCCGTGGAACGGGGCGGCGCAATGGTAGAGCTTATTTGTTACATACGGATCTAAGGAAAGATCCTCGCAAGCCTGCGGTGAACGGGGTCAGGACCAGCTGTTTTCAGCCCTCAGTTTCTAAAGCTAAAGGGTTCAACGGAGTGGCTTCTCCGGTGCTGCTGCTCGTCAGCAACAGATCGGTGATTAGAAGCACGCAGCCGTGTTTCCAGTGGAGCAATTGCAGGCATGGTCGCACGCGTGCACGCGCCCCCCTGTGGCTTCGCCTTGCACACGCATCCAGAGCCGCAATAGCCCGCTGCTTTCATTTCTTCTGCCTTTTGCAGAGTCGGACCGTTGACCCTTCTAGGCTCCAGTGCCGGATTTACGTAAAAGCTAAACAAGCTATAGCTTAGGGCCCCCCCCCCAAAAAAAATTAAAGAAAAAAAACCCCTGGATGTACATTTCCAAAATATAAGATAAAAATAAAATAAAATGAAACCTACATACAGCAACAGTGTTTTGTGTTCTAGGCTCCTATGATGTAAGTAATGGGCCCCGCCTGCTAGCCTGCTCCCTAAAATATCACTGGTTTTCTCATTTCTATATATAGAGTGCTTACATAAAATATGTATTTTATGATAAAATACATATTTTATTATGTACAAATGGCTTTAGATGCCTATTAGGTCCATAAATTACCATATAGCATATATTCAACACAAAAACCAGTGACAATTTGTTGACAAAGGACAGCTGGACATATAAAGGGCCCCATTACCTTCAGTAGCTTAGGGCTCCATCAAACCTAAATCCAGCCCTGCTTCTAGTCCAACATTCTCCTGGTCTAATTGGGAGCAGGTTCTTGCTTTGTTGCCTGAGAGCTGCAGAGATGCTTGTGCTTTCCAAGGTATAGCTTCCTAGGTGGAGATTGCCACAAAATTCAAGCTAGGACCATACTAGTCTGGACAGCAGGAACTGACCAAGCAGCACCACTGATACTGCTCATTAAATGGCTCATTAAATGAGAATGTAGGCCTCCTTCAGATGACCTGTTTATTGAGCATTTGTCCTGAAAGCTAACGCAGAGGTTAGATTAGATCTCGTCTTTCTTTATAATTTGTTCCTATTCATTTGGAATGAGTGTTCCACACAAGGAGCATTCATCCTGCATTGTTTTGCAGGGTGTTTATCTGTCTTCCCGTTAATCATTAATTCAGTCCACCATTTTTAATGCATTTCCCTGCCAGTTTCCCAACTGCCAAAAATCATTTTTTAAAAAAGTGGATGTGTTGTGCAAGGGCAACAGAGCACATGAATCCACTTTGGTTGTGCAAACCTTTCCCAGTTTGTGCTTGGATTCCTCCTGCAAAATACTGACTGTCTGGAGGTGACCTGACTGCCAGCACAACCAGGCAGTATTTTGCTGATGCATCCAGTAAAATTGTGTTCTCAGCCAAACAGCCAATGTCGTGGTCTGAAAAGCCAATAAACTCCTAATTCTGCTCTAGCTTGACTCTTTTCAGGGGCACTAGTTAAATCACAACAGAGAAAAGAATCCTTGTGTATAATCTGCTGCACTGGATAAAATAAGACCCATCTGAAAATTTGTAACACACACACACACAGAGAGAGAGAGAGAGAGAGAGAGAGAGAGAGAATGAGAATGGTGGATGACTAACCAAACAGTATTGATCCTGGTGTTTTTGAAAGTGCCAACTTTGGGGAAATTCAGATAGCGAGAACTTGGTAAGCATCCATGCTGTTTACTGTTTAACGATTCTGTTCTTTCACACTCATTTTAATGGGGTGAAATGATCATATTATGGGATTAATCAAAGTGCTTGTGAAATCCACACAGGTGTTCCAAACACAAGAAAAAGAAATCCATACCTATTATATTCAAGAAGGCTAACAGTGTCAGCTAAGGAAATGTTAATATTACACCAGCTATATGGAGGGTCTGTCATATACCAACACATTTCATAATTGTAGACTGCAGTAAATTAGTGTAGTCTTTCTCTAGGTAGTATGCTGTCACCTAGCAGCAGAACAGGGAACAGCATGCTTAATATCCCCAAATAGGTACTGTATAAGGAGAGCCTTTTACCAGCTTTATTTTTTATTTCATAAAATTCATATACTGCTTGATTTAAAAAAAACTAAAACCCTCAAAGCAGGTTACCAAATGAATAAAACAATAAGATTATTAGTAAAATTAATTAAAAATTAAACCAATAAACTAAAAACACTGGCATTCTATATATCTGCGTCTAAGCAAACATGTTTTTAGCCAAAAAGAGTACAATGAAGATGCCAGATCTGAATCAGAATCACTTGGTCACTGTAGTCCATCTATCTGTAACCTCAAGACTGGATTGCTGTGATGTGCTCTGTGTGGGGCTGCCCTTGAGCCTGGTCCAGAAGCTGCAGCTGGTAGAAAATCCTGACAGCATGGTACTCCTCTCCTAAAGCATGTGCTTACTGGGCCAGGATCAAGGTTCTTTGGTTGATATACAAAGCCCTGAACAACTTGGGCTCAGGATAACTTAAGGACCACCTCAAACCTTACTGTCCATCTTGATCACTGAGATCTTCCAGAAGAGTGATGTTAGTTGCTCCCCATGGCCTCAACTAGAAATGCCATTGCCACTCTTCTAGCAGAGATGTAGCAGTTGTCCTCTCTTTTTATTTTCTGGTGTTTTTTTAAAATAATTTTGAGCTTAAAGCTGTTTAATTTTTGATTAGTCAGTCACCGTAATGATTATCTGTATTTTTTTTTTAAATTGAATGATGTTTTATGTTTCAATAGTATAATATACCACTTTGATATATTATGATATGGTGGTATAGAAATACTTCTATAAATATGAATATTAAATATGTTGAATAATCATATTGGGTATCTGTAGAATTTGAAATGGAAGCCTTTTAGTGTGTTTCAAGTATGACAGCTCTTGGTCATACATGTCTCCTTCCCCCAAGGAAATAAACAGTAGTGTACTGCTCAAACTTCGGATGATGCTCCCTTAAACTTTTGAACTCAGAAATTTTATATCAAAATGCAGGACAAGATAAATCTTGGGCTAGGTTGAGTTGCTAATTTTCCAGGTGAAAATTACCTACGAAACCTTGTGATGCCAATTCTCAAACCCATTTCCTGATTCACTGACTATTCATTGTTATGTAAATAGAGACTTGATGACACCCACCGCTGGGTAGGACAATGTCCACACTCCATTCTCAGTTCTCTTGCATACAAGCTGAACATGAAGCTGTGTGGCGATTAGGGCTGCTAACGTTTTACATGTCCAATATACCTGTATGTAATATAGGTGATCATTTCCATTTGCATGCTTGGGAAAAGTGGTATCATTTTGCACATCAGTCAATTGTTACATGCACAAGAACAGGCCATGCTGCCTTTTATTTTAAAGGTGCAGCACTACTGTTTTGCAATATCACAATCACAAAAAAGGCTAAGCTAATATGTACCGTAATCATGAATAGGACTGACACACCCAGACTTACATGTGGCAGCTGTCAATCAGAAGTCCTGCAGCCGTGAAGGGAAATAACACTTGTGGAATTTAGTATGGTGATTACTACAGCACCGGCAATGTGAATGACACTTCCAGGGTGCACGAGGACAGATCTCTGCCCCTAGAAGCTTACAGTCTATAATTCACATTGTTGTGTGGGGCAACAGAGGGAAATGGAGTCTTCATTTGGGGAAAGGGGATGCCTGAGTTATTCCACTTACAGTAGAGCACTAGGATGACTAGGTTGTGCCAAAGTTTCCTTCGAAAAGCTAAGTTTTGAGGCAGAAACTAAAGGAAGTTCTGTGAATCAGGAGTGAAGCAGTTTCAGGCATGAAGGGCAACAGGGAAAGAGGCAGAAGGGGTACGAAACCTTTGGACAGCAGTGGGTGCTAGAGCTTGAGAAGCAAAAGCCACAGGTGGGGATGTCTTGGTGTAGGAAGAGCAGAGAGAGAAAAGAGGTCAAGTTAAGCTCTGGAGGACCAAAGCTCAGTGGTAGAATATCTGACTTTCATGCAGAAGGTTCCAAGTTCTTTCCCTGATGACATCTCCAGGAAGGAATGGGAATGTTTTTTTCTGAGACCTTGGAGAGCTCCTGTCAGTCAGTGTAGATGGCACTGAACTGTGCGGACCAAGTGCCTGACTTGCTTTAAGGCAGCTTCTTATCTTTCTAATCACGTCTTCACATCTGTAAAAGGTACAAAGTCTTTGGGAGGAGGTTTGTTTGGCAGACCCAAATGTGCACAGACATTCCTAAAAGTGTGGTTTTCTTCCTCATTGGTACACCACCTCCAAAAAATGAGTGGGACCCCTTCACACAGAGAATTCCACACTATTCTTCAGGAAATGTAGTGTTAACTCAAAGCCAGCAGGCCCCTCTGTTTTCTGTTTTTACATTCAAATGCTCTTGGGAAACTGGCTTCAAATCTCACAAGGCTACTCCAATTCTCACTTTTGTTTCCATAAATTAAACGTATGCTTTCAAACAAAACCTGCTAAGAATAGCAGATGGGCTGCTTTTCTGTCTCCATGTGCAGCATTTCCATGTATGATGTTACTAAGAGGTACAAAATAGAAGCATCTTTAAAAGAAAAGAAAGACTTCCCCCCCCCAAAAAAAAATAAGAAAACAAACAGCAATAAAATGCCAGCGCTGATGGCAATTCACATACAGAGCAATCTTTTGAAGGCTTCCAGCTTTGACACAAATAGAAATTACAGAGTATATAATTTATATATCCATACGACAATTAACTTGTTGAGAGATATCCCCTCCATAGCATGGTGTGGTCACTGGGAGCTGATGGGGGTGTTATTTCTGTATATACGTAGCTGGAGAGTGGCAACAATACAGTGTCAAAGCTACCATATTTAGCCACACCTCTTATTACACTGTGATGAGTCAAGTGTTCTCAGAGAGCTACTTCCTGTTAGAATTCCTGCTCCATGAATGCAGTCATGGGATTGTTGTCTTTCACATGACGATATATGTTTTGACTCCACAGAGCGGGATGTGATGGGGACAGGATGTTTGTGTTACTGTGTTCCGTGAAGTGGGATTATTGTCCTTTGTTCTTTTTCTCTTTGCTGTTTGATGCTAGAGAGAGAGGGAGCCATGCTGCCGTGCTCCGTGTGTGTTTATATGTAAATAAAGTAGATTAGGAAAAATGCTGAGTTGCTGAGGTCTGTTACGCAACTGCACAAACTCTGCGGATCCCTAAGTGTGCCGGTGTCGGGTGGCATCGGTTGCTGTGATTTTCAGGCTGAAGAAAGCTTTTGAAGCTCCCGAACAATCGACCAGGAGGGAGAGAACATGCCAGTCGGGCATGTGTCTCTACCAGGGTCCTACTCCGGTGTAGGCTAAGCTCCTGACACTTCCCACTTTTCGGCCCATCACTCTTCTTTGGGGGGGGGGGCTTCTGCTGCCCTTCACCATCTGGCCACCTCAGCCCGAACAGCTGACAATAGTGACACAAGTTCTTTTTGATGAATCAAGGTGTTCTCTTCTGCAAATTAGCATCTCTGTGAACCTCTTCCCCCCCACCCTGGTGCCCTCCAGACGTTAGATGCTACAACTACAACCACCCACCCCTAGCCAACAGAGGTGGATGGGGCTGATGGAAGTTGTAGTCCAAAGGAGGGCACCTGGTTGGCATCTTTCAATCCTACATGTCTGCAGTTGCTCCGTTGCAAAGGATCAGGTACTTAGGCTTCTGCCAAAGTAGCTATCTCTGTAGTAGAAGAAATAACATTTGAATAATCTATACTCTTGCATGTTCTCTGCTCATTTCTGTCCTATACAACAGCTATGAGTTATCATGCAAGTGTACATATTAAATGATGATCACTGTTGCTTTCTGTTCCATCTTTCTGTTTAGACTAGGAATTCTTTTTTCGGGGGATTCAAATTATCAGTTTCATTCTAGATGGCAATATTTAGGGAAATTTTCTTTGTGGAAGTTGTTTCTGGAAGAAACATTATCTACCTTCTGATTCCCATGCTATGTACATACGCACAATCATATTTTGTTGTTTCCCATAAGGTCACTAGGGGGCACATAGCTCTTGAACAGTGTATTTGGAAGCAAAGCCTGACAATGCCGGATCACTGTGAGTTCATTCACTATATACTTTAACAGTACTGATCATTTATCAGTTTGTAGGCACGTTTAACAGCTTGCTTGAAAAAAGCCCATACAGGTAAGACAGGACACAGCTGCATTATTTCATCACAATGGGATAATAAAAAGAAACACACTTTTAGTGCTTTCTCTGCTAAATCCATTTCCTGTTTATCTCTTTCCCTAAATTATCTTTGTTCCTCAATGTAAAATGTACTTTTCACAAGGGGAGGAGTGCAAGAGGAGGAGAGAATATGTGCAATACAAAATAGGGGTCTTTTTAATTTCTTCGACTGTGTTCATATATTTTCAGTATATGAAGGAGCCTTGGGCATGTGCACTCCTTCCTTCCCTGTCATCCTCACTGCAGCCATGAGAAGGAAATTGGAAGCATTTGCTTTTTGTTTCAACTAACCACAATGTGACATTTTTTCAAAACTGAAGCACATACAGTGGTGCCTCGCAAGACGAAATTAATTCGTTCCGCAAGTCTCTTCGTCTTGCGAGTTTTTCGTCTTGCGATGCACGGTTTCCCATAGGAATGCATTGAAAATCAATTAATGCGTTCCTAGGAAACCGCCTTCAGACTCAGGTCCGGGGACAGTCTGTCCCCGGACCTCTTCTGAAGGCTGGGGGGCAAGGGCTTTCTTCCCACCCCCAGCATTTTAAAACACCCGGGACAGCGGAGGACTTCTCCGCTGTCCGGGGCAATTTAAAGCCCCTGGGAAGGCAGGCAGGGGGACAAAGACTTTGCCCCCGCCAGCCTTCAGAAGAGGTCCTGGACCTCTTCTGAAGGCGGGCGGGGCGAAAGTCTTTGCTCCCCGCCTTCAAAAGCCCTCCGGGACAGGCAGGCAGGGGGAGCAAAGACTTCGCCCCCGCCCGCCTTCAGAAGGTCTTCCTCCCCCCGCCCGGCTCGGAGCACCGTTCCGAGCCGGGCGGCGGCGGAGGTCTTCCCTCCCCGCCCGGCTCGGAGCACCGTTCCGAGCCGGGCGGCGGGGAGGTCTTCCCTCCCCACCGCCCGGCTCGGAGCACCGTTCCGAGCCGGGCGGCGGGGAGGTCTTCCTCCCCCCGCCCGGCTCGGAGCACCGTTCCGAGCCGGGCGGCGGCGGCAGGTGTTCCCTCCCCCGCCCGGCTCGGAGCACCGTTCCGGCCGGGCGGCGGCGGCAGGTGTTCCCTCCCCCGCCCGGCTTCGGAGGAGCCTTCCGAGCCCGGCGGCGGCGGGAGGAGGTGTCCCCGCCCGCCGCCAGGCTTCGGAGGAGGTCCGAGGACAGTGGGGAAGACGCGCTGCGCTTCCCGCTGTCCCTGAGATTTCCCTATGGGCTGTCGTCTTGCGAAGCAAGCCCATAGGGAAATTCGTTTTGCGAAGCGCCTCCAAAACGGAAAACCCTTTCGTCTAGCGGGTTTTCCGTCTTGCGAGGCGTTCGTCTTGCGGGGTACCACTGTAGTTTTTCAGCAGGGAGACAAAATGTCATCTTTTTATTTACTTTCTTTTTTATTAAATACAGAATAAAACAAAATCATTGCAGAAAACAGGTAAGAAATATCAAAGCAAAGGAAAAAAGGGGGTAATACATTCTACATGTGACATCAGGTGTGAGGCAGATATGGAAAGGAACAATCAAAGTCCTTAAAGTGCATTCCTAGTTATTTCTTTAAAAGTCCTGCAAGCATTGGCCATACTATGGCATTCCTGATCGAGAACTCCATAGTACAGTTGGTCAGAGCTAATTTTTTATAAAAATAAAATATTACCATGACAAACAACTCAAAAGTGCAGTTGGAGGGTATTACGGTTAAGTATATTTGTTTAATTGACACTGAAATGAGGAATGGCTGTTGCTGAAAGGCTTTAACTGGAAAATTCCACTAAAGCTAAAGAAGTGGTTTCTGTGCTTTAACTGGTTTTTCATTAACTGTTGTTATTCTCTATCAGCTAACACATGCGTGTTTAACCTTAGATCAGGTATTTGGTTGCAAATCTCCATTTTGAAAGGGAGTTGCCTTTAGTCTCTTTTCTCAGGCTCTATGAGAATAAGATGCCTCTCCAGGACCTGCATACCTTAACGGGCTGGAATGCAGGCTAATGGAGCCTGTGAAAGAGAGAGCTAGGTTTATCAGCTCTGATTATAAGTTTATTTCTAAGAAGATGAACCGATGCAGGACTTGGAATTATTTGGATGCATCATTTACTGCGTTTTGTTCTGTTTAGGAGAATGTTCCGCAACTAAAGTTTTGAACATTCTAATGGGTCTGGACAATGCTTCATTCCAAAAGGACCCCGTTTTTATGCATCCAGTCGCTTCAAACTACACAATATTAATATCTGCAATAATTACATCATACTGTATACAAAGCAAATAAACAATAAATAAGTGAAATAAGTGGTGGCACACCAATATAAACCAAGACATCCATATTTCCTGTGCTAGCATGGATTGTGAATGTTGAGCATCTAAGTCCAAAGCATAGGAAATAAAATCTCACCAGATTACAGAAAAGCATTCTGGATCCTCTAGTCTCCTGGACACACTCAATTTACATGTAATCTTTTCTGCCCTAGCCAAAGTCTGTAAGTTCTAGTTAATTCTGTCCAGATCTAGTTCTCTGACTTAAACAATGGTTTCCTATTTGGATGCCATGGAAAACTACTTTAAGAAACTAAAATACCTTAAACTGAGCTTAAGAGGGGAAGAGAAAAGGGAAGGGAGAAAGGAGCATACAGGCACATATATCATATTCAAGGTGACAAACCATGGTTTACTGGACTGGGAATGTTATGTCTGAACTATGCCTAAGGCTGTATTTGCATAGCTTTTCTCACAATTTGGCATATCAGTGCCAGGAAGACAGAGTTTCTTAAAGGAGACTTGTCATGCAAGCCTATTCTGGCCTTGCTGTGACTTCTCGTTGCCACACCATGCTCAAGGTGCATGTGGCTTAAAAAAGTGCCATGCAGTTGTGCTCCTAAATACATAACACATCCCCCGCAGTTCAAACATTACCTCTGTTCAGCAGCAAATTTCCTAGCTGAAGCCTGCTCAACCTCTACAGCCAGAAAGATGATGTTTTCAGAAGAGTTTTGCCATTTCAACATCAGGCACCTGTCCAATTTCATCAGAATTGTGTCTGCTACATTTTAGCACATCCCCCCTCCCTCTAATGATTAAACTACATGCCTGCTCTTCATTTCCCAGTGCTGACCCTCTGCAGCTGTACAGCTGCACTGTGTAAGCCGTACCATGGAAGCCCTCAGCTTTCTCTCTCTGGACAGTTATACTAAACATTTATTTCATTTCACAAAGAGGGCAGCTTCTCTGTTCTTCCCATATATAGTCATGTCGGGGAAGAGCAGGAGCACTGAGGCATTAGTTACAATGACAGGTTTACAAAGTGAAAGCAGAAGGTAAGTCTTGGAACAGTATAGGGGGAAGCAGCAGAGGAAAACTGCCTTAGTACTTCATAGGCTTGTCTGAAGCTGGCAAGAAGCTGGCATTCAGCTCTCTGCTCTTGTGATTCCCTTCACGCATTGGCAGCCTGAAGCGGGCACAGCGACAAGAATCAATGAATGAGTAATGGTGCAGCATTCTGTTTTTCAATGTTGAACTCGACACAAAACAAGGCATGGATTTCAATGAAATATTATGGCCCCAAAGCACAGCTCATTGCTATTGAAAGCTATGGGACTTAGTTACAGTCCAATTGTTAGTTATGGGATTGCAGGGGGCAAGGATCACCTAAAATTCCTGGGTGCCAGGTTTCCGCCACAGTTGCTGAAATTAGTAAATGTGGGGTTTGATCAAAGACCTAAAAAAATCCAGCCAGCTTCCTCAGGAGCTTGGTTTAGAAAGGTGCCATCAAAGAACAAGGACAGGTGATTGCAGAGTCATTACCCTGACAAAAGATGAGACATTCAGCATCAGACAATTAGGCAAGTTCCATTCCTCCTCTAGCTGTGTGCTAGTTGGCAATAAACAATAGCAGATTGGGGAAGGGGAAGTTGTCAGGGCAACAGAGGGTGTGATGTCACCACAGGAAAAAAAGGTGTCCTTTAAAACTGGTTTTTGAGCAAGGGTTTTTGGGAAGAAGGGAGGGGCCAGAACGCCACGTGATGCTGGCTGGGAGAGGCAGAGAACGGGGAGCATGGCTGGCTTCTGCTTTGGATCCAAGCTTGCTGAAGCTATGAGAGGAGATGCACTTGGGGATGTAGTGTTCTGCACTCCGTCCATAAAACTCAGGTGCAAATATGTGTGAATAAACCATATTTCTTAAAGACACTCGCCTCCGCTGTGCCTCATTTTCCCCAAGGGAGCAAACCCTGGGTAAGTGTCAAGGCCCCTGGAAACTCTTGCTAACATTCAGCAGGCTTTGGTTTCCACTGGGAGGAAAAATGAGGCAGGTATTTAATAAGTAAGAAACAAGCAGCTCTCCAGGCAGGAGTCTCTCCTAGCCCTACTGGGGACAGAACCCAGAACCTTCTGTTTGGAAGACAGATGCTCTACCATTGAGCTATGGCCCATCCCCACAGGAAGAGAAAGGGATAGGTAACTACAATGCTTGTTGCAAGTGTATTGCTAATGGATATTAAGTCTCATATTACACACGCCGTAATACCATGTGAAGTAGAAATAGCCTTGATTCCCTTCAACTGTTGGTTAAACAGTCTGCTCTGAAACTTAATATTCAATTTATGCAACAGAAGAGTTGCGGATAATAAAGTGATAGACACTGAGGAATTGAGGCTGGCCAACACACCCTCTGCATTTTATTTCTTTGATGCCATTCTTCTGCAGGCTTTTCAGCAGGAGAAAGCAAGAGGATGTCATCCTGAAAGGACCGCACACAGAGATCATTTCTACAAATAAGCCGAGGGCAAGGAAAGGAGCAACAGGAGGCAGTGGCTGGGCTAAATCCCTCAGGGAAGGAGGGGCATTTGCCAAGGAGGAAAGTAGGCAGGGAAAGGGTGAAGTAATCTTTTTTGGGCCACTGATTCACATATTTGCTGGGACAGAGGGAGTTGAGATCCCACACCTGGGGGCACCCGCTTGGAGAAAGCTAATCTTTGGCACCACCTCCTTTTTCTCAAGGTGATTGCTATTTGTATACACAGAACACATAATCCCACTATCACTTACAATACTTCATACTTCAGAATAGACCACTCTGCCAAGGGCATTTTCTTTATGCGACCGAAATGTCAATGCCTCATAGCAATAAATACTATTATTTATATAGCCCTCTCACACCAGGGAGGCTCCTGTCTTCTTGGCCCTGGGAGGAAAAGGCAGCCCAGCCTTCTAAACAAGGGGCAAACTCGGGGTCTAAGTATGTATCTCCTCTACCCTTTGTCTATTGAATACAATGAAAAGATGTTCAAAAGCTTTCCCGTTTCCTCAGGAGGATTGGTCTAGCTGGCTCCAGCCATTTCCGTTGCATGCAAGGAATAGACCATATGCAAGCCTATCACACACATCCATCAAGATCAATGGGACTTGGGGAGCATTGTGATAAGCAGCTGGATTAGGATCAACCACATGCAGAGACCTCCGTTAGTCAATTGCGCTGTGTGTGTGTGTGTGTGTGTGTGTGTGTGTTAGAAAGAATCCATTCTGAGAGATTGCTCATGAAAATCAGGAGAAGTAGGGTGGTTGCTTGCACATTGCAGACCCCTCAGCTGTCCTGATTTAAGTGGGACATCCCATTTTTGGGCACTATGCTCTCGCACATGTCACCTGGCTCCCATGAAATCACAGCCCCAAAAGACGTGCGTCCCTGTTTTCCTCTGGGCCTAGTTGGAGGGTATGACATTGTCCAAAGAGGAAAAGAAAAGAGGGCACAGATTTCTGTTTGCATGTGCCAATTTACAAGCAAACTATATTTATGCGCTCTGTGTTTGAAAACATCGCAGAGCCTCCAGGCAAAGCTGCAAGAGTTAAATTGCTAGGATGCCTAATGGAGCAGAAGACCGCCTGATCTGCTCTTGTGTCTTTAACGCAGCAGATCAATTTGCAGAAATGTATTCATTCCATTTATATGCCACTTTTCCATGTGAAGGCAACCAATGTAAAGTCTGACACCTAGTGTGCATAGCCACCCGTAGTCCTTTAACTATTCGGGCCCCAAGTCATTTAGGGCTTGAAGGAAAATGTGGGCTATAGTGGGTGAAGGTCTTCATGAAATGGATATAACTATGACCCTGAATATCAAACTACCATTAAAGGGACAGCTAGAGATGCTAGATTAATGGCTGGCAACCTTCTTCTGTTTTAAATTTTTTATTTGTGATTTTTAGTTATATACATTTCAATAGTTTTACAGTCATTTTAAGATTTCAAAACTTGACTGACGTCCTCTTTCTGCGGTTCCTTAAATTTATATTTATCATTTCTTGCATATTCTAAAGTAACTTAACTTATTATTTTATTCACCTACTTTAATTATTTACTCTTATGAAACTGCAGATTATTATAATACCTGTTTACAATTTATTTGTACATATTCAATAAACCATTTCCATTCTTTTTTAAAAAAATGTGTTGTCTTTATTTTGCCATTTTTGCATAGTCCATGAGTTTTTGTATCCAATCTTCTTTCATCGGGACTTCTTTCCATTTGGGGGCAAATAACATTCTTCCTACTGTAATCGCATACATGAATAAATTTCTATTCTGTTTAGGTAGTTCTACCCCTATAATTCCCAGAAGGAAAGCTTCTGGGTTTGTTTTTTTTACAAATGTTATTTTAACATCTTTTTCAATCCATTATATATCATTTCCCGGTAAGCTTTAACCTTACTGCAAGACCACCACATATGACAGAAAGTACCTTCTTTCTCTTTGCATTTCCAACACTTACTCCAACTGATTTTAAAATCAAGGGCATGTAAAAGCTACTCATGCATTAGCCACAGGAAGGGTTAACATGTGAGTCCTGGAAAAAAGTGACAGGCAGAGTGCCACAAGAGGCTGCCCTGGGTCTGTTGTTGTTTTAACATCTTCATAAATAACATGGATGAAGGTATTGAGGGGATGCTTATCAAATTTGCAGATAACAGCAAACTGGGAGGGGTAGAAAGTGTCAAAGAAGACAGAACTGGGAATCAAGGTGACCTTAACGGATTGAAGAACTGGGCCCAAACTAACAAAATGAATTTCAAGAGGGACAAATGTAAGATTATGCACTTGGCCAGGAAGAACCAGCTGCACAAATATAAGATGGGGGACACTAAAATGAACTAGAGGTTCTCAGTAGACCACAAGATTAACATGAGTCAAAAGTGTAATGCAGCAGCAGCAGCAAAAAGAAAAAGAAAGAAAAGCTAATCCTATTCTAGGCTTCATCAACAGAAGTATAGAAGATGGAGGATGGAACAAGCTTGCTTCGTCCTGCTCTGGAGACTAGGACCTGAACCAATGGATTCAATTTACAGGAAAAGGGATTCTGACTAAACAGCAGGAATAATTTTCTGGCAGTAAGATCTGTTTGACAATGGAGCAGACTTCCACGAGAGATGGTGAGCTCCCCTCCCCAGGAGATTTTAAAGCAGAGGTTGCATGGCCATCTGTCATGGATTACCCTTAGGGTCCCTTCTAACTGCAATTCTATGGTGTGTGCCATGCACCTTGTCCTCCATCTTTACCCCTGCTGACCTCCCTCAAGGGTAGTGCAGTCCCGCAATGCCAGTACTGAAGTAGGATTCACTGCCATATGTGGAATGGGTGCATGTGTATACCATCTTGCCCTTTGCCCCAGGCAGCAAAATGTCTTGGGCTGACCTTGGTTGGGAGAATGGCGAAGCGTATAACTAAGGCTGCTGCCTTTGCTCATTCCCCAACATTGTGTTTGGTTCACGTGTATGTCTCACTACAGGAAAAGGCTGACACCACATTAGATGATAGCATATGTGTGCACAGTAGTTTATTTACAATCATCTCCCATTCCGTCATGCTTTTATTTTTAATATGGGACTGTAACCTAGATGGCTCTTTCAACATTGCTGGCATAATTCAGGAAAGACCTACCAACTTGGGCTGGCTCATGAGGTGAGTTAATTTTAAGTTTCAATAACCTTGGCAGCACAACTATTAAGTAAACAAGGCTATTTCTGAGCCAATAAAATGTGTTCATTAAAGAGAACTAAACATATACAGTCTGCATGAGTTAGCTACTATCTTTGACCTTCAAACTTCAATGTCAGCTTTTCCCTGTTATCACAGTTTCCCTCTAATACTTTGTGTCACCTTAACCAGTGCTTTTTTTCTTTAAAAAATGTTTAGGGGTATGTGTACCCCTGTGTCCCCCCAGGAAAAAGTACTGACCTTAACTATAATTCATATGCAATACATCCTTATTATACCAAATACATGGATGCAAACCAATGTTTTGTTTTGTTTTTTAAATTATATTTATTAGAGTTTCCAGTAAAAAGAACACATGAGTAAAAAAGAATTAAAAATAAAAAAAGAAAAATACACAATTCGAGAATACACAATACATAATACAAAAAAAACAACAAAAAAGACAAAAAAGAAAACAATTAAAAACAATGCCACCTTTTCATCACCACTTTTAAATTTACTTATTTTCTGGACCTCCTCATACCTCCCTCTTTTGTATTCCAGTTCAATTTGTTTGTCCAGCAATTTCTTTCCCTCTTTTTTAATCCCAATCCTTAATCTTAATATAATATAACATTAAATTTTTACCTCTTAAAAGCCAATTTTCCATTTCTTTTAACTTTTTTAATCCTAATCCTTAATCTTGATCTATATATAACTTTAAAGCCTGTATAGCTAGAAGCCACTTAATTTCAATCCAACATCACTCTAACATTCTTTAATTTTGCAATGTTTCTGCAGATAATCTTTGAATTTCTTCCAATCTTCTTCCACCGACTCTTCTCCCTGGTCACGGATTCTACCAGTCATTTCCGCCAGTTCCATATAGTCCATCAGTTTCATCTGCCATTTCTCCAGTGTGGGAAGCTCTTGTGTCTGATGCAAACCAATGTTAACCAATATAACAGGTGTGTGCGATGAGCAGGAACCAGAACACCGGATCCTAAAATTCATTTTTTAGCTGCTGCAGAAAGTAAATATCACTTTTTTGTTTCTGCCAGCTGCATAACAGGCAGAAATTCACTAGCAGACATTTTCCTCACCTTGCAGTTATATTGCCAAATATATTGATAGTCAAAACAAGCTGGCGTAGTTGTAGCTGAAGTTTTGTTGGTTCAGCTTGCTGGGACTTATCTGATTTTGGTCACATGAACACCTTCCATTTAAAGCACTCGTGTATTTATTTATGAAGAGCAGCTTACAGTTTACTATAGTTCTGTGAGACCAGAATCCTTAACAAACTAGTTCCCAGGATTCTTTGGAGGAAGTCATGACTGTTAAAGTGGTATAAGAATGGTGTGTGTATGCCCTTTGAGTCTGTACCTTTGAAGAGAATTGGTGCCCTGGGCTGGATTCAATATTTGGTGTTCCAATCTCTGAGCACAGAACTTTTTGAGAGGAGAGAAAACACCTGGTCAACTTGTAGATCATACTTTGATATCTGATGATGCCTGGCAGGCTGCCCCTTGCGTTGAAGGAAATGGAAATGTTTTTGTTTGTGCATGTGTGGTGTAGCCTTGTCAAATGCCTGCGGTGGACTTGTTTGTATCTCTTAAAACAGGAGAACAAGGTTTAGAGATTGCATTAAAAGTAGATGGGCTACGTCATGCCGTCTACATAAAGTAAACAGCATATTCTGAATCCCAAGAAGTGATTAACAGCTAAATTTATGAATATATTTAAAGTCATCATTTCAACACACTGTTAATATACCATACTTCCATAGCAGTGGCAATGGCAAAGGCCTAGCTATTGAACTGGTTGCTGCCTGTGAGCTATTTCTACTATGCAGTACAGATCAGGAAGCAGGACCATCTGTTGACTTCATTTATCCAGGGCATTGACTGCAGCGCCCAAGGACTCTGATATGTTATTGATGCTATTAGCAGTATACGTATACAGCTCTATGTTGCCATTATGAAGACGTGCTATACAACAGTTATGAGAAACAGTCCTACTGAAATGGCGCACCACCGCAATGAGATGATACCTTTTTGTTTTGCTTTGTTTCTTTCCATCACATAGCCACTAAAAACTTTTAATGGTTTGTCTGAACTCACTTCCTTCTTGAGGTGATAGTAAAGGCAAAAAACCAATCCAGAACTCTCTGAGCACGATCCAGCAAGGTTAAACACACTTCTAAATTTGTTTATTTGTTTGTTACATTTATATTCCAACTTCTCCTCCAAGAAGCTCAAGGTGGCACCTATGGTTGCCACCTCCTCATTTAATCCTCACAACAACCTTATGAGGTAGGCTAAGCTGAGAGCAGGTGACTGGCCCACAGTCACCCAGTGAGTTTCATGGTGGAGTGAGGACTAGAACTATAGTCTCTTGGAAAGAATTAAACTACGGCATTCTCTTTCTCCATTGATATGTTTACTTTTGTCTGGATTGTGTCCTTGATTTCCATCCGTTACTTTACTACACATGCCAGTGCCAATGCTTATTCTAAATTCTATTCCCTTAACTTTGTTGCACAATGACATTGTCTTTAGTTTTACTACAAACCATACTATTCCAATTCAGTGCTGAAAAAAAAACAGTCTACAAATAATGGAGCTCTGGTATACAGTGCAATTTTGCCTTATTTAATTTCCGCCTTTGTGTCACACTGCAGGCTGGTTCTGATTCCCCACCTCCGCCCAGCAGGCAAAGAGTGGATGCTCAGTTTAGTTGGAATCCATCTGATTATAATGAAAACAGCATTGTCAGACCAATGCAAATAATCTCCTTCAAGAAATGTATCAGATTTAATAGCAGATCTCTGGAAGAATGTTAAATTATAACTCACCCTTCTTTTTCAAATTGGGTTAGAGAGTTGAAGTGCTGTGCAACCCAGAATTAAAAATCACAGAATTAGGCAGGACTCCCAGATGACTCAGAGAATTCCTAATTTAGTCATTCAAATTGAACCACAATCAAGGGCATGAATCAGTAGCTTTTTTAGGCAGCTTTCTGAATCAAGTTTGCTTACAGGGTGGGTATTCCTGTTAAACCACTGAGCCTCTTGGGCTTGCCGATCAGAAGGTTGATGATTCAAATCCCCACAATGGGGTGAGCGCCCATTGTTCTGTCCCAGCTCCTGCCAACCTAGCATTTCAAAAGCACACCAGTGTAAGTAGATAAATAGGTAACCCTGTGGCAGGAAGGTAAACGGGGTTTCCGTGTGCTCTGGTTTCCGTCACGGTGTCCCATTGTGCCAGAAGCAGTTTATTCATGCTGGCCACATGACCTGGAAAGTTGTCTGTGGACAAATGCCAGCTCTCTTGGCCTGAAGCGAGATGAGCATTGCAACCCCATAGCCACCTTTGACTGGAATTAACCATCCAGGGGTCCTTTACCTTTTTTTTTTTAACCTTACCCTTAGTTTCAAGGTTGTTGTTTTTTACCTTACCCTTAGTTTCAAGGTTCAGGACCTTCAGAGTGCTCAAATTGAAAGGTGAGAAGGAAAGAAAGAGTGTACAGTAATATGATATCTTATCTCGTCTATTTGTGGTTTTCAAGCGTCCTACACACAACAACATTTCCATGTGGACTTGCTTGCTGAGGAGCCCACACACATCTACCTGGGTATGTCAGAAGCTTCCAGGCTCAATTAGGCTCCATACTTCATTCATGAACAATGACGGCCAGGTTTCCTGTTGCTCCAGTAAACTGAAAGCATACTCAGGATATGCCTAGTACTTTGCTCATTGCAAGGAGGATTGGCAATAGTAAGGCAGCTGTCTTCAATAACAACTCATCTGCTGTTACTGATCTTATCTTAAAATGAGAACTTGCTGTAAAAAAAACTGGGGGGGGGGGGGAGGAAGGAGCCCCTGTTCAGATTCAGAGGAACCCCAGTATTTCCACACACAAAATTGAGAGCCACTGCTCTGCTTCCCTTAGTTATGTCTGTCTATCTCAGGGGTGGAGGACATTTTTTGAAATCGATGTCCACATAGCGAGCCCAAACCAAAGGTCCCTGGGGAATCCCTTCTCTCTCAGCCATCCACCTTATTCCAGTTACCACATACTGTGCATACTGTACTTCACTTTCCACCAGATTTTCCCCATTCAGCTTTACTTCTGTGTCGGGTGGAGAAGCAGCTGTTTTTCTGTCTTCTAGACCAGCAAGTGTGCTAGGGCAGGAGAAAGGCAAAACAAACATCTGTGGGGAAGGGCATGTGCAGGGCAAAAGAAGCAGGTCAGAGATCAGGTGCACATGGTGAAGCCAACTGGCCACAGGCAGAAGGTCTCTCCTACTTGCTCTAGCTAAAGAGTGAAGAGCTTAACTCTAGCTCAGATGGTCTACCTCCTGGTTCATTTGCACAAAGAGCACCCTCTTACTCCAAGAGAAAGGAGAGACTTTTCAGAAGGTCAGGAAGAAGTACATCTTTGGAAAGTACTGGTCTGGCTGGAGCTGGACTGACCACTAAAATACTGTAGCTTGACAGGCCAGAGTCAGCCTTTGGGTTCATCACCCCTATGCTAAACCATGATATGATGCAATGTAAGCCCCAAGGCTTACATGTCACCCCAACCTTCTGCATGGCTAGGAAGAGGAATTCTGAATCTTTCCCACTTGATTTCCATTAACTGCAGGGTTGTTGTTTTTTGTTTCCCGGTTAAGGATCCTGATTTATCCCTAACAATGGTTAGTTGCAAAATAAGCTAACTTCAGACAATGGTTGGAGGATGAGAGGCAGCTAGGCTTGCTTCACATAGCACCAAACCATGGTGCCCAAATGCAGTCTATGCCAAACATGTCTAGAAGCCAATGGGCACAACCTTACTTTCCCTCTTCTGCACACATTCAGATGCATGTCTGAGTGATCCCATATTGTTTAGCCTGGTTGGTTTGTTGGTGGGAAGCATGCACATATAGACACTAATCCATCTGGAAGTTAGGCGAGTTTCCTTTCCTGAAAGTGTAATGTAGCTCCATTTACACAGAATTTATTAGAAAAGCCATCCTATACTTTTGCCCTAATTTGGCATTGCTTCATCTGTTGCTGCCACTATTGAATTTTCCTCCCAATGATCCAACACTGGGGACCACCCTTTAACTCCATATGGGACATGTTTGGCATCTGCAAGAAATCAAATGCCAACTGGAATATGTTTTCGGCAGCAGCAGCTGGAACTGAGTCTCTCTACTTGGCTGCTTTCCTGGGTGATCTTGGTTTCTTTTCCTTATTCAACTGCTGGATGGGGTGGTGCCTATAGCTCTGCTTAAGGGTTAATCCATGCTGTAACATAACCAAGAAGCTCTGGTCCGCCTGCCTTCATAAAAGCTAACAATGGGTTCTTTGGGCAGCAGAGATTTTGCTGTCGGGCAAGAGATCAATTGCACTCCTATGTAAAACAATGGGCATTTTAACATCATGACTTCCAGTGGCATCAGGCCAAGGTCTGCATTGTTCAAGTTATTGCTATAGTGTATCTAAATGTTTTGTCTTTCATTCAGCTGAATTTGGCTTCAATTAGCAAATGTGGTTCTTATATTTATGAGCATAGCTCAAGAGCATTCAAGGCAGCCGGCAAGGAAAGCACAGCCCTGTCCTGCTCTCTTTCTACGTTCTTGCAAACATTGAACTTGATATATTTGCTACAGCAGTTTAGAATAGATCAGACTAAAGCATGGATGGCCATATTGTTGAATTCTAGCTCCCGTCAGCCCCTGCCAGCTTGACCAATGATAAAATATCATGTGAGTTTTGAGTCCAACAACAATTGAAGTGTCACAGGCTGTACATTCCTGTCCTAAAGTATCTTCAACCTTAGGGAAATCTATTGGAAAGGCTGCCAATCATCTAAGAATCATTTTAGAACACTAGACATGAATGGTGCTAGCAACTGCATACGTCTGGTCAATGGGTGATCAAGCCACTAGCCAGGGAGCAGGAATCTTGTAGAGAAGGGAGCTGAAGACAGTAACCAGGTCACCTTTTATTTAAATAATTAACAACAGGCTGGCTACTTTACAGTGCTAATTTTGTTCACAATGCTAACTGCAGTACATTAATGCTTACACACAGTGTTTCTTTCCCTAGAAAAATAGGTGCCAGTACTCACCGTGAAGCTGTTACAGTAAGTGCCACACTTTTTAACAACAAAAAAGAGCTGGTGGTACTGTGTACCCTTGTGTACCCCCTGAAAAAAGCACTGCTTACACAAGCACTCAACTGGGGGAGAGGGCAGCTTCAGTGTTGGTGATTTGGGCTAAAGGGGAGTCATGAACAATGCATCGCATAGCTTTAACCAGAATCTTGTTGCTGTGTTGGCCACCAAACCCAAAGTTCTTGACAATCTTTATACTGGGAGTTTATGTGACTCAGGTATCTGGGCTAGGAATCACCTCTCTGGTTGATTGACACCAATGGCCTGTTTTCCACATTCCATTAGCTGTTTCTCTATGGCTGAAGTGTCCAGTATCTTCCTTTGAGCCTCTGCTTCTGGTTGGTTTCTTCAGCTTTTCTCACTTTACTAGTAGCTCAGAGACTCTTAGCCCCTTAACCCTTTCTCTTCAGCCTTATTAGTGGGGGTGGGGGGGAAGTCTTCTCCATTTGCACTCTCACTCAATTATTTCTATGCTTATAATCATTTTCCATGGGTGAGTGTAAAACCATGATTTGTGTTGACCATAGTTAAGGACCCACACCATAGTTTTTAAAAAAATTTATACACACGGACACTGAGCTTTATCAAAATGGATTCTCAGGTAGTTTATAATGATAATATATGGCATTATCCAAGTAAAAATATTGCACACAAAGTATCATGGACAAATATCACCTGGAAAGTAAATCATACAATATTTGAAATAGCTGAGCAAAAAACAATATTTTCAGCTTGGCACCTAAAAGATGAGGTGAGCCTCCTTGGGAAAGGAATTTCACAGCTGGGGTGTCACAGGCAAAAAGTTCCTGGAGACTGAGCTTTTAGATGGACAAACTATGCTTTTCAGCTCCTTGTCTGTTTTCGTTTCCCATCTGTTCAGAACACAGGTTTCAAAAATCCACTCCCATCTCCATGACTCAGCAGCTTCCTGACCAGAATAACAGCCCTAACTAACTGTGGTTTGTCAGTGGTCTGTGGATACAGATTTATTATTTTTTTAAAAACTTATAGTTAGCACAAACTGGTTCACAAACTGCTTGAAATTGTGATTAACTGTTGTAAGAATGTATTAGAAGGAATATAAAGAATAACTCAGTAATGATAGGTATATACACCAGGAAATGATAGGAAGTCCAACTACACCTTTTTCTTTATTTTTGGTTTTTTCTTTCTTTAATTCATGTTAATAATTAGATAAGAAAACAAAAGATAGTAAAAATATGAATCAGTTTAATTTATGTAAGTAAACAAAATACTACTTGTATATGGTTTTTGCTTACATGGATTATATATATGTTTACTCAAGAAGATGTACAATACATATGTATATGTTATATGAGATATGCTATATGAAATGTGTCATATGATATAAGAGATTGTTAATAAAGGGGGTGGGGAGGAATTGTGATTTCAGGGCCTAGTTTGCAGTCCCAAACACACCACAACTTGTGAACAGGGTCAGATTCAGATACTGCAACGAAGTATGGTTTAGTGAAGCAAACCATGGTTTTGTGTTAAATCTAAATACAGCCATAGTGATCTAACCACTATTTCTAGTGTCCTAAAGGAAAAGATAGGGACCATGGACTGTAGCATGCCTGCCACAAACTTCTCATATTGGAAAAATATCTGATGTGTACTGTATTTCATTATGTTATGCACTGGAAATAATATTACATAAATATATTTCAAATCTGCAACGAATTAAATAAGTATTGCAGAAATCTCCTCATGACCAGAGACTTCACAATGCAACATAATAACTGGAAACATATGGTAATAAATTCTCTTGGTGAGGCAACAAGAACTCTACGCTTCCATGATTTGCCATACTCACACATCTGAGCTATGACTGAAGACAGTTTGGGGGGTGACAGCAAAAAGACTGCTAAATCGGGTCCTCCTCACAGAGGGCATGTGTTGTGGTGAGTTCATCAGGACTGAACTCATTGTTGTGTGGGTGGGAGCGATTTGATAGCCACAACAACCCAATTGGTGGTCTCTCGGTTGCTGGACAGATGTGGCCAACAGGATTTTTTGTGTATTAGCCGAGGGACCTTTATATATACCGCTGCACGTTGCATTGAGCTTCCGTTTTTCACTTCGTGCACTGGATCACCCGCCCACCCTCCCTATATTTAAGGTCTTGGTATGACTTTGCTATTCTGCCGTAGGTCGTCTATTCTTGGGACAGGGGCCCAGTAGGAATTTTGTGGTTCGAGGACCTGATCCCCCGTGAAACGCACGGGCATGTGATATAAGGTTAATGGGCAAGAAAAGGCCATCACTTTATTGATTACAGCAAGTGAAAAGGTATTGGCTTAGGCATTGGATTACGTCAGCTGACTCCACCCACTCGGAGAGGGGTGAGTCTAGAGAGGGGGTTTATTCACCAGTAGGTGGAGCCTGTTGATGCTAATCCAACTATAAGCTCTCCCCTGATGTCACCGAGGGTCGTGCCATGGCCTCCCGCCACGCAGGCATCAGACAGAATACACGACCGCTGGATTCCTTTAACGGAATACCCAAAAATTGAAGGCGTAGGCGATGGCCACACCTAGCCCTTCCACACACCACAACACATTATTCCAATGCCTAACCTACCCACCAATACCACGAAAGTTGTGACGATTGCTACGAGGTAGGCGAAAAAACCACAAAGCCTAATGCCAAATGGAAAAATTCCTACCAGGGCCCCTGGACAACCAGGGCGACCAACCTAAGGTCCATAGCAAGGCCAAAAGAAACTGAGACCCTGATCTCTAAGGGAGTGGAGGGTGGGTGACTCACGACGGGACGACGAAGAGTGAGGGCCGCGTGGCTGGCGCAGCAGCGATTTACGCTGCCATCCATGCCCCTTCGGAGGCACCTGGTTGGGTGCCTGCCCGTGGGCGTGGTGCGCCAGCCAGGTGAGAGGAGGCAAGGGGGCTAATGCCCCCTGCTTGAGGCGGGAACCGGCTCCCACCCACAACCACTCCCCTCTTTTGCAGGAGGAGAGTCTTTCCCATTTGGTTGACTGGCTGGTGCCACTTGGGTTTCACCTGCAAATCATCACAACTTTGTAAGGTTTGGCAGTTAGGCATTGGTTCAGGGTGGTCTGGAGGGACGGTCAGAGAACCTGGCCCCTCCAATGCTCAACAGATATTCCGTTAAAGGAATCCAGGGACTTGGCATGCTTTTGTCGACCCCTTTCAGGGGGTAGGGCCAGGCAAAAGTCCCTGGGAGCATTTTGAGTCACGTGACCATACCAATGCTCCCCCATGGTGTACTGACGATATGGTGGGGCCCAGTCGTCAGTGCTGTCCTGCTGAGGTCAGGCGCAGCTAGTCGGGAAACAATGCCTAAACAAACCACTCACTATCTGTAATCAATAAAGTTGTGGCCAAAATTATGCCAATAACCTAAAACTAAATTCTGTGTCAATTGTGTCTTTATTATTGGGAAGCTCCTGGGGATCTTAATACGCAAATAGATAAAGCCATAGGAATACTTGGATGGACATTGGCATGGAACAGCCAACTATTGTCAGGACTATAATTTAACGATGCACCGTTGAAGGCTGCTTCAGAGACCAATGCCCCATTCTTGGGAATGAAGAGTTGTAAACTAAAATTGAGCCACACACTTCTTTTGTGTACATAGCACCTTGCCCTCAACTCTTGACGTGTTAAGGTCACACCATGTTTATAATTTTTTTACTGTACTGTTCTGGATGGGTTTACACTTCCTCTGAAAGAACATGTACATAGCTTGGGAGTACTCCTTAGTCCAGAGGCTCAGATCTCAGGGATTCAATGCAGCACTAGATTTGAGATGACTAACAACTAAATCTCCAAGCCGCTGTGGGATCTATAATAATAGAAACTATGCATTGTAATTTGCACCAGGCATTCTACAAGAAGATGAGCTTTTTCAAATGTTGCAGCTGAAGCCTCATAAAAGCTCAAGGACTTTGAGAGAGTTTAGTTTGATTGATCACAAAGGCTTGAAAGTGCTTGCTTCTCTCTTCCCCTTTCCCCTAAACCTAGAAGGCTTTTGAATGGGCCCAGACAGCAGCAGGTGCTCCCAAAACCCAGGTAGAGCATCTTTTCCCACCAGGAACTGATACTGGTCCCAGTTAAAAGGACCAACACAGCTTGATTGGAAAACCTGCCACATATTTTTCTTTCATTTGTTTGGGTGGTATATTTATTGCCTTGCATTTTCAGATAAGAGCTCATGTCTTTACTGGAATGTGCATTTAATGCTTCATTCACATTTAAATAACTGTAGAGGGAAAGCTTTTAAGAGCATTACATAGCTCACACTATAAATAGAGTCTTATATAAAAGAGGAAGTTTCCTAATTTAATGAGTTCCAATCAATATTATCAACTTGACTCTGACAGGATTCATTATGCCTGGCACAGAAGAACTATATTTACCTATCGAACCAGCTATCATCCTACTGGTGTCAACTCCACTGAAATCCCTGGCACTACTTCCCAGTAAATAATATGGTTTGGGGTTGCTAATCTCACTTGTTTTGGTATATCAGATGCTGCCACTGTTTGTATTTTCCAGAAGTAATGCTTTGTTCCAGAACACTTCGGATAAGTTCATGCAGTTCTACTATACTTTTGCTCAACTGCTTTCAGGCATGAGTTATATGATGTGCCATCATCTCATGGACATAGGTGCTTTAGCTAGGCCCCAAAGGCAAGTTTAGATAGCAGGTTAGTCTGGGAAGGGATGGGGAACCTGTGGCCCTCCAAATGTTGTTGGACGACAACTCTCATCATCTCTGGCCACTGGCAGTGCTAGCTGGGGCTGACGAGAGTTTGTTTTATTCCTATATTCCCAAAAATGTATTCAACTGAACTGCCAGGTGTCCTCTAACCTCCCATCTTGTTTACCAAGAAGTTGTAACTGCTGGTTTTGCAGGGAGAGATAAGGCAAAAAGAGGAAGCAGTAGGTTGTGACAGGGATTGCTTATGCTAAATGCTGATAGTCAATAGAATCATAGTAAGTATTAACGAATGTAATTTAACTGTATAAATTGCATGAGCATGCCATGAAAAGATGTGCAGGATTTGGAACTTGATTCCCCTGTCCCTTCTTACCTCAGTCTGAATAAGCCCTTTCTTTTTCTACCCTGGTGTGATTATTGACTTGTCACCCCAGCATTGGACTTTTGTCCGTAACAGCATGGTGGTGTAACAGCAATATATACAATAAAATATAAAACACAGTAATAAAAGTACAAAATTATCATTAAATGACTGAGTCCAACAGTATATGGAAGGCCACAAGTTCCCCATCTCTGGCCTAGCGTAAGGTGTGCACTGATTGCACATGTGTAAGTTTTTGCCTTGGGCCCTTCCAGAGAATTTTGTGTCTAAGTGAATTGCTGTGAGGGCAATCAATCACCGCAGCTCTGTTCCAGGCATACACAACGAGCTGATGCATGCATGTTTCTCCAAACAGAAACCTTCACTGCACAATGTCAATCAGATTTTAATACCACCACAGGCTTGGTGGGTCCACTGAGCCCTCAATAAGTGATCAGTATTGTAAGCTGCAAACTTACTGGGGTTGCTCACAGGCAAGTGTGGATCCAATAGATTTTTATCCTGGAGAAATGCACATACAATACCTTTCTTGTGCAAGTGCCCTTGGGGGACTGGCATGACAGTAGATACGCATGGGGAAAGTGCATATGGCCTAGCCAGACCACGGTTACACGAATGCCAAACAAGGACAGATCCCACTGTGGAACTTGCCTCCCAGTAGTGGTGTCACTGCTGTATACCAGGATCGGGTGGGGCAGGGCCATGGTGAGGTCAGGGTGATTTAGCGATTCTGGTGCTCCTACTGGTGTGCCCAAACCATCTCAAGCTTGCCACCATGCACTGTCCAAACACTGCCCCAGTGTGCACCAGTGACAGCACTGCCAGGAGGCCAGGTCCTCAGTGGGGTCCCTACTTGCCAGTCACTCCTGACAGTTACTAAGGCAAGGTGTGAGAAAGTGAAAGTACGGAGAACAAGAGTAGATTTAGTTGAACGTTCAGTTGGAGCCACTAGTCTTCTTCTGTCTTTTTCCCAACAATGGAGGGAGGTTACATTTGGCTGGGCATAGCTTTTCTCCTAGGGTATATGATGACAGCCTCAATTAGCAGCCACAGAGCAGAAGCTAAAAGATGACTATAAAATGTGCTGGCCACAATAATTCTTTTGTTATCTGAAGTTAAGGTGTTCACAGTCCAGTTGTGTGAATGGGAGACTTCGGAAGCTGCTCTGAGATTCCCAAAGGAAGAATGGCCCAGGGGTATAGTAAATAAATGCGTAATATGGACAAAATGTTGCACAACAGAGAATGCTATGTTAAATTAGCCATATGTAAAGTTTACAATGCATGTTCTAAAGCTCAAGTAAAAGTGTGATAGGACCCATTCTGGTTCTTCCTTTCATTCTGGGTTCACCTCCAGACTGTCAGCATTTTGTGGAAAGGATTCTAGCGCATACTGAAAACACAGGGATATGCAATTAAAGTGCTCTGCTACTCTAGCACAGGAAATGCACTTAAAAAACAACAACAGAATTTTTATGGTTAGGAAAATGACTGGGAAATGCATTGAAAAGTGTGGGTTGAACGAATAATAAAGGGAAGATGTATAAACACAGCACAAGCAAATTAGGAGGAATGTTCAATCAAGACTAGGCGTGGTCCAACCCCTCTGTAAGCCTTGCACAAGCAAATCTGGGTGAATGCTTAATTAACAGAAGACTTCCCTCATCAAAGCCTTTCCCCACCCAATTTGTGAGGCAATCTCATTTGGGCAGCCTGCTGTGAGCTTTTCTTGTGTGCTTCACCTGAGATACTCCTTTGGCATGATTCACACATTCAAGGCATGCCATGGTTCATGAGTTGTTGTTATTGCTTTGGCTCTTGTTTATATGCATGAGCATGGGCACAATCCTTTCCCAATCACAGACCACGTGTCTTTTAAAAGGAAATCAGAATAAATGTCACCTCTGATGCTTTACTCATATTCTGTAACCCTCCTGCTTCAAAATTCCAATATGGCTTAGATGAAATGGTCCTTGTGAAAGGGACATAGCCCAGTGACAGAGCACAGGCTTTGCAAGCAATCATTCCAGGCATCATCCCTCTCTTGTCCTGGAGAAGTGTAGCAGGCAGTGTAGACAATATTGAACTGGATGCGCAAATGGTGTGACTTGGCCTTAAATGGCAGCTTAGTGAGTTCCTATAGCCTCTGAGCAGCAAAGATACATTACAGTATTATTGTTATTTTTACATGTTTTGCAAATCCAGTGAGATACGACATGGCAAGCTTACACTGCTGTCCTCTAGATTGCTCTCTCAGGCTTTCCATTGCCACATACTAGCATACTGTGCCTCCTCAGATTCTCCTCTCCTTGGGCTTCAGCAGGAGAGCATCCTCCCACTCCTCTGGCCAATCAGGCCTTGCTGGCTTGTCCCCCCTCCCTCCCTTCTCAATCACGCAGAGAAGGAAGAGAATTAACAGTTGGTTCCTCGTGTGCGATCAAGTTGCAGCCTGCTTGGATTCTAAAGAAAATGAAGAACTGATGTAGCCTGCTTGTTGGATGAACATGGCGCAGTATGAAATATAAAAGCTAAATGGCTTGGAATGAGAATCAAGAGTGAGCATCCTTCAGTGCTGACAAGCTTTGTTCTGCAAGACCTGTAGGGCAGGTTAACAAGGCCTCCAGGAGCTGATACAACACAGTTAAATGGAGCTGAAGTAAGTCAGAGAGCAGGAAGACGGCAGTGAGCTGCTTAGCATCTGCCACAGTCAAATTCAATATAGTTATCAGTTCTTTGGGCTGCCTTGTAATGACTGGGTCTGAGGACAAACGTCAGCCCTCAAGCACAATAGCACCATTTTATTACAACTTGCAGGGAGAAACCTCTCTTCTTGATCCTTAACCCACCATTGCACATGTGAGATCTTCCAGTCTCAATCATAATGCAGCGTCCTTGTTATCTCAAGTAGGCATGATGGTGGCAGGACCCAAGTCAGTGGTGCTTTTTCACCTGTAACAACTTCTAAAGCTTTCTCTCTTCCTAGCAGGGTTTACAATCAGCAGGGAAATAAAGAAACTGAGAATTTTCTACAACTGATAGGTGATGGGTTAAGCCATGGGTAGGTAAACTAAGGCCCGGGGGCCGGATCCGGCCCAATCGCTTTCTAAATCTGGCCTGTGGACGGTCCGGGAATCAGCATGTTTTTACATGAGTAGAATGTGACCTTTTATTTAAAATGCATCTCTGGGTTATTTGTGGGGCCTGCCTGGTGTTTTTACATGAGTAGAATGTGTGCTTTTATTTAAAATGCATCTCTGAGTTATTTGTGGGGTATAGGAATTCATTCCTTCCCTCCCGGCCCCACACAAGGTCTGAGGGACAGTGGACCAGCCCCCTGTTGCAAAAGTTCGCTGACCCCTGGGTTAAGCTGTCTCCTCTCACCTGCCCACCTTTAAACGTTCTCCCTTATTTGATAGGGATCCAGCAGCAGACCACTTCTTCATGCACATGTGCTGCTATCATGGCTAGATCGACTCTCATTCAAACTATTCTCCTGACCTACAAATAAGCTTGCATTGCTAATTCCCAGTTGGCAACAGGCTGCTTTTCCTTTAGCACAGTCATTTCCAAACTATGCACTGTGAAAGAACAGCTTGTGTGCTTTGAGAAATAAGCTTATTCAGTCATTAAAAGCTGCTGCGGGCTGTAAGTATCCACCCACAGGGGAGGCTGTATATGCATCTATGGGTGGATTACTATTCTGGCCTTGCTTCCTTTTAATCAGTTTCTGCTTGAGATGGGCAGTTTTGCTGTGTCTCCGCACTGGGTGTGATTGATTTAATCACTCCTGAGCCACCCATGTGCAGTGTTTACCTGCCCTCAGAGAAAGCTGCCTATAGGATCCCGGTATGAGTTGCTGCTCTGAGATGGCCTCCTGCTAATTAGGACACACACACCAGTGACCTACAGAAACACAGGGGTTGAATACCAGCTGTTTTATGGTATCATGCAAAACGGGGTGTTTCCCCCCTCTGTGTGTGTGTGTGTGTGTGTGTGTTTGGCAATTTAATCGCAGATTGTAGTTTTGTTTTTTGTTTGCTTGTTTATTGGCTAAAGATGCTGCAGTTTAACACAGTAATCTCAGCAGTGAACATAGCACATGCATAAAATGGTAGAAAAATACTTAGCAAGCATCTGGATTGTGATGCACAATAAACAATGGTTGAGCTAGACACCAGAAAAGCCCTGTGTAACCAAAAGAGAGCCCTTAAGCAGCCCTCTGAATTGAAATATTGAATGGCGCTTGCGATTCTTGCGAAACAATAAGTTTTACAACCTAGGTGCAGCTGCACTAAATGCTGTCTGGCAGAAGCAAGGTAAACATCACATGGCACCTTTAACAGCACCTCTCTGGTTGAATGTTAGCACTGTATATATGGGGCAAGTAAACTGACTTTACATGCGAAGACCTTGAATCTGGCCTGGTAGTGCAGATCCTTAAGCAGGGTTTAAGCTGTTGATGGGGTGTTTGTTTCTTTTAAAACACAAAGCACAATAACTAGAAATGAGAAAGAAAATAATTTTACAAACAAATCTTTCTAGATTGTGATATGGAAGAACAAAAAAGCATCAATCACAAATGCATCTTGTGCATCCCTGCCAGAGTGAGTAATTTGGGGAATGCATTTTCTTCTTGCTGCTGCCAGACTCACTCTCAAGCTCATTAATTCAGCTTCAGATAATGGCAGCAATATAAAGCACTTTTTCTATCAGCAGGTTCCATACAAAGAGGGAAAAAGGTAAACGATAAGAGACCCAGTTCTGTTTTCTGCACTACAATAGAAGAGTGCAGTCCAATTTCCATCTCTTCAGATCACTGTTCATTGTGGAAAGGACGTAGAGAGCCAGCCTTATCGTTAGGCAGAGTTAGGAAGCCATCTTAGGCTCCAGGGGGAGAGCAGCTGCTGCAGACCTCTCCCCAAGCTATTCTGCTTTGATAATCTTTATGATGAAGCTGTATATGCCGTTGTAAAAATAAATAAAATAAATACTAAACTCCCAGGACGCACACTCCAGCAAGCATCGTATATGTATCTGCATTGCTTTTCTCCCATGATGCATGCCTTGTGCTGGCACCGGCATTGCTGCAGTGCAGCATTGCACCAAGTAGTGAGCAAGCACTGTCTGGAGCAGGGACCAAGCAGCAGACAGCATCAAATTATAGTGATATTAGCTCTATGGTAGGGTACAAGCTGTCTTTTTGCATAGGAACATTGGCCCTGGTTGTTAGCATCCATTTGAAAGAGAGAGGGAGAGAGCACAAAAAGTGTGAATCATAGCAAGATTGAAACCAGAGCCAAGAGGGAATGCTGATAATGAAGGGGAATGCAGCTCAGTGGTAGAGCTCATGCTTTGTATGTAGAAGGTCTCAGATTCAATCTCCAGTCAAAGGGATTGCACCAAGGAGAGCTGCTGCCAGTCTGGGGCCTTATACATTTTTTGGACTCTCATCTTTCCCAGCTTGGCCTCATGACCTCTGGATCAAGCAGCAGTCTGGGTATGGAGTTGGGATTGCAGGGGCACCAGGCTTATTTCAAGGCTCTACGGTGATGTTTGGAGATCAGGAGACCACTGCACCTGAGGCTGGTAGACAGGAGACCCCAGAAGGACCTCCAGCACCCCCAGGGCCTGTAGGACCAGAGCCAGAACCCTCACTTGCATGAGGAACCCAGTGCCTCCCACTTTACCTCACCGGTCCAGCAGTGCAGGGCATGCACCAGCCACAAGGTTAGGAAATGTAAGATAAATCCATCTTCAGGCCAGAGGGTTGACCCTTTAAGAATCATCCTTTTTCCACAAGGGGTTAGAGGTAGAGCCTAGAAGTCATATGGAGGCAAAGGCTTAAAAACCTGTCTTTGTTGTTGCAGGTTACGTACCTGGAGCTATCTGTGGTTCTCCTTGCCGTTCCTGTGGAATCCCACATCAGACCAGAACGTGACATCTCCAATGGCTGTGCTAACTGGGGCTGATGGGAATTGTAGTCCAAAATACCTTGAGGACACGAAGTTAGGGAAGGCTAGAGCTGCCAATATGGGGCTGAACAAACTGAAGTAGCTTCATCTGACCAAACGTTTAGGAAGATCCTAGGAGAGCTAGCCCATGGCGTGCTGGTCAAGCTGGAACGTGAATGGATGAGGCTATTTGAAATGGATTGGGCAATGAAGCTGGGAAACAGCAGGCAGGAGACAAGAGAAAGAGATGAGACTGTGAAGAAGGGCAGCAGGCCAGCCTTGAATAGTGCCAGGGCTCAGTCCCAGCATTTGTTTTCATTGCCAAGGCTCAAATCCCTGGAACTGATGAGCTGATGAAAGTGCCTCTGAATAATAGAGCAAAGTGCATATTCCTCACCCCTGAGTTAACTACACAGAGTCTTCATGTATCAAGGACTACCTACATAAGGGCTTTCCCGAGGCTTACTGGAGACCCACATCTTTTTCAAGAAAGCAAGCATGGAAGTCAGGCAGGAAGAAGAGACTTGCAACAGTGCAGACAAGGCAGGAAGGTGCCGCTTAAACAAAGATCCAGGCAGGGAAACATTTAAAGGAGTTTATCACCAACCTCCATTTTCTTGTCAAAGCAATCCTCTGCCAAAAGCAGTTACTGTATATGTTGCTGTCTTATCATGAAATAATTTAAAAGCCTGTTATCTTCTCCTCTTCTCAGGGTGGTTCAGTGAGTCTGTTTAGTCAATAATGCGACACATCCTCTCTCATTTTCCCTTGGGCTAGGAAATTAGATGAGGGGAAGAAATCAATGCATGCAGACAACGCAGTAATTTTACCTCATGTTCTCTGCGGTTGCCCTTCTGATACCTTGGCCTGTAGTGGTGCTTTCACTTATGTAAATTTCTCTATGAAGGCTGAATGGTAATTCAAGACATTAAAGCTCTATTAATTAATCCAATGACTCAGCTTTTATATGGCTAACTAAAACTGGAAATAATGGAGGAAAATACTTTTTTAAAAAACACAAACACCAGTGGGCAAGCACTTTGAATTACTGCACTGTATTTTGCTTGTATATTACACAACAGCAGCGTGCTGCCTCTTGCATTACATCAGTTTGCTTCTCCTGGGGTTAATTGAGTTTGTCTCCTATCTAAAGAGAACAGTCTAGACCAAAAGACAAATAAATATAACAGACATCCCATGCACATCACTGAATCATACCTCCCAGAAAAGAGAGTACTGTATCTGGCTTTTAAACTATCAGTATTAAGCTGACTACCTGGCAATTTTCTATAAATTATAAGGTTTATGATTACACAACCCTTCTGTGCCCCCCAACACTCATTTTTCACACATTAAGAAATGCTTGATTTCTCAGAACTTTTGAAAAGTCTCCAGTTTGCAGCTGACGTGATAAACCATGAATGATCTTTATCATTCTTTTAATTTTGTTTTATGATTGACCTTATCTTACAGATTTTTATGTACTCTTGTTCAGCTCTTACATGTTTCGGACAAGAACAACTCGTCACATGAAAAAATATGGCACGTGGAAGGACCTAAAGTAGTCTCCAAATGGAGCTTGTGAACTACAATTCAGCCACAGAATATTTGCTTATATTTTGTTTGCTTATAGATAACATAGTTTGGGTGATGAGTTACATGTTTGCAGGAATATGGGGATCCCACACACACCATATATTATTGTAAGCAACCAGTGGCGTAGCGTGGGGGGTGCAGGGGGGGCCGGCCGCACCGGGCGCAACATCTGGGGGGGGCGCGCTCGCACTCGCAGCTCTCTGCCCCTACTAAAATCCACGGGTTAGGGGGCGCAAATTACTTGCCTTGCCCTGGGTGCTGACAACCCACGCTACGCCACTGTAAGCAACTCTGAGTGTCCTTGACAGATAGATGGTTAGGATATAAGATTCAAAATGCTTGATCAAGTGTGAGATAGGATATTAATACTTTCTTTAATAAACCCAACATACTAGTTACCAAAGTGTATAAGGGCTGACACTGACTGATGTCTGTACTCTAGTGAACCACTGAGGATCCTATCACAACTTTGAGATCAAATGAAAATGGCTCAAGGTAGTTCTTGCTTTGAAAGGCTATCTGTGAAAAATGATGATTGGCTGGTCCTTGGCTACATACATACCATATATTTAAAATACATTCTCCCCCTCACCCTGAAGAATCCTGGTTGCTGTGGTTTGTTAAGAGTCTTGGGAATTGTAGCTCTGGGGAAAACTACAGTTTCCAGGATTCTTGGCAGATGTGTGTGCTTTAAATGTATGGTGTGTATGCACCTTTTTAAAAAAAATATAACCATGAAGTATCTCCTCCCGCACCTTTCTGTCAGACTGCTGTACACTCAGCACATACAATTTTCACATGGATAGTTTGCCCACACCTTGGCCAAATTTCAAGTCCCTCTTCAACATGTATTAGAACATATGAGCAAAGCAAATGGAAGAATGTAAACATGACCAAAACCATATTTTCCTTGCCACTCCTCCACCCTCTCTGCTCTTAAATTCTCCTTCTGGTATTTTCCATAGGCAGCCTCGGGGATAGCATTTTACCATGGGAAATTAATTAGTTGTCATTCTCTGGGATTTTATTTTTATTTGTCTTAAGATGTTTGTCTTTCTTTGGCACAAAAATGAGCTGTTGCATTTGTGAGACTAGCTCAAAGAGGAAATTCTAAACACATTTTGTGAAATAATAAATGGAACAAGCTACAATCTGCCATACAACTGGAGGAAAACAATTATATTGGATACCTTCAACGCCAAATGCACTTTTTAAAAATAAAAAAATTAAAAAGGAGTAACAAAAATCAAGAGTCATTGCAGATGCTCAGGTCATGTCACAAAGAGATACATGCCAGTTTAAAACTGTGTAAGGAGGGAGTTTGTAGCTAGTTAAGATGCTACATTAAGAAATGGTTGTGGCCTCTCTCTCCATATTTTCACATTATCAAACCCTTTCTGCACAAACACTCTATATGTGCCATTTCATTCCAGATACTTTTGCTTGGAGATAATGCAGGTAAGGCAGCCTGCCACCTCAAGAAACAGTGAGGGCAAGGACAGATTTGATCTGGACTTGGAATGTCAACAAGATTTTGTTGCAGAACTCATTTGTTGGTTTTGATTACAGAGCTGTGTGCTACATTTAATGATTATATATGAATGGGAGGTGACGGAAGATGCAAAAGCCTTTAGCTGATTGTGGTTTCACTTGCCCGGAAACAAGATGAGAGAAAGAATATTTCAAAAGGACTTGTTTCATGTTGGTTAACAAGATAAAAAGTTAAAGAAAAAAGGAGAGAAAAAAAAGAAATCCCCCTAAAGGTCTAGTTCAGATTATTTTATTCTCCAATGCAGAAACATCTATCTACGTATTCAGGAGCTATTTCAGATTTCATGATGGGAATGCGAAGAGATTTGATCATCAGTGTTTAAAGGCCCACACAATGGCATTAACAGTTAAATCTCTTTCCTCCCCCACCCTGTCCATGCAATATACTTTGAATACAGTTGCTGTGGTTAATAAGATCTGCAATAATTAATGTAATTGTACAATAATCTCTCTTTAAAAACTAAACAAGTCACAGCCACATGGGCTGGCAAACCTTTCCTATTTCCTTCATTGTACAATGTCACTTGTATTCTTATTCCCCATTTATAATTTTATCCATTTCATTCACTCCTGATTTTTTATTTTTCTTCTTCTGATTTTATTATCAGAAGGTCCTTGTGTTGAACTTACTTTGCTGATAATGTTTGTTTTTCACTTCATGTGCATTGTCCATTTTTGTTGCTCAATAAAAAAGAAACTGGGCAGAAAACAACACAACAACAACAAATTGATTTAGGTCTTGGGCATATATACCAGAACAGAGCCATGTTATTGTATGGATTACACCAAATGGGTGAATTGGATCCAAATTAAGTATTTTCACATTTATTTCAATGAGATCCAGATTCAAGTAATGTAGCCCAAACCCCAGTGAATTGGCCAGAAAAACCAGTGCTTCTGAGGTATAATCACATGTCATCTGACTTCTTCCAGTCTTTCCTAAATGAACCCCCTATTCTGTCAGGAGTTACTTCCTTTGTGAAGAAGGTTCATCCCATACAATGGAGGAGGGTATCCCATTGACATGTGTTTAAAGCTGGAAAAGTTGCAGGTCAGCAGCTGAGTCCTTTGTGCCAGAGATGGCAGGTGCCTTTGCTGGTTCAATACTTCAATTCAGCTTCAATCAGGCTTGTAAACCACATGTTGGATTTATTTCAATGGCTATGTAAACCGCAACAACACATTTCAAAAGCAAGGCAGCATAAGAAAGCCTCAATATGTGTTTGTGGCTAATTTTATTTTCAAAAGGGCATACAAGACACAGGATGGGAAAGTGGAGAATGCTGTCTTGAGTCTAAAATCCCCCTCCCAATCCAGGTGCTCTCCAGATATATTGAACTACCAAATCCATCAGTTCCGGGTGGAATGGCCAGAGTGTCTAATGGTTACATTTCCCCCCACTAACTTAAGCTGCTTCTTGGGAAAGGAAATGACTCTAGTTCAAATTACTAGTAACTGGTAGACCTTCATGCCACACTACTTTCCATCCTTGGTCTTCCCTGAAATACCCTTTCCCTTCTACCACCAGCTTCTTTTCCTAACCCTGTGATTACGGAATCAACTCAGAATTGGTTGGCGCAAGGCTGACGCAGGAATCGGGGAAGGGATGCTGAACCCATCACCAATGTCATGGTCCTCTGTGTCTCAAACTATTGCCTCTGAAACTGTCCTTCCAGAAACAATTTGCGTTGCTTCCTTGGAATTCCCAGCAGGACAGCACGGCATATTTGAAACCGTACACCACACATTTCAATCACAATCCTCCTTTATACACTCAACTGCTAACACATTTCATTCCATCGTTACTGCTTAAAAGAGCTGTAGCTATCAGATCAGACTGAAGCTTCTTTTGCAAGCCATCAGCTGCTGTTTGCCACGACAGCTCCATTTAAACATGCTTAGTGGAAGCATCTAAAATCAACACAGCCAATGAACGAACTACCTATCTGCATTTTGAATTCAAATGCCAGGTACTTATCTAAATGCTAAAACAAACAAAGAAGGGACTACACATTATTTAATTGAGGAAAGGAGAACATCCTATTCAATTTGCCATTGATCAATTTAAAATTAATTACCACAAGGGTTTCTTATGGTGTAGTTCAGTAAGTAAATACCATTGAGTTCAATGGGACGTTCCAGGATAAGTGGGTATAGGATTGCAGCCTTAATTAGGTCTATATACAAGGGGATGCTACCTACCATTCCTTAATCTTACATTGTAGCTGTTATTTGATAAAGTGACAGAAATCAAAAGCAGACTAAACTACCATGCTATCATTTGATGAACGAGCTTTGAAAAGATAAGCCAACATAGGTTAAATGGAGGATTTACTTCATACAAGAGTGCAGCAACCTTTTCCACAGTAATTCAAGCATCGACATAGATTTCCAAGTGGTTTTCCTGCCTTTGCCTTCAATAGCCTCTTTTGGCATGAACCTGCCTATGCATTAAACTCCACATCTGAGACCCTCCTTTGGATTTCACCTCTGAGACAGGTTTGGAGAGCAGCAATAATAATTATTCATTATTATTATTATTAGTTATTAAATTTGTTAGTTGCTTAATCTTAGTTGCGCAGTTAATTTCATTGTACACAGGTTGTACATTGACAATAAAGGTGGTATTATCATTATCATCATCATCATCATCATCTTGCCCAGGGCAATCCAAAGCAACTTACAACCAAACAAGGGACGGGGCCTTCTTGTTTGTGGCTCCCTGCCTATGGAGTACTTTTCCCACTAAAGCCTGCCTGGAACCAATATTACTATTTTTGATTATTTATTTTTTTAAAGAATCAGGTAAAGACATTCCTCTGCTCCCAGCCATTACGATAGGGTGTTTGTTATTATCTATTTATGGTGATCTTTGGCTATTGACTGTTTCTTGTGCTGATGCTGATTGTGTCAATTTTTATGGGGTAGGGTGAGGTTTTTTATATGTTGCTCTTTTTATGGTATTATGTCAAACGTTGTATGTTTTGTATTTATTGGAAGTCACGTCAAGTCTTTTTAAAAAAAATGTGTCAGGAGGAAATTCAAGTGATGATTTCCCCAATATGCCTAGTGGTAAAAGCTTCACCAGTGAACTTTTACATGCCATGAAACTTGTCAGAAAATAAGTTGGCTCCTGTAGATCAGTCTCATGTCAATTAGAGGGGCAGGGGAATCCTCTCAGATACCTCACAGGCAATTTTTAAAAAGTTTTTATCATAATTCATTCACAAGGCAAGTCAGCTAGATCATACGTTGCCTGTTCTGCCAAGAATTGGTACAATTCTATAGTATAATCTCTGGTCACTTTTCAAGTATTCTGTAAATTTTTCTGTCAAAAAGAAAACTTCACAGTAAATACGGTAGTCAACATGATTCCCCCTTCAGACAAGATCAGCTCGTCTGTGGGATCACTGTGACATGGAAATAATTTGGAAGAGGAATAATGGTGCAGTGGTGCAGGTACACACAATTATTGACTGTAAAACTCTCATGTAGCAAGTGTTCCCTCATTCATCAGCTGCTAAACATATGAAGCTGCCTCATACTAAGATAAGATTATTGGTCCATATATACCAGTCCTGTCTCTTCAGTTCTCAAGAAGAAACCTTTCCTAGCCCCTATTACCTGAGATTCTTTTAAGCAACAGATCCTGAGGCCAGATCTGTGCTTGTAGAGCTGGAGAAGCTTCTGAGAAAGGCAACCAAAATGACAACAGGACTAAAGCAACTCATTTGGGGCTTTTCAGTTCATAAACAAATTGAGTAAATGGGGGCAGCACACCTGATAGAAGTGTATATGTTTACACATAGTGTGGAAAAAGTGAATAAAGAAAGGTTTTTCTTCCTCTCTGCTAATGCTAGAACCCAGCATCATGCAATGATTTAGGACAGACTTCTCTACATCATGGAATTCACTGTCATGAAATGTCGTGGCTTTAAGAGGATTTGTAGAGGATAAGGCTACCAGTTGCAGTATTGATGTGCTATCTCCACTGCTGGAGGCAGTATGCCTCTGAACATGTTACTGCGAATCCTAAGCGAGGGGTCTGCTCCTGAACTCATATCCTGCTTGTGGGCTTCTGGCGGCAACTGAGTGGCCATTGTGAGAACAGAATTGTTTTAGCTTTTAAATCAATGGTGGAGGACCTGTGTCCCTTCAAATGTTGTTGGAGCTATAATACCCACCAATCCTAGCCAGAACAGTCAATGATAAATATTTCAAGCCAATAAAATGTTAGGATCTGATCTGTTGATGGGTTAATGTGGCAAAGAATTTTGATTTCTTCTTTTTCTTCAAGCAAGGTAGTGTCTGACTTTTCTCATGACAAGAGTAATAGTGTCACTATTTTGGACAGACCTATTTCCTTAAAAATATTACATTCACCCTAGTATTCCATGTGGGTTGCTGTTCATTTGTCCTGCAAAATTCTCAGAGAGATGAACATTCACAATGATGAAGGCAGCATTTTTTAAATGACACTTAACAAGGCAGTTCAGGAGGATCTATATTTCATTCAGACTCTTAGGAAGAGTGTATAAATTGGGCTACGCACATAGCATATTAACAGCCAACAACATAGAGACAGATGATGGCAAATACATGCTTCTAATGCCATCAGTCTAGGATTTCTGGCACCACAGCAATCCTATCTTGATGCAATATTTATGTACTCTATGTCAGGCTTCTGCCAGAATGAAAGCTAACCTCATAACCGAGAGCCACTCATAGCGCTCATGGGAGCAGAATGTGGCAGTTGCCTTGGCTCTCTGAAGTCCTCCAGTACTTCATTGGTTGATAATTCTTCTGCTTTCATTTAAAATGAAGTGATGAGCTCCATCTTGAGACTTTGACTGCAGCCTGGACAATCATAATGGGGGAGGGAGTGGGGATTGGCTCAAAAGCACCGCTTAGGTTAAGTCCTGCCACTTGCCAAAATCCTAACATTAATGGTAAATATGACTTAGCTACATTTTTATTACATTTCAGGGGAAGTGGAAGTGTGCAGAACCAGCATGCACTCATCATGTTTAATAATAATAATAATAATAATAATAATAATAATAATAATATATGCTGCCCATCTGACTGGGTTGCCCCAGCCACTCTGGCATGTTCTCCTTCATGTCATGGAGTTCATCTTACTACATGTCTGGGCAGCATCAGTGTGTGTTTCATCATCTCAATTCCGCAGCGCTGACAGCAGTCAGCAAGGAAACCAACATGTCAACATGTGGGTTGTTCTAGAAGCCCTGAGGCCAGTGAAGGTATCGTTCTGCCCTAATGCTTTTAAAGCCAGGATTTGCCTGGCTTCCATGCACCTGTACACAGCCTTCATGCACGTAGGGAAACTAGCCTGGAAGAGGTATCAACCAGAGTTTCTGCATATATGTGCCCCAGGAACTCTTGTTAATGGCTTCCAAATAAGCAAGATTCATAAGTTTTAAATCATGGCTTGTTCAGAAGCCATTAACAATTGCTTCCTGGCTTGTTTCTTTGTTTGCATAAAGGGAGGAGCAAGTGGTAGCAGGGAGCTGCACCAAGCTCTATCATAGTGTGGTTTATAAAGTCAGGATTTGATGGTGTAAGTGCAGCTGTTGTCTGGATATCCATCTCAATCTTTCTCCTCTGTTCAACACACACGGCCGGTTGAACAAATCTATTAGAGTCCAGTCTCTGAGTGATGTTATAGCAAATGGCAAACACAAGCATTACTTTTTGGAATGTCTGTGCACTGATAAAGGCCTAATGTAGGTGTAAATACTAGATTTTTAATTCTGAAACATATGCCTAGCATAGTAAAGTTTAAAGAAGTGGCATTTAAATAAGCATTAATGAAGACTCGATTCACTGAGCGAAACTGCCCCTGGTACATACCATAAAATGCCTTTTCACTACAGTTACCCCCCCAAAATGCATTTCTTAGTTTTTGTATATCAAATACTAGACCTGTGAAACCTGTAAAAGATATACAAAATATTATTATTGCCTGGGCTATATGCTGAACTTTCAAAATAAAACAGAAACTTTTTTATGTGTATATGCAAGTATATAAACAAATGTTATAATTTCAATATCAGCACTGGAACTGAGTTTCTCTCACCTAAATACAGTTATGCTTCCTATTTCAACACATGCACCTACAAACACATGATCATGCATACAGCATTTCTTCCTGCTCTTTGTGGGGAAAGTAAGAATATACAGGATTATACATTACGTAATTTCTTTTTTAAAAAAAAGATTGAGGAGATAACTATTGGCATATGTCATTCAAAGGAAAAAAATGGTTGCGAATTATAAAATTATATATACATATGAGGAAGGGGCATCCTTATCTAGTTGATAAAAACACTGAAGACTGTGGAAGGATGGTCTCAGAATTGAAACAGTGACTCCAACAAGTCCAAGGGCAAAGTCACTGTTGACCAAAATACAATTACACAGATCTGGTTGTGGTCAGGAACGTGGAAAAGAGAGTCCATATGGAGATTTAATAACAGCACCAGATCCATTCTTGAGTTCAGAACCACTGAGATCCCGCAACAGAAGTTCAAGAAAGTTCGTTCAAGGCAGCTCTTCTCACAGCTGGTGGGGCTGATGGCGACCTGGAGGCCCACCTGGAAGGCAAACGCCTGTTTGCTGGCCGAGCTGGCCGAGAGAAGCCTTTCGCATTTGACTGCTTAGCTGGCGCAGACACCTACAAATACAAATGTGGCTGCTTGGGTAACAAAGTCAGAACAAAACCCCTCAAAAAGCATTTGTGGAATTTAAAGAGAATGCCTAGACTTACAACAGGTGGCTGCTGGCTATTAAAAGGTCCAGAGAATGTGTTGTTTACCATAACATAGCAATGCAAAGATGTAAGGTCAGAGGAACTCCTGCATGTGTCAAAGAAATATGTGGCACGCTAGTAAGACACAAAATATGCATGGGAGACTCTAAATGAGAGCTAAAACACACAACCCTCTCTCTGCGCATGGCCAAAGCTGGATGAAGTCAAGCAGGTTGCGGAGTGAACTGGTTGTGTGGTGGCTCCATCCCTGATGCCACTCACACCTCTCAGCATACCGTCAGGTTTTAAAAAAGCTTATTGTATGTTGATGGGAAACTGACTGTGTGGTGCAACCAAATGCCCACTGTCTTGTAGGGACAGCTGTGGCTAGGCACAGAATTATGGGTGGGCAGACTCTGCGCCCAACTTCCTATTCCGCAGTCACAAATTTAATTGTGATGACTTTGGAGCACATCTGGTGACTTATCTGAAAGTAACCTGAGGTGTTCATTTTGAATCAGTAGGGCCTCTGGGGACCATTGCACTCCCAATGATGCCTTTCAGAGCCTAGAAGACTCTCTGAAATGTTTCTCTGCCACCACCTTTCCCTAATTTATCATGGTGGGTGTTGATAGATGACTCTTGGGAAATTATACAGCTCAGGCTTTAGGCCATGCAGTGGCGGAGCTTCATGCTCCGGCACCGGGGGTGGAGAGCAGGTGGGGGCATGGCTGGCACGTGTCCCGGGGGCATGGCATGCTGCCTGGGGCATGGCACATGTCACAGGGGTGTGGCACGCTGCCTGCAGGGGCATGGTGTGCGTCCTGGGGGCGTGGCACCCAGCACGGAGGGAGGGCAGCTGTGATGGCACCCCACTGGGATCGTGGTGCTGGGGGCAGTGCGCTCCCCCTCCCCCCTCTTCCTCTGCCAGTGAGGCCATGTCAATGCTGTGAGCATGTCTAGGAATGCTCTGAAGTAGACAGGAGCATAGGAAGCTGCCTCATACTATTAGACCATCTACCTCAGTATTGTCTACCATGACTGGCAATTGCCCTTCCTGGAGATGCCGGGGGTTAAACCTGGAGATTTCTCCATGCAAAGCAGTTGCTCTGAAAATATAAGAATGGAAGAAGAACCTGCAGGATCATGCCAACAACGGGCAACCAGATGCCTGTGAAAAACCTGCAGCCACAAGAGCACTCTCCCCGCCTGTGGTTTCTGACAACTGCTACAGCTCTTCCACAGAAGTACACTCCTTACAATTCCCCCTTTTTTAATTTTAAAAGCTGTTTTTAGAAAAGGACTTTTGGAGTGGGAAAGTAGGGAGGGATATGCTCAATCTTTTCCTGACGCAGTTGCTTCTCCACCCCTAAGCACCTCATCTTTCAAGCAACTTTCCAAGCTAAACAAGGACAGCTGGGCTACCATCTTGCATGCAATGTCTAGTTTCTGCCCTACTCTTTGCCTTCTTCCTGTGGCCAATGTGGATATCTGCTCAGTGGCAGCTTGTGGGGGCAGGGGCAGGGGCAGGTAGAAGCAGTGGCATCCCCTCAGTGGCAATAGCACTCATAGAACCATAGAATTGTAGAGCTGGAAGGGTCCAGACGGCCATCTAGTAAAATCACCCTGCAATGCAGGAATCTTTTGCCCAATGTGGGGCTCAAACCCATGACCCTGTACTGATTGAGTTATCCATCATGAGCCATTGTGCTAGCTGAAACAGGGATGAAGTGTCACCACTGTGCCAAAGACTCCCCAGTCTCACCATCTAGCCTCCCACCACCCCCATCCTGATGAGTGCAGTAGTGTCCTGGGAGGATGCCACTGTCTTCACACATGGACACCCTCAGCCACCGCTGAGTCTGCTGTTGCTTCCATTATCAATCCTTTTCGTTTCCTGGTTCTTGGGATAAAACAGCAAAATTGCTTCTGTATTGTATTGTATTCCCAGAAGCCTAATGGCATGGCTCAAAAGGAAATTGATGGCAAGGAACTGGTAACAGCATAATAAAATTACTTCTCCTTTACCAGGACCGTGTTGTCTAACTGCTGTTACAAAATGAATGGCTAAGATATTTTCTTGCTGCCTCGGAAGTGGAGGAATTATTAAAACAAAGGCAGACTCTTAAAGGAACATGGCAAGCTTCTCCTCTTTGTTCTCTCTATGTGCATCAAGGTCTTTAGACCCTGGAGGAGTTTTGCTCAGAAGGGCAGCCTATAAATATTTTAAGGAAGACAAGCAATGAATAATAAAATGAAATGTCAGCATGGTTCCAGTAAAATCAATGGAATATCAGGAACAGGGATGAAAATGAACAATCTGTGGGTTGCACGAAACATATATTCTTCCCCACTTTGGCCAATTTTGGGACTATTTTTACAGGAACTTTACAATCAATTCAACTTTACTCCAGCCAGCGATCATTTCTGGCTTTCAACATGTAATATTTAAAGACATTTGATTAGATGATGAACGCCAATCCACCTTGCTTGTACATTTATTTTCTATTATTTTTCATGCCTTTTGAATCCTTTTACATCAACGAGTTATTATCATATCCTTGCACTAATTCTGTGATGTCTTATGGGCTCAGGGCTCCAATGAGCAGATGGAAAGCCCACTCTGCAGACCATTGTTCCTAATTCACACAGTCTGTTCCACAATGGACTGAGCATGCAGCAATTGGGAAGCACTTTCTGGCAGCGTCAGATTGGGAATTGTAATAAATCATCCTTGAGAGGTCTGTCTAAAATTTCTCCTATAACAGATGGTGTAAAATGCAAATGGAACCCTGAGAGAGCTGTGTATGCTGCATCCGATATTTGATTTGTTAAGGAACCAACCCAGCCATCCCACTCATCTCTGAAGCTTACTAAGCGACGTGGGCTAGTCACTCCCTCAGGCTAGCCTACCTCACAGCACTGTTGTGTGGGTGCAAGAGGCCCAGGGACTAAGAAACTCAAGGAAGGCCATATTGGACAACATGTGCCGCCTCAAGCTTCTTCATGGAAGAGTAGGGTCAAAATGTGACAAATGGGTCAACTTTCATTATAAAGGCATACCTCGGGAAATTTCTGCTTCTCTTTGCCATGCTTGGCATAAAGCCCAACGTGCCGGGTTGAATTCTTCGGTTGCTCCTGCTTCCCTTGATCTGTCTGGAGCATTTCAAAATAGTGGCCCAATTTCTCGCAGCTTCCACCCGCCAATTCCGAACTGGGCGGCAGCCAGCGCTCTTTGTGGAGCTTTGAGTTCCATGCAGCGGTTGACTTTTCATAGTTCTTCAGAAGCTTCTCGACGACCCCATAGTTGGATCTGGAGTCTGCGGATCGCGGCCGGCCGGACAAATTGCTTGGCTTCCAGTCGTGTTCATGGAGCATATGCTGGTAACCACTTAGGAGTCCATTGAGCTGCCTCTGCTGCCCTGTGGCTTTGGCATTTTTGCTGGGCTTGGAGGCTTTCTCGTCCATTTTTGAAGAGAGCATGGGATTAAGAAAACAGGCTGGCTCTTCCTTTTGCACCCTGCTGGTCACACTGTCCTGAACTATGGGGCGGGGTTTGGGGTCTCCAGACAGCACTGGCACCACTGGGTTCCGTTCCACACACTTGTGGCCTTTATCTGTGTGAAACACTGTTCTGTTGAACTCGTCAATTTTTGCCTCCAGCGTTTCATTTCGTTGAGTCTTTCCAGTTCCATAGCCAGAATCACCCAGGGTGTTGCACACAGGGGCATATAAGTCACTGCTATAATGCACACTGCTTTGCGATATAGGGTGCTGTTGTTTCTGGGGCACCATATTTCCGTCAGAACAGCTCTTCTGGACAGAATGTGAGGCAGAGTCCTTTTTAGGACTATTCCCAACCTTACTTGCATCATGAGACCAAGTGTTATGAGAAAATCCCGCAGGCAGCTTGCATTCAAGGGACTGATCCCTTTTCTCAGTGGGTACCGTGGTAGCCATAGCAGGCCCACTAACAGATTTCCATTCATTTGTCAGTGGCATTGGAGCATCACATTGCTTTGCAAAAGGCAGGCGAGTCAATGCACTTTCTTCCTGGTCCTCCTGGGTCTCACAACTGCTTTTGTGCCCTGTTTCTTTTGCTAATGCTTCAGAAACCTGTGCGAGAGAGCTGGCCAAGTGCCGGGAAGTGCTTCTTGGAGGAACAGGAGGGGCTTCTCTTTTCTGCCAGGGAAAAAAGCCTGTTTTCTCAACTCCAGCAAGAGCGCTCGATGGCATCTCCTTTGAACACCTGCTAATGCCCATCAAGTTCTTCTTGTTGTTTTGCTCTTCTGTATCAAATGCAATTGAAACTGTTTGTGGGTCATGGTTACGCACATGGTTCATCTCTTGCGTGATCAGTGCATTTTCAGTTTCGGCAGATTCTCCCAGGAAAGGAAACAACTTCTTTCTACATATGTAAGAAAAATATTTTATATTAATCAGCAGTGATTTAACTATTCTCTCCATTACACAAATCAGTCCAGCAACAGTTTCAGAATGTCAATGTAGGACTTGAAGTGGGGACTCAGTCCATGTTCTGTTTGTTTGTTTGTTTGTTTGTTTACCTACCTACCTACCTACCTACCTATATCAATAGGCCCACACCTTTATGAAGCCCATGAGGAGTGTGATCATTCTACACAGCAAATATCTTGAAATCTCTTTCTTTTCAACATGCCAGGGTACCAAATCAGCAGCACAACATAACAAAACACATCATTGCCCAAGGTTCTTGTAATCTCATCTTTGATCCCTTAAGAGAACTATCCCAGGGGCCCACCAGCATCCCCCAGAAGAACTGGCTAACCTGAGTGATGTTTGTATATATTTTTGGCAAGCGGTTCCTTCGAGAGTAAAGGAACTTTAATCAGATAGCAACAACATTTGCTGGATTACAGAGGCACTTCCTACTTCCCTGTGAATCTAATCCTGTGCCCAAACAAGAACTTAGGTTAGCCACAGCTATCCAAGGCACTCAGGTGTGACTAACTTTCGCTGCCTCAGTGCAAAAGAGATAAGACCAATGTGTCTTTCACCTTTGAGCTCCGCAGGCAACTAAAGCTGGGGGACAGCCTATAAAGCATGCCATTCTTTTAATAATGTTTTTAATGTCAGAGGAAGAACTTTTGGGAGTGAATCCCTTGAAAGGATTAAAGTGTGGTTTCACTGCTCAGCTGCCTCAGATGAGGGGAGGATTTTAACAGGAGCCTCAGGCTGCTGTTTCTTTCACAACCAGATCTAATATGTGACGTGGGCATAGCTTTCAACTGGATTTAAGGTCAAGCAATTTTATTACAAGTAGAAGAGGCTAGAAATTTCTCTCTCTCGCTCCAAGGACACTTAAAGTGATGATGGGGGACCTGTGCCTTCCCTGCCCAGATGAGGCTGAACTACAGGTCTCATCATCCTTGACCATGCTGGCTGGGGCTGATGGGAGTTGGAGTCCAACATTTGGAGGGCCACAGAGTCTCCACCCCGATTAAAGACTGAAGTATTGTGCACATTTCTCCAGCTCACATTCAACATTTCCCAGTTGTTTGTATGTGGCCCTGTGTCTCCAATGTGCCCAAGTAAGAACATCTAATGTAGTGATACCTTTTGTGGTTGGACTTCTTGCGGATTTCCTCTTGGTAGCTGCACAAGTCTTCGCTTACTTTGGCAAGTTCTTTAAGAGCCTAGAAATGCAAATAGCAATCTTTTAGTGTGATCAGGTTCTTATCAAATTTCTAGAACAGCTGTAAGCACAGCTGTAGCCTATGTTTTCCATTTCAGAGGTAATTAAAGAAGAGCCACATCATAAAAGATACAGACCTGGTAGTGCCATAACTTCTCCTATCTGCTATTTACATTATTGTGTTGTTATGTCTGTGATTTTGATGTTTTATTCTGCTGCAAGACACCTTGAGTACTTTTTGTAAAAAGGCAAATAAATAAAGCAAAAACCTTGCACACCATGGTTTACCGAATCAGGAGCTAGCCTTATGAACAGGCCACAACCTTGCCTCACTTCCTCCTCCTTCCCTTTCCAAAGCATCTTCCCCTCTCCCCAAGACTTGGTCATCAGCCCAGGTCCTCCTACAAATTGGAAATTGTAATTGTAATTTCTGGAAATCACAGGTATGAAGGAATCTGTTTTTATGCTAAGCGTGACTTGAATTGATATGTAATGGCAAACCAAGAAAAGGAATAACCGGGAGAAACTACCACATGGGAAAGGAGGAATCGCAGAGGGCACTTATTTTTGCGGTTGACTTCCTACTTACAAGTAACAGTTCCCAGCAAATCAGTGTTATGTTTAAACCAGACCACAAACTGCAGCAAAAAGGCTATGCTATCAAATATTTTAAACAAAAAACAGCAAACAGAAGAGTCTGCATGGCTTGACTGACAAGTTCCGGAATCCTCAGCACCCAGGAGATATATTTTGGGGACAGAGGGCAGCGTGACATTCATTTTCTTAGATCTGTAGTTAGCATGTTTTCACGCAGGACAGGCTGATCTGATCTTGTCACCTTCCAGTGGACTCGGAATAGACTCAGATGAGCTGAACACATCAAGTCCATCCATTAAACAGCCACTTATAAAAAAGTGTTGACATGTAAGAGGTTGAAGCCTGAGCTACCTTCACTTTCCCTAATTGAAATACCCATTACTGGTTTACTCACAATATTGAGATCCTGTGTGTAATTCTTGGTTGTTTTCAAGCCTGGGCAATCTTCAGATTCCTTGTAACTCTCAAAGGCCAGAGTATCATTTGCAAAAGCATGGTTTCTTCCCTTGTTTTTTGCATCCTTGCTCTCCTTTTCTGTCTTGACGAGAAAACTCTCTTTGTCTGCTGAACAAGAGTTCAGTCCTGGTGTGTCACTCCATACTGAAGAGGGGGAATGTATGGGTCGTGTCTGTGCCTTGCTATGAATGGCCTTAGTCTCAGAGGCATTCATATTGCTCTCACGCCTTAATTTTACCTCCTGGTAAAGCTGGAAAGGAAACAAAAAATCTATTAGACCACAGTGATCTTACCAGCTTGATGAACAAAGGATGATATCTGTTTTCATGTTGAGCTTGTGCCATCAGACTCCAAAGTCTGGATTCCTTGGTGGGCTGGAATATCTGGAACTTTTTTTGCTACAGCATCATTTCTTTTCACAAGGAAGTACTGCAATTTCCAAAAATGGTGTCGGTTTCAAACATAAAGCACATGAGTATGTGGCTGTTGCATACTGGAACAAGGTCTGAAAAGATTCCCATTGTACCACACTAACTCTCAAATGAAGCATCTCCCAGCTGGGCCAACTCTTGGACATCAAAACCAAGCCGAAGACATGGTGCACCACAATAGGACATGATAATTGGTACAAGGCTATGTAGAGAAGGCATATGATATGAGAAGCAGAGCAGAAGAGCCACTCAGATCCTATTTGTGGGCTTCCAATCGGCACCAGGTTATCCACTGTGAGCACAGGACTCGACTGTGTGTGCGGTTACTGTTTTAGTTTGTTACTATGTTATGTAGTTTTGTGTTCTTATATTGTAAACTGACCTGTGATCCTTGGATGAAAGGTGGTATATAAATTTAATAAATAATATAATAATAGATGGGTCTTTGGCCTCATCCAGCATGGTTCTAGCTGCTCTTCCATTCGTTCTCAGACTTGGAAGCAGTATCCCTAAGGATTCCTGACCAATTGCTATGGGAAGCATGAGTTCAACTGTGACCTCTACCACAATAGGCACAGATTGCACAACAGCCTGTTAGGCTTCCTTTGCAAGGGGAACAGACAGATATAACAACTGGTGGCTCTTCTGCATTTCGCCTCTGCAGTGACTGACAGATATCAATTTCACCTCCCTCTTCAAATTCTACCTTTTCATCTCAAATCAGTTTACAGATTTAGCAAGGCAACAACTATAATATGGAATGGTGATGCTCTTCCATGGACAAACGAAAGATCTGATGGGCAAAGCAGTGGCATCCTCATTACAAGGAATACAGCTAAGAGGTCAGGGAGCTTGTTAAACAGCTACACTTCACTCTGAAGGCACAAAATGGCAGAGATCCATTGGGGTGTATCAGCCACCTCAGCTGCAAACCACCAGGCAGATGAATCAATGCAGACACATAGTGTGAATGTGGAAAACCAACAAAGCAGATACAGAATCACCAGCAGGAATAAATTCCATGTCCTGGTAAACAAAATACACTGCTAAAATGGCAACTCAAGGGAGCATCAGCAATAATTATACTAAACTCGTCCCGTGGGTTAGAACTGTGCGAAGACTGGCAGAGAACGAATGAGTAAAGGGTGTATAAATACAGTTTGTGTCTAGCCTGTGGTATGTTGTTTATTGTACTCTCTTGCTACTGAATGCCATCAATAAATATAGCAGGGCTGAGCCAGAATAAATGTGTCCTGCTCTCGTGTCCCTGGATTCCAAATTCAAGACATTCCTTTACATGCTAATAAACAAGATTGGTCAATGTTAATCTCAGAAAGCAATGTCCAAAAAGGCACACCTAGATTTGGGGTGGGCAGTCTGTGGCACCCCAGAGTGTGTTGGACTTCATGACCAGGCATGATGGAAATTGTAGTCCAACAGCACTTGCAGGGCCGCAGCTTGCTTCGTGGCATCTTTTTTTGCACGGATTGCTGTTCCATAATACAAGGGTATGCTCATGACCCCTTTAGTTTTAAAAGCACAGTGCAAATTCTTCCAACACCCTTTCTGGCATCAATATCATGTTAGCATTAGCATGCTTTCTACAGCAATGTCCCAAAAGGCATCATGCTTCAATGTTTATACAATAAGTGGTGCCTGAAGAACTCCCCCTGCTCCTGAACAGTGGCATAGACACAATGGCTGATTCATTCCAACCCTGTGGATTCTTTGGTGAAATCATCTTAAGTTTTTGGGACTTTGCTTAAGACAGTATCATCATGTTAGTTGCTGACATGGAAAAGAACCCAAAAATACCTCTTCTATTTTCTTCTGCATGACCTTCCACTGGCATTCCCACTCTTTCCTTTCATTGTCAAAGCGCTCCAGAAGCTCCATCTTCTCTTTATTCCAGTTCCTCTCAGTTGTGCTCTCCAGTTGTGTCCGTAGGTCCATAGCTGCAGTGGCCGAACAGAGGAATGTCCGTGCACCTCTTATCTCTTCTAAGACTTTCCTGGAATGTGTGGGAGTTACGGAACGGCAAGCCTTACTTGCCTCTGGCTCCAGCTTTTGGGTCAAGTGCAAAGGAGAAGAGCAAAGAAACAGGGAAATCAACCAATCTGCATTAAAGGTTGGTTGCAAAGTATAATTCTATACCTCTTGCTTTAAAATACACACAATACAACAACAGAGCAATCTGCTCAGTTGTCCTGCCTGAGCTGGCCTCCTGCTGAACAAGCAATACACAGGTGGATTTTTCACTAGTGGAGACCAGAGAAAGCTCTGAAACAGGGCCTTCCAACGGGAGGACTCAGCTGGCCTGGGATCCACTGGATTCCAAGCCAATCTCACTGTCATCACATGATGGAATTGGACTGCTGCAAGAACTGGGCTTGATCATCCAGCATGGCAGCTGGCAGGAAGGGTAGGTGTGAGTTTGGATTCTGCTCTTAATCTCTGGCAAAATGGAAATGGAGAAAATTCAAAATCTGTGGAGAAAGAGCAAATGCATGACAGCTCCTGTAATCTCAACATATGCAGGAACTGCCTTTTTATTTTTATTTTACTCCAGTGGTATTTTACATGCACAAGACTACTAAAAATGCAATGCTGAACGTGTTGATTTTTTAAGTATTTCTAATGGTTTTGCAAAACCGTACAAGGTTCTCGGAAGATGTTTCAAAGATGAAACAGGAGCTGCATAATCTATATTCGCCAGGCATTTACATGATTTGCACAATTTAATTAAAAGCAGGCACAGGATCTTGGTAAGTAATTTCTTAGCAGGTGCAAAAATGCTTATCGTAGAAGCATGGTGCAGAAAGATATGGAATGTTATGATGGGTAAACTACTTACTATTATTAAGACATGGTTCAGCACCAAAGCTCTGATTAACTTTATGAATGACTCTGATTAACTTTATGGAAAACATACATTATGTTGGAAGAAAAATAATCTAGACAGAGATACATGTCTATGGATTAGCAATGCCATAAAATTAAGCATTTGGTCTATCAGAACACAAGCACAGTTGATTGACTTATTTAAGTATTACATTTTTGCATTTGCAATGTTGTATTTGGAAAAGTAGTTTCTTTATCTTTTAAACATATTTTTACAAAATACAAATAATTTTAAAACCTATGCAAAAAAAGGATGTGTGGCATAATCACCAAAAGATCCGCTATTTGTCTAAATTAAGAAATTAAATTAAATTTTATTTTCATTAAAATAAAAAGTACACATTCAAACGTGAGCAGCTGTCCAGGATTGTGATACTCAGTCTTGCAAGGTAATGCTGAGCAACCTCTGTTCTCCCTGGTGCCTAGCAGTGGAAATCAAAACCCTCCAACCTTGCTAGGCCTGGAATGACCAAGACACAGTCCATGTCCTACTATCTCACACTCTGTTGACAAGGCAGCCAAGAATCTAAAGATAGTAGGTTTGCTAATGAAGATGATTTGGAACTGATGCAGTCAGTCTCTCCACCTGCTCTTCCCAATAAACAAATATACACACACACAGACACACGGAGGGGCGATCTATACGACAATGGTAGACTGACTTCAGTCTTGCAGAATCTATACTTTTGCTTCACAAGAATCCCCACAGCCAACCATGTATATTAACTGTGTAGAGCTCATCCGTCTTAAGTGTTTTTGAGCATTCATTACTGCTTAAGAATATAAGAGATAGCTTGCAGGATCAGACCAATATCCCAGCAACCAACAGTCACTAGGTGATTATTGGTCAGTGGTCTACTGCTTCCCTGTAGTCTACCTATCTCCATCCCACAATAAGGATGCTCTTCATGCTTAGAATCATACTATGATTTTATTTTCTGAATTCAAACCAACATTGTCAAGGCTGGAGAAAGGATGACCATAATAAGGTTTTAGGCCTTCCTTATGGGGGCTAAAAAAAATGCTACTGTATATTTCTGGTGTCCCAACCCCAAACACACAAAAAAAGATTATATAAGCTTGATTCAATTAACAAGTCCACTAACAGAATCCCACACAATAATTTGTGCTAGCACAACAGTGCTTCTCCCAATCTCCTTCTCCTGTGCCCCCCAATTGGCTCTGGGAGGGGGAGGACCCCCAGAACAACGTACAGGGAAAATGTTTCACCTGCCAAGCTAAAATGCTTGTGCTGACAGAACAATTGCCACAGTGCCGCATAGGTATAGGGATATAAAGACCAGGACTAGCCGCCTGAAAAACAGTTTCTACGCAAATGCAATTCTGGTTCTAAACGCAGCATAAGGAGTCTCTATAGTATAGTGTATTTTAAAATAGGGTTTTAGAGTTTTTAGGGGTTTTTGAAAGTTTTATGTAGTTTTGTAGTAGTTTTATGTAGTTTTATGCAGTTTTATGTAGTTTTGTGGTAGTTTTATGTAGTTTTTATGCAGTTTTATGTAGTTTTTCAATTTCATTGTTCTGCATGGGACAATGACAATAAAGATATCATATATCGTATATTGAATTCCTCCCTACATTTCTTTGAACGACGGTTCACCAAAGCCCTGGTTTGTTTGTACAACAGATTTATAGGGTTGGGATGACACGCACTGACCCTGCATGGCCTATGTGCACTCTGTAGTCCTTCTGAGCAGACTCTATATGTGTGCAAATCATAGATGAGATTGAGTTCATTTCACAATGTGGTTTGGGGCTTAGGGGGCACCCCTTTCACCCCACCCCTTGTGTCCTTCACTGTACATGCCAAGAAGTCAAGGAAGTTGCTTAGGGAAATTCTCTCACCCCCTCAAGACTATGGAAAGCAGTCTTGCTTGGCAGCCACAAACAATATCTAGAGCCAGGGGTGGAGGAAGGGGGGTGCGGTGGGTGCGGTCCGCCCTGGGTGTCACCACTGAAGGGGGTGACAAAATGCCGGGCGGCACTCACTGTGGGGCCTGCAGCGTGCCTGAGCCATGCGTCTCTCCTGGGAGAGACGAGGTGGCTTGGGCTCACGCAGGCTCCGTGCTGCCCAAACGGTCCACCCGCTGCCTCCCCCCCAGGTGTAGGGCAGCTGAGTGGGAGGAGGCAGGCAGACTCTGGAGGCCCCACGGTGTGCCCCGCCCCTATGGGTGGCTCGCCCCGCACCCGGGCATGCCACCCCAGGAGCCCAAGCAGCTTCCTCTGCTGCAGTTTAGCGCTACCAGAAGGAAACATCTGTCACTTCCAAAGGCCTCCTTTGCCCTCCTGAGATTTCTGCATTGCAGGAGGTTGGACTAGATGACCCTTGTGTTCTCCTTACATTCCTAAGCAACACAACCTAGACACAGCCTTGCTACCTCAGTGACAAATAAGTATATTTTTGATTGGTGTTTTGTTGCCTGCCTCTTAGTTTCATATTTTTATAAGTTGGAAACCACCCAGGGGTTACGTCAATATGATGAGTGATCTATAAATGAAACCAATAAATAAATAATATATTTCTTGGGGAAGGAAAGTAGCCCTAGACAAGTATGTATTTGCAGCGTGAGAAGGGATGACAAATTCCTTATTGTTCCTCTTCAAAACCATATGTATGCTACTGAGTGTCTCTCACCTGCGTGATGAAACATTTAAGCCCTTCTTTTTCTGGATCTCACCCAGACATTTCACAGGACTCTGAAGCGCCAAAGGGCTCGCTCTTTTCTCCTCTCTTTGCTTCACTTTCCAAAGCTGACTCTGGATCCAGTAAATTCTTTTGTGTTTATACCTGCCAGGAAAAAATTCAGGGCAGCTTTATTACAAATGAGGGTCACTGCTGGTAACTGAGCTGTTCAAATACAACACAATATTCTTAATAAAAAAATGAGGAGCGGCCAAGAGGGACTGATTGTTTAAGCAAAGGTCTTGGCTTCAACTAGGAAACAGTCAGCAGATAAAGCTTCCACAATTTCTTAGGCCAAAGTTCTAGCTGACTGCCAGGGGCTGAAATGACTGTTGCTCAAAAACAAATTCTTACATAAAGTTTCCACTGCCCTGAAAGCTCATTTGCAGTCTAAATGTCATTTGAAATAGAGCTTGTGCAGCCATTTCAATATTTTTAAAAGTTTACAATAATGTAAAATCACTAGGTTTGGTTTTCTAACAAAATGAAGCTGCACAGTATTTGGAGGGGTGCTACAGTTACCTCTGAGCAGACTTATTCAGATGAATTACAAGACTTTTATTACTTTGACTTCAACTGTATGAAGACTAGTCAATCTGCAGGTTCCCGTGCAAAGCAATAAAATAAGGCAATGTGAAAAAAGCAATGATCTTGAGAAGCATTAAGGTATAGATGCATTACAGGACAAACACAAATATAATGCATTTCACCTTAATGTGTATTGATTGCACTCTTGCAATGCATGCTTTTGCAGCGAAGCTCAGTAGATGTAGAACAAGGGAGCACAAAGCATTTCTGCAATTATTACTTGGTTGCTTAAAGCAATCCTTCCAGTGTACAATCTGTTTCCCACCAAACTACATTTCTGAAACCACACTGGAGACCATCCAAATGCAATCAAGTTCTGGAAGAGCACCACGGGAGTCATTGCATTACATGTAACATGGGATGGTTGGAAGGAGCTGGAGGTCACATAACTCAAACTTTTGCCCTATGACAGGTCCCGCTTTACCCCAAGCACTCTCAGCAGATTAGCACATGTCAGATGGACCCCTTGTTAGAGAATTGCCTTGGACTCAGAAAACCTGGATCCAAGTCCCTCTTCTAGTTGAGATTCATTCCGTGGCAAGTCACTTTTGTGACCTCCAGCTTCTCCTCTGTAAAACGGGAACAAAAGTTACCCTACTTGCAGGGTTACTGTGAAGGTAACAGCAATAAAAGCTGTGAAGCATTTTGCAAATTAATCACGTTATAGTACTAGAAGGATTGAGCAAAGTGGTCATTGTCCTTGAAGGGCAACTTAGTGAAACACATCCAGATGGCCCAACCAAGCAATACCTTGGGTGATATCCAACTGTGCCCATCTGCTAGCAGAACAGACTTCCACTTGCACAACAAAACTCCTCCTTCCTCTCCCTCCCCCTGCAGTCTCATATGCACCCCCCTCCAAACTGTTTCGGAGCGTTGGGGAACTGCAGGAGGGTGGAGAGTAAGGGGAGGCCTCCTCACACAATGCTGGATACTGCCCCGTTTTTATATATCTTCTCCCTTTTCATTCATGTTCTCTTCACTTGCTCCCATTGCTGCTTATGGGTCTGCCACATTTTCTTGCTAATTGCTCCCATGGATACCGACACTCAAGCATGACATTTACATGTGGAAAACTGGGTCACTGTTTAATTTTGTACCAAATTCTCAAGCTGGTATTATGGTGGATAAATTCCTTAGGGGACTGTCCCTTATCTCCATCTCTTATTCTCCTCAGATGATCCTTTCTTCCCTGGGAGAGCAAAATTAAATTTCCCTTTCCTGTATTATTTGTACCCATATGGTCAGGGAAAAATAAAAAAAGGCTTGGTTGAAGAATCATGGCAGATAATTTACATCAAAGCTCATTCTCCATGTAAATAGGAAGCCTTTTCCTTTTAAAAGAAATAGCTAACATGCAGTGTGTGACACAGCTTTTGTTTCCCTTGGGGAACAGCAGGGCGTCCATCCTTTTCAACATGTCCTAGACAAGGTCAGCAGCTCAATACATCAGTAAACTGTATGCCAACAATCAATGACATCTGCACCACTGGTTGTTTCCTATGTCAAGCAAACAAGTTTTTCTTTTTTAAAAAAAGAAAGCAAAACCGTATAGCATTATACTCTCCTTCTATCCCACTCTCTCTGCATACAAACACACATACAAGTCCAAATAGTTTGAAATAAAACCCTTCTGGGGCACGGACGGCAGCAGCTAAAAATAACAGATGGTGACATCAGCCAAGGAGGTGTTATGTTTTAACGGAGATGAACAAAAGTGGCTGCGCAAGTCAGCTCTCTGGGAGAGCTGTCTTTTGATTTATCAGCAACGCAGCCATTCAGCTGTGCTAGATAGTTAGGTACATGCTACAAAACAGTTACTTTTGATCACAACTGCAGCCAGCTACTGTGCACTTGAACACACGCATCCAAGACTCAGGCTGTGAAAATCAAGAGCCAAATGACTAAATAAATAAAAAAACTCCCTCTATCAAAAAGTGCACCCAGCCTTTCCTTAAATAATCCATTTCTTAGTAAGATGATTACTGACCTACATTCACATCAAGAGGAAAAACTAGACAGATGTCAAAATAAGCTGTTGGACACAATGCTAGAGCCCCTTCTCATTTTATGTTTTTTTAAATTCTCATAGTCTAAAAATGAGTATAAAACAACAATGAGGTTTAAAGTAGGAGAAAAACCTTACCTTTTATAGAGGGAAAAAAACCTTTCAGAAGTATTTCAGTCCAAATGTGAAGTAGTAGTGAAAGCAGTGAAAGTCTTCCAGTTCTGAAAATACTGAAATTGTTCAAAGAAAGGAAAAATAATCAGCTTCTCAACCAGGAGAGCTCTTGGAACTCTATTAGATCAACTTTGCAACTTTTTGCAAACTGAAGAACGGTTCCGTTTAGCATCATCCCAACAGCTGGTTTCCATGTGACGTCAGCACACGGAGGATGGTTTTAGAATCTCTTCCAATCCCCAGCCCTGTAACTTTATATCTTCTCATATTATATGTAAACAACTTTGTGTCCAGGACATTTTTAGGTTTTATAGTGGAGCCCAGTTTTTAAAACTTGCCAGAGCAGCCTGTGTAAATATTAGAGCTGTGACAATAGCCAGTTTTAGATTTCTTTTATTGAAAGGCAGTCATCTTTTTTTCTTTCTTTCTTAGAAGCATTCTTTCCCTGGAGAATTTTCAGATGCACAGATAGGATAGCAACGTTCCACCACATTTTTTTAAAAATCTACATATTTTCTCCTACTTCAAAATAATAGCTGTGGCTCAATCTTTTATTGTTTTAAAAAAGCCTTCTTTCAATAGAGAAGAGCAGTTTGAAAAATATTATCAAACTCACAGTGCCCTGCCAAAAAAGACAAAACTTTAAATGAGAACGAGAATCAAACCTAACAATCTTCCTTAATGCCTGTGTGCTGTGAACTCTGTGTGGTTGCCTTTGAAGACTATTCAGCAGCTGCAGCTGGTGTGGAATTCAGTGACCCCACCTCATGGTGGGTGGAGGGGTCACTTGGAGCAGAGAAGAACAATATTCCAAGTCTCCACTGGCTGCCTGTTGCCAAGCAGATCAGCACAATTTAAGGAGCTGGTTTAGATTCATAAGGCATGAAACAATGTGACCTCTGCATACTTCATGGCCGTTTTATAGAATTTGGTTTGAACATGCACTCCTATCATACACAGTCAAGCACTGACCTATAGTGCTTAAAAACACATACTTCATAGGAATATACAGACTACAGGAAGATCTCATAAGTCTGCGGTATGTACTTGTATTAGCAGTCTCACTGGCTTCTGTGAAGCTGTTTATTTTCTCCTACTTGATTTCCATCGCAATTGTTTACTCCAGACCTTCTGTTTTCCATTACAAATGCGTTGGTCAAACAGCAGAAGGGCATTTTCAGTGCCTGCTCTGAGGATCAAACTCCCCTTCTCTCCACCACAATACAAGTCTGTATCATTCCAGAAAGTGTTGTGTAGCATCTTTGTTAAGTAAGAATTATACTGCCCAGGATGGGTATGAAGACTTGAAAGAAAAACTTGCTTGCCTTCAGACCATGGAACCCTTTCCACATCAGCATCTACCATGGATTCCTGCTCATCTGCCGTGGAATCCCTGAGCATTGCAGCTCCCTCAACCACAGTATGAAAACCAATGTTTTAGTAGCATAACTGTAATCTGCATGTCATGATATATTATATATTTTTGTATTTAAAATTGTTATCTTCTCTGAGGTAGAGTAGTCACTCTGGTGGTCAAAAGCCATTTGAAGGAAAAAAATGTAATGTATTTGTAGCAGATGTTTTTCAGCATTCAGGAACCCACAGGAAATGATTGGCTCAAAATACTTATATTGTTGACTCATTTTTAAATGGTTATTCTCTCCCCCTCCCAACCAATTAGGTTTCAAGACACATTGTCAACTATGTAGTCCTTGGCAGTGCAGAAACACCCATTTGCTTCCATCAGATTAAAAATGTGTGTTTCATTCCATATTGAGGGGCACAGAAGAGTGTGTCTGAAGGATGTATTAAGCCTGATAAGTATGTGCTTATGACTCAGCTCTGCTATGAACTCTACTTCCCCTTGCACCAAGCATAAGAGCACATTTGTACAATGTCACCTTAAGCTTTTGGTTCAGTGTCTTAGCAAAACCGACTTGACTGTTATCAGGATTTAGGCCTACAGATGGCCCTTTGTGAGAAATAATCAGTGACCTATGAGATAAAAGGCTGGCCTTCAGCTTTTGTGCCACCACTGAGTACCAGGCAAAGGGAAAAAGCGAAGGAAGAGCAGACAGACCTACAAGAGCTTCATGAACATCAATATGACATCACAGGCCAAAGCCTGAGCATAGAGGCCACTTTTCCAACATGGTTCAGCTTGTTGCTGTTCCTTTTCATAAGTTGGGTCCTCCTAACAGAGGGTCCATGTTGTGCTCGGCCCTTAAACTCTTCCCTAACCGGCTTGTGGGCGGGGCTTGCACTGCTCCAAGCCGGTGGTGCCACAGTTATTCCAATGGCCTTTAGCCAATCAGCAGCGTGGCAAGGTTGGGGGTTGGGGGTATCTATTTGGCGGCGCGACGTAGGGACCTCCTTTTGCTTCGCGCTGCCGAACACCCGCCCACCCGCCCATTAATTAGGTCGTGTTTGGCCTTGCTTTGGACTTCGGTTGGTCACCTGTTTTTGGAATGGGGGCCAGGTAGGAATTTTTTCCAATGTGGCAGATTGGCTGTGGCAACTTGGTTTTTGCCTACCTCTTAGCAATCGTCACAACTTTGTAAGGTCTGGCGGTTAAGCATTGGTTTAGGGGAATGTGGGGAGGGGAGGTGCGGCCATCATCTGCCCCTCCAATTAATAGGGTATTCTGTTAAAGGAATCTGGGGGTCTGGATCTCGTCCGAAGCCCGGAGAGGGGCTAGGGCCATGCCAGGACCCCCAGGAACCCCAGGGGTGAGCACCAGTCAATATACACTGACGGAGATCCCCCTGCTGGTTGTTTACCCTTCCAGACTTCCTGCAGGGTGGGGCAGGAGCCAGATATAGTTTGATACCAATGCCTAAGCCAATACCAGTCACATTTGTGTATTTTCATAAAGTTGTGGCCAAAATTTGCCCATTCTGTCTCCACTGTGTCTTTATTTCCATGGGGGATGGGTTTTGGGGCTTGAAGCACAAATATTGTTTGCCCAGCCTATCTCACCTTGTCTCACACAGCATCTTTGTATTGTGCATTGTTGCCTAAATAGCACCCCCACTGACTTCGCAGAAGTTATCTCAGGCGAGGATTTGGAGCCAAACTTTGGATGCTGGCTTTATTCACTCCCCTAGGTAGATCATGCTATGCTGTGCATGCAAAATCTATGACTAAAGGTGGTGCCATAGAAGTGCAATTGTGGACAATTGTCTTGCCCTTTCTTTCCCCTCCCTTCTGGTGGTAGCTGTTCATTGCAGAGCACATTTCTCAATCACATTGCTTATGCTGACTGGAACTCCAATGGAATATGCTGAAAGGTTTGTGAGTAAATAGTTCACTCCCTTTGGTATAATCTGCCTCAGTTCCAACCTGTCAAAATGGCTTTCTCCAGGCACTGTCAGGATTTAGACAGACTGCAGAAGGTATTAAGTGGCATATTAGCAAATGGGCCAAATACACTTCCTCATAAATATTTTGGTACATTCAGTCTGATAAAACAAGAACAATGCAATTATGACAGGAAAGAGGTACATGGTAATTTCTCAGGTTCTAGCATAGTAATACAATTCCACATTAAGGCCTACTTCTCACAAACAGCAGGTGAAGAAGTAATTCTGTTACTGGACTGTTCCACTACATATTGTAGCCCTGGACATATATTGATACCAGGAAGAAATGTTCTAGTCTCATTCAAGAAATATGCATATAGAGTTACGAGGCTGAAGGCTATGAGAAAATGAAAAGAACATTCTAGCCCTGGCGCACTGTAAAACCCTTAAGTATCAAAGAAGAGGCCTTCTGGATTAGGCCAAAGGCCCATCTGTTCCAGCATCCTGTTGTCATAGTAACCAGCCAGATGCCTATGGGAAGCAGGTATGTAGGACCTGAGTGCAACAGCTGTCTCCTCATTAGTGACTCCCTGCAACTGGGATTCAGAGGCATACAGTGGTACCTCAGTTTACAAACAGTCCTGTTTATGAACTATTCAGTTTACGAACTCTGCAAAACCGAAAGTAGTGTTCTGGTTTGCGAACTTTACCTTGGTCTACAAATGGAAGCTGAACGGTGGATGGGCAGTGGGAGGCCTTATTAGAGAAAGCACACCTCGGTTTAAGAATGGATTTGGTTTAACAAGGGACTTCAGGGACGGATTAAGTTTGTAAACCAAGGTACCAATGTACTGCTTCCAAGAATGGATGTAAATCATAGCCGCAATGACTGGCAACCACTGGCAGCCTTGTCTTCTACGAATTTGTCTATCCTTCTTTAAAGTTGGTGGTTTTTGTTACACCTTGTGGGAGCCAATTCTGAAGTTTAACTGTGTTGTGTGTGAAGGAGTACCTCCCTTTGTCTGTCCTGAATCTTCCAACATTCAGCTTCATTGAGTTCTAAAATTATGAGACTGAGAAGTTTTTCTCCTGCATTTTGTTTCCCCTTGTCATTCCAGAAGCATAGTTAATTCAGTCTATTCCAAGCCTAGCAAAGGAACTGGAGTGTGATGTTCTTAAGGCCCTGCACATGTTGTAAACAACTCCTGAGGGTCATCAGCAGTTCATCTTTCTTTTCGTTATGACACATTCAGGCCCTCTTTCTGGCAAATATTTCTATATTCCAATGACTGGGTATATTTCTGCTTCACAGTGGCACCTGCTTTCTTCCCCTCTGGTTCCAAGTGTTGGTGACACATGTCACCAGATCCTTGTCTTATTATATCTGTGACCAGGAAAGAAAGAAAGAAATCTCCATGTCCTTGAAAGAGAGCTTTCAAACCACCATTTAATTTGAGAGTGGCAGAGATGGCTTGCGCAATTAGGGTGGGTGGAGGGAGAACTGTGTGACTCATCCCACATTCCTTAATTTTCAAGCTAGTCAAAGTTACTCTGCCTAAGACCTGTGAAATTCTGCACGGGGTGGCTGCTTGCATAAGCCCATTATCAGGGACATCTAGGAAGACTTGTAAGTTTGAAAGGGCTGTAGATCAGCCGTCACACACATGCTTTGTGTGCAAAAGGTCCAAGGTTCAATTCTCCTTATCTGGGCTTTGCCAAATACAAAGTGAAGCTGATGAGAGCCCAAGAAATTGGGTAGTACATGGCCTAGTGCAATTGCTCTGGTTGTCTCGCCCTAAAACCACCCAGGACGGTCTGTAATGATCGGGTTTCAGTGTGATCTTGCCCTGTTGTAAAACTGCAGCAGTTACAGTAAAGTCTGATGTTTCTTGGGTGTGAATGCACAACCCGCCCTTCAGTGCTTAATGGCATATTTATTAAAGAGGGGTGGGGAAACAGAATTACCATTTTATTGTCAGCACATTTCTGTCATTAACTTTTAAAAAAAATTATGGGTTTGTGTCATCGACTCTTAAACTGACTTTCCCCCCCTCAAGGGAATGATAAAAAGAAAAACAACAACAATCCTCTCTGGTGCAGAGAATTTATGGGATACGTTTTGTCTAGAAGGGATTCTTTTGAAAGAAGGAAAGAAACTGGTGCATTGCAAATTGCCAGAAATACAGACTGCAGAGGGACATTGCCAAGTAATCTTACTGAAAAAATAAAAATAAGAGAGAGAGACAGGATGTTTAAGTTACAGGTAGGTAGCCGTGCTGGTCTGCCATAGTCGAAACAAAATAAAAAAATTCCTTCCAGTAGCACCTTAGAGATACTTCTTCAGTATCTGAAGAAGTGTGCATGCACATGGAAGCTCATACCAATGACAAACTTAGTTGGTCTCTAAGGTGTTACTGGAAGGGATTTTTAAGGATGTTTAAGAACTCTCTTACTCAGTGATCTGTCTGATGCCAAGGCAACTAGTTGTATCTTAAGAAAATGAAGAAATAGGGTCCACACAAAAAAAGGAGAGTGAGTTGGACCAGATCATCATCACTAAAGCATATATCTAGAATTTCACAGAACTGTAGAGCTGGAATGGACCACAAGGGTTCTCTAGTCCAACCCCCTGCAATGCACGAATCTTTTGCCCAATGTGGGGCTTGAACCCACAACCCTGAGATTAAGAATATCATGCTCTACCAACTGAGCTATTCCAAAAGGGCAATGAGATTGGCAAACATTCCACTGTTTTCCCCAAAGTGGATGTTTTTAAGTGTGTGTTCATGTTAATGGAAACAGAACACCTGGGGTGATTTCCTAATATAATTCATTACCTCCCTCAAACAAAAATATGGCATATTTGGGGATGAGATGGAATTAGATGCTTGCAACCTCACTGTGGGGTAGACCTGTGCAACCGTGACCTGCCAAGCTGAACATAGCTCACTGATGTGCAAGCAAATTCAATAAGCTTCTTTTTGGTCCGGTCTGCTTAGAGCCTGGCCTCACTGTTGTGGGGGTGGGCAGGAAGAAAGCCGGCAAACTACAGCCTTCGCCTAGTGGGCTGTGTTCTTCTTGGAGGGTCACATATTGAGTATGCTTTCTGTGGAGACACAGAAACTGTAAAAACCAATTTCTGTGTCTACTCTGAAAGGCATGCTTAATTTCTACATTGATCTGCTCTCTAGATGTACTGTAACGACATGCACAGCTTATTTAGTCTTGTTTTTCCCTTGACCTTAACCCAGCAAGCTACAGTAAAGAAAAATAATGGCTAGAAGCAGAGTTGAGATATGGCCAGGAGGCTTCAGGAATACAGAAGAATATCTGATAAGTGATGAGCTGACACAAGAAGTGAAATCCTTCATCATTTTTCTATCTCACCATGGTTTTGGTCAATAAAGGCCAGATCTACATCATTATCCATGCTATTCTGACATTTGTCGCTGACATTTTATATTATCAGACTCTAAACTAAACCAAATCTACATTCACTACAAGATGTTAAGTCATTCAGTGTTCCAGGGGATTAATCCTGGACTTAGGAGCTAGACATTCAGTTCCCAAAGGATCCTGGTAGAAGCTCTGCATATAGCCACAAAGTCAGGCAAACTCCATGTAAAATCAATTTTAAATTCACAACTCTGTTCTGAAGAACACAAACTGCAGTGAGTACAATATAAGCATTGCATGGAGGGGAAACCTGCAACATTTCTACTATTGTATAGTTTACGAAATGTACTGTGAAATAGCTATTAGCTGTTTACAGCCTCATTCCCATTTCCCCCCTAAAAATAAAATAGATAAATAAAAAGAATGAAGATCTGTTTTTAACCTGCTTACCTAGCTTTTTTTTTTTTATGACCACGATCAATTCCGTTGTGGAGATGGTGTCCTCTGTGTGTCGTTGCTTCCTGTGTGACTGCATTTGGGCACCTAAGGGCTGGTTTGCCTTCTTTCAAACAAGTAGTCTTCAGTGTTTTTACAACAGTAGTGATGGCTACAGAAACTTATAGCTCTTGCACTTCTTGTCTTGGGAGGGATGGACAAAACAAAACAAACTGAAAATAATACTACAATGAATGGTAAAATGATGAAAAAAGATCTACAGCACAAAGAACAGTGTGAAAAGGAAGACAAGCTTAAATATTGTTGTGTAAGAAAGGGATGAAAATAATACAAGGATGAGAATCAGTAAAATGATAGGCTGGAACATCTGGGAAGGTACAAAGACAAGATAATGCTATATTAATGAAACAATAAACAACAAATTTCCAGAGAGTGAAAAATCAGTATCTGGAACCTAGACCTGCAAAGACACTATGCTTGGGCTGACTAGTTTTAGCAGATCAGTTTTCAAAAGATCACTTTTATCTTGGAAACCAATTCTCATCAACGGTATTCTGAAGTTGACTATATTGTCTTAGATCTGAGATTACATCAAAATTGTCTTATGAAAATGCTGCCATGCTTTTATTTGCTTTTCCTTTTGCCAGTTTGTGAAAGTTTATTTCACTTTTCTTTTCCACCCACTTGCAACGGGCAGCACTACATTCATTGCATCCATGATTTACTGATAGAGGAAAGGTTAAAACCACATCCATCCATTAAACATGAAAGTCAGGACAAATTGAAACCTTGGCAAACTGTTGATTTTTTGGGTGCACTGAGTCTAAATTTGCAACCTCCTACCATGTATATTATGTAGTATATGACCAGAGGAGCATGCATATGCATCTGTACTCCCTGACACATAATTCTAATGGATTTTTCTACCATCTCTGAAGGGGAAAATATACACATGCATTTGTCTCTCACCTCAAAAGTTTTATCTTAAGAAGGCATTGCCCCACCACATACAAGCGCATTACAGCTGATGACAGCCTGGGCCAGCCCTAATTTTAAAAACCTTCACACTTAATGCAGAAATGCACCCTGCAGCTTTGACAAAGCAGAGGAACATTGCAATACATGATTTAGATTACTAACCGTGCATTCCAATGAATTATAAGATGCAGGGGTAGGTTTCAGAAACTAGTGCATGGACTTCTGCAAGAGACTCCAAGGCAGTTCCAGCTATTTCACAAATGTGAGGCTTTTTAAAGGCCAAATTGCCACATGGGGAGGCAGTGATTTTCAGGCAATGGGGAGGAGGTAAAAGTGCATGGTGAAGAGAAAGTTAATCCTGCTCACTTGCAATCTCTTCCCTAAAAATGTTGCAACTGGAGCAATTAGGATTTTTTTTAAAAACCCTCATATTGGAGCCATTGGGGGCTTTTCCCCCCCAAGCACAACTGATCTGTGATGAGAGAAAACATAGGGAGCAAGGGATTAACCTTATCTCCCCAACTGTGACTCCCACCCCCCTTTAAAAAAGTCCCTTTGCACAGTCAGAAAGCTTAAAAAGGACTTTCATTGGTACTTGTGATTTTTTTGTTTTAAGTAGTCTATTTGTTGCACTGAGCGGTCAGGGTAAGGAGAGGCATGGCAAGTGAGGAAAGTAACTCATGGGCTGGACTGAGAGGCCGAAGGGGATCGTAGCTACAGTATGAGCTGGATGTTCCCTGCACCTGGATTACTGGATGTGGGGAGAGTCTTCTGCCAACCTCTACAATAGATTTGGCATGTCTTGTAAAGCTGAATATTTTGCTCTTGTAGCACTAGTGCTGGCTCCAGGTTGGTTTGTTAATTTTTTGTGGGGGCACAGGAAACAGCAGCAGCACTCTCACTGTGAGACCACCTTCTCCTTTTTGCAATATGGTGCTGCTGGCTCCCCCTTGCCAATACCACATGATTGCTTGCCAGGGCAGAAGCAAGCAAGCCAGCAAGCAAGCAAACAAGCAAGTAGTGGCAGCCATTCTCTTGCCCCTTTGGGGCCTGAGGGAAAGGCCAGGCAAGAAAGCCAGAGGAGCCATGGGGGGGGTCTTGGCAATGGGTCCAATGTGATTGCCAGTGCTGATGTCAGCCCCGCACAGTCTTGAGAATCCAATACAGTGGAATCTCTGTTGTTGAACGTAATCCATTCTGGAAGACTGTTCAACTTCCGAAATGTTCGACAACCGAGGCTCAATGGGCAGTCGGAAGATTCAATTGAGAAACGCGCCTCAGAAGCCGGTCGACTTCTGAGGCACGTTCAAAAGTGGAAACAATTACTTCTGGGTTTTCAGTGTTCAAAAACCAAAACGTTTGGCTTCTGAGACGCTCGAAAACTGAGGTTCCACTGTACTGTGATTGGGTTGCAGACATTAATCTGGCAAATTTACAATTAAGTCAGAGAAATGTAAAAAGAAGACTATTATATAAGAATTTCAAGAAAATGTGGCTCAAATATCCATGGCATCTTGGGCTGAATTTTTTTTTACCTGGATGGCTTAATAGGTAAAAATCTACCTGACTCACTGACAAAGGTTCATCTGTACTTCGGTCGTCCGAAGACTTTGGAACTTCTAGTCTGTCAATAAAGGTCTGGAGCTCTTTTCTGAACGCCTTCATTTGGGCATTTATCCGGTAAAGAAGTTCATGCTCCCGTATCCGACTGCCATCATCTTCATCATCCATAAGTCCAAACAGGTCCCCATTTGCCACATAAACTCTTGCCTCTGTTATTATGGTGCTTGTGTCTGAAATCAGGCGGTCTATCGTCTTGCCCAGGCGTTCTGCCTCACAGCGGATGTCCTTCATTTGCTGCCGATCGGTGAAGCTTTTCTGCCACCCTGCCGGCGTTGGGTAGAAGCTTCTAGTGGGGGTCAGGCAACGTATGTTGCGGACCTCCTCCGAGTCACTTTCCCCACCAATGGGCCCCTCACGCTTGCGGTGTGGGGGCCGGGAGTCATCATCACTTTCTTTTTTCCCTGCGTCACTTTCAGCATCGCTGTCTCTGGGGCTGCCCCGGATCCCCAGATGAGAGGCTAGATCATAGCGCTGCATGTTGGACATCAAGACTCTGTTCTCGTACTGGAGCTGCATGACTTTACCACTGAGGTCATTGATCTGCATGCGAGCAGCTTTGAGCTCTTCTTGCAGCGCATCCATCTTGACACTATCATAGTGCCTTGAACTGTCGTGAGCCCCACTCTTGTATTTGTATTTGTTCAGCTCTGTCGTGATGCGCTTGTTTTGTTCTTCTACATCAGCCAAGTTCCTCCTCAGCAATTCAGTTTCGTCCTCAACTAGCTGAAGATGCTGACGTAATTCTGAGAGGGATTCATTCTGCTCCCCCATGAGGGGGTTGGCTGCCCCTGAAAAATCATCCCCTCTTAAGTCATCCAGCTCTGCTTTCAGCCCTCTGTTTTCCACTTCCAGCTCCACTATTTTCCTTCCCAGAATATTGGCTTCTTCTTCCACCAATCTCAGACGGAGCTTGAGTTCTGATTCTCTTGTGGTAGGTGGGCCTCCTGCTTCCCCTTTGGGTAAGGGACTGTCTAGGTCACCATAAAACGACCGATACTTCTGCAGGTCATGTTCAAACCTGTCCTTTTCCTTGTCTATTTTGGCCAGCTTCTTCCTCATCAGGGCTGCTTCCTCTTTGACAAACTGCAACTGGCATTTCAGATCTTCACTGTCCTCCTTACAAAAGGAAAAGGTTATTCAACAGTTACTTCATGCGTGCAAGCCAAAACACCACTTGGCAATTCAACAAAAGAAAATACCGAAGAGTAGAACTCTGGCCCTCGAAGAACATAGTGGGTGTCTTCCCGCCCTACATTCATTTCAACAGAGGCAAGCCTCCATTTGACCCAGATTTCAATTACGAAAACATCTGTGCTGTGCCATAAGAGCAAAATCTGATGCTACATCTAAAGGAGATTCAGGAACCTTATTCATAGATAAAGCATAGATAAAATCTCCCAAACCAATTAAAAATAAAAATATTTGTGTCCGATGCATTCACACATTTTTTTATGTGTAGGGGTTTATCTACAATACATTGATCTGTTTAAGTGCCCCTGAGGAATAGCTGAGATTCTGACCAAGGGATTCTTATTCCTGGCATTATAAAATGAAGGGCAATGTTATCCTACAAGGAATAGTTTGTGACATTTATTGCCATATAATTAGTGAAATAAGTAGTGATCTATGTTTATCACTGTTATAGCCATTCAACAGTAGTCTAGGCTTTGCACTTTAGCTGTATAGATACTGAGAATTAATTATAATTAATATTTGGGCCGTGTTCTAGCAAACAAGTACCACAAAAACAGCAGCAGATTTCCTATGCGTGACGAAGGAAACACTTGCACTCATGGATCTTTGCATTCCATACCCAGTATGGTGTATTGGTTGGAGTGAAAGACTGGGAGACCGGGGTTCAAATTCTCAACCAGCCATGAAGCCCATTGGGTGACCTTGTGCCAGCTACTGGCTCTCAGCCTAACCTACCTCACTAGGTTATTGTGAAGATACAATGGGGAGGGAGAGAAGTATATATGCCAGCTTGAGCTCCTGGGAGAAAAGGTGGGGTAGAAAAGCCATAAGCTAGACCATAGAATAGGCAGGTACATTTGAGCTCACCTCGGTGGGTGTCTGCTGTGACTTCTTCTCTGATTTCTGCAGGTCCTTGCTTCCCCTTCTTTTCATGGACTGCTATAAAAGAAAGATCAGGGGCAATACATAAAGGTCAGATGTAGTCAACAGATGTATGAAAAGTGTACACAATGCAAATCCATTAAAGCATCATTTGAAACAAACAAAACTTCCAGCTATCTTTTTCATAATATTTGTGGCTCCACAATCCAGAGACATTTGCCTTGGAATAATATCAGGATAATGCCATACAAAACAATCCCATTCTGTAATTATTATTCTTAATAAATTAAATAGTCAAAGTAGTATCAGAAACAAATGATGTATTTTTTTTAAAAAAACTACCCCCTCCCCTTAAAAATCGACTTAGAAATCTTGTAGTTTAAAAGAGATCTACACGCTTTCATATCTTTTTTTACCACACCAGAGGTAGATGTGGCAATGTTAGGGTGCTGCTATACCCTGCAGTTCTGCATCGCTGAGTTGACAAATGCTGTTTACACTTTCCCAACGTGCCCTACATCTTTATGAATACTGGGGGCCAGAGCTTTGTGAAAAACATTTTATGACAAGTTAATAGCCTCTTTTACCTGTCTAATGCATAGGTTACCAAATATGAAAACCTTTTTTATCCTTCCTTTGAATATGAAGAATACCTTAGGAGTTATTTTAGTATGCAATATACTAATCTTTCAGTAGAACACCTAGCAATTTACCACTTTCCTCTATCTTCTTTTTTAAAAATCAAATGCATGTAGTTTAAGTTGCTTTTAGTATCATGTAGCTACTGAAAAACACAACAAAATAAGGCCATCTGCAACTCAATTTAGCCATAGTACTTGCATTTACATGAACTTAGGGGTATCATCCATTTTACATTATCACATTGTGGCAATTCTGGAGCAAAGGAAATATTCATCCTTGCTGGGAACATCCAGTCACACTGCAAGTTCTGGGAACAGGGCCAGCACTCTGGATGATGGCTCAGTCAGGAACTCATCTGGAAGTCTAACAAATGACCAACAGTGCCCAATCCTAGTATTGGGTGGGGTTCCTTGCAGAATGTGAGGAGGGGAAAGTCCTTCTCTTCAGGTTTACACTTTGTCTGCAATCCTAACCCCCGCCCCACTCACGGGGCTTTGCAGAGTGGCCATGGTGGAAGGTCAGGGGGTACAAGAAGATTGGGCTCAACCCCTGAGGTCTGGACCCAATCACAGGCTGAGATGGCAATTGGTATCATGGCAGCAAGACTAGCTCAGGATCCTGTGGATCCCAGGCCAGCTCAACCATGCCCCCTTCCCCAACTTCAGAATATGCCATTTGGGAACTTCCCGCTGGGCTCTGCTGGCAGGAATGCCACCTATCTGTTGGGAGGGCAGAAAGGAGAGATCAGTTCAGTCAGCAGTGCTGACACCTCCAGGCAATCCACACACACATCCAGCCTGGCGAAACACCCAATGAAATATAAGAGCTCAACTTAGTGAATACTCTAGGCATGACTAAGTCTGGATCTAACCCAACGCACATTTTGATAGAGCAAAAAGCAGAAGACTATTCTTCTTTCTCTTACCCACCCCCCTGCCACACTTGTTCCTATTCACTGCAATAATCCTTTGTTATTATTATCGGGTTGACATCTGCTGGGCAATGTGTGTTTTTCTTTCTCTTGACTGTATGTTTCCAGGCTAAGTTAATCACTATGATATTACCAGGGCAGGGAGAATGCTTAACCCATGTTAAAAGGCATAAGATTAATCTGCATGAGGTATTCTTTAAAATCCTCCCCTACACACCCTGCTCCTTCCAAATGGAAATGTTCTCAAGACATGATCTTTAGCGCTATGAAACTATCAAGAGGTCCAAGTTTCCAGCTGGTAGGAATTCTCATCTCTTAACATTTTCAGTGCAAAAAGAGGCCCTGGTGCACTGACACGGTTATAATTATTACACTGAATCATATTATCGAGGATGCAAACTGCTGATATCTATTCAAATTAAAGGTGTGGTCAAACCTCTAGCATGGTATTTTTCTGGTAACTGAGCTTCCAGGACAGTCACTATCAATCAGGCTTTAAATGAACCTAAGTCTCTCTCTATTCTAGGCAAGCAGAATGGCAGCATGTGCTCAGTGAATACCTCCTAAGCTTTATGGCCAGCCATCTGAAACCTAAAGCAGGGAAGTCATTAGAGACAAGTTTCAACTAAAATTATATCTCAGGCTTCTCTATACAACAACTATCATGGATTTAGCATTTCATTATAATTCAAGACAAGAGGAAAAAGACCCTCAAATCTAAATGGGTGGTTCAGATGTTAGTAAATAGTTCCATCTAGGGTTGGTACAGGGAACCACTGGCCCTCCAGATGTTGCTGAACTACAGCGCCCATCATCCATTGGCCATGCTTGCTAAGGCTGTATGGAAGAAGTAATATCTGATCTCACACAATTGCAGATACAGCCAACATTTCCTAGAGAGCTGCTTCATATGAGGGGATCAGTGAAACATCTGCAGCTTATGCATATTAACAGTGGGTAAGCACAGCTGTACTTGTAGAAACACTTGGTCAGCCATTAATTCCACCACAGACCCTGGATCTTTTTCAGCACCATTTGAATCAGCTGTGAATGTTTCCCAAAGGATAGAGGTTTGATGCTCCTACCAGGTGTAACTATAGTAGGCTTCTCATATATTTGGAAGAACCAACAAAAAAATAGAACAAATTTCCACCTTTATAATTTCCAAGCATGGCATATTCCCTCATACTCACTCACAAATTAGTGAGAGTCTACCAAAGTTTACCTTTGGTACATAACACCGGTCTTGAAAGACCTACATTGGCTCCCAGTACGTTTCCGAGCACAATTCAAAATGTTGGCGCTGACTTTTAAAGCCCTAAACGGCCTTGGACCAGTATACCTGAAGGAGTGTCTCCACCCCCATTGTTCAGTCCGGACACTGAGGTCCAGCGTCGAGGGCCTTCTGGCGGTTCCCTCACTGCGAGAAGTGAGGTTACAGGGAACCAGACAGAGGGCCTTCTCGGTAGTGGCTCCCGCCCTGTGGAATGCCCTCCCACCAGATGTCAAAGGAATAAACAACTATCTGATGTTTAGAAGACATCTGAAGGCAGCCCTGTTTAGGGAAGGTTTTTAATGACTGATGTTTTAATGTATTTTTAATCTCCTGTTGGAAGCCGCCCAGAGTGGCTGGGGAGACCCAACAAGATGGGCTGGGTATAAGTAATAAATTATTGTTAAATTATTATTATTATTATTATTATTATTATTACCTCCTCAGCTCTTAATAAACTCAGAGAAAATTTCAGTTTGATTTGTGAAGTCAATGGACTTCATAGATGGTAAGTTTATAGCGCAACAGGTGTGCAGCTGGTCCCTATTTCTTGGTTAGGATCCATGTGTGTCCTGCTAAGGCTGCACTTTTGCTTTAGGGATATCTCAACATTTCTAAGCTTTAAACTGCAATATGTTGCTTCTGGGAAAAAGATGCCATTAATTTCCCAGCTACAGGTGCTGCAGCTGTACAAATTGTAGCTGCATAAATAATAATGATCAGTAAGAAAATTGACCTTCCAAATGTTCTTGCTAGGTTGTGACACAAAAGCTAGTGCTCAGCCTGCAAAGGAGGGGCTTGTAGTTCATGGATATGGTATAAAATCGAGCATTGCTACTAGCCTCCAAACTCCCAGCTTTTACATCAAAGTGTGCTGGCTCTACACAGAGCTCTGCTTTAGCAAAGAGTAAGGGTGATTTTCCTTGTGTTAGCCTTTTTATTATAAATATATATATTACTAAAACAGGATTATCAAAAAAGGGGGAAAAGTAAGGAGGGATAAACATGACAAAGTCCCTAGAAGTAAAATTCATTTCCCTTCTCTGTTTAAGTCCCAACATTTTAATCTAAAAGCAGGCAGAGCACTGAAATGCCAGAGAATGATGATGACCTTTTCTTCCCATCTCAGTCTCTATAGCAGCCTTCCTCTCTCTCCCCTCTTGGGCATGTAGCCCTGGTTACTATCGCAGTTCAGGAATTCAAGCCTGCACAGCAAGATCAAGTCTGAACTGATGTTTCTCTGACACAGGCTCACAGATAACACTGTCAAACAGATTGTCTTTCAAAACACATCCATGAGAAAACAGCACAGTTCACATTGTTCACTATACTCACTTCACTGGTTACACAACAGTTTTCCTCTGGAGACTTTGATTCTATGTTAAATGGCTTAATACAAGGTACCATCTGGGATCTCTCACAACCTGCCTAGACTCAAGCCAACCCCCTAGAAAAACCAGGTGTAAGTTTCACAAGCAGGCAGACTGGGGATAACAAGTCTTGAGGATAACAAGCCCTGGAAGTGAAACCAACGAGATATTATATCCTTTTTTACTTTAATCTTCTTTGCAAGTCCCTTTGTTGCAAGCTTTTTATTTATTCGCTGTTGTGCACTTGTTGAAGCCTCATAAAAATTGCCTTGCTACTTGGAGGGCTGAAAGGGGGTGTATTTTTCTTACACTGACCCATACTTAGGTGCAACACAGTATTGTCCTTCCTATGTGTATCTGTCTGAACAGGTGATCAGGGCTACTCATCATCTCAACACAGCCCCAGAGTATCTCTGCCATGAAGATGCTGCAGGCTCAAAAGTTCCTGCTTGTTGAGATAATCTTTTTTCAGTTTCATCTGATTATCTGAGATTCTTTAAATGAAGATGCTGGGGATTGATCAGGCTAATGATACATTATATGCAAATATCTGAAACAGAAAGAAAGGAAAACGGGGGAAAGCAGCTTGGTAGAGCACAGTTTGTTGTGGAGAAGAAGGAAGAGGAGAAGATATATGCAACCCCTTTGTGTTCCACTTTTGCTCTCATGTTTAGAGGTGTTTAGGTGAATATGTACCTATATTTCTCCAAACAATCCAGCTGGGCTTTGAGATCAGTTGGTGAGGACCTTTTGAAGGTACCACAATTGACAGAGAAAGAAAAATAGTCAATGACTCTGCAGACAGGGCCTTCTCTGCATTAGCAGATGTGGAATTCTAGCCCCATCAACTTTGGTCGCCTCCTGATCTGTTCAGTTCCAGTGACAAATGAAAACTCCCCCACCTCCTGCAGCCCTTTGGGTATTAATATGTCCAGATCGAAGGCCTATAATACATTTTTTAAAACCAGAATCTATAAAAAGTATTCATTTTATCTGTTTATACTTATTTGTTGCAACCTGCTCCAAGATCATACATGATGTGGGGTAGGCTATAAATCTTATATATAATAAAACAGAATACAATATGTGCATAGAACATGGGAAAGAGAGAATGGTAGGAGAGGTAATTTGAAGTGCCACAGCAGCCAGCAGGGAAATAGTTAAGCACCCCACCATCACTTTTCACTTCAAAACCCTTCCCAATGCTGCTTTTCTTAAAAACACATAAACAGCCTGTTATGTGCATTTCCATAAAACATATAATTAGGCCCTTCCATGTGCAAGGAATACAATATATTGCTGAGCTATGTACAAAAGTATTTCTTCTCTTCTAAGGCCCTGAAATATGTTGGCAAGTCTTGCAGGGATCTGTGATGCCAGGATTCTTTTGCACGCTGACTCCCATCCCTCACATATACCATGGAAATGATTTTTTTTAAAAAAACCAAACCCTGCAATGTCATTAGCAGCTATACAAGCAGAAAAAACCAGAAAACTATTCATGATTTTGAGCAGTTCTTAGCAATTAAATAGAATTTTGGATACTACATTTTAAACAGGGTAAAACATACATCTCTGGATCCCGCTTAAATAATTGATCATTATGGGTTGTATCCATCTAAGTTTTACTCAGGGTAGACCTAATGGGCCTAAGTTTGTGGTGTTCATTAATTTGAATGAGCCTACTTGAGTAGGACTAAGGGACACAGGTGGCGCTGTGAGTTAAACCACAGAGCCTAGGGCTTGCCGATCAGAAGGTCAGCGGTTCAAATCCCCACAATGGGGTGAGCTCCCGTTGCTCGGTCCCTGCTCCTGCCAACCTAGCAGTTTGGAAGCACGTCAAAGTGCAAGTAGATAAATAGGTACCGCTCCGGCAGGAAGGTAAACAGCGTTTCTGTACGCTGCTCTGATACGCCAGAAGCAGATTAGTCATGCTGGCCACATGACCCGGAAGCTGTACGCCGGCTCCCTCGGCCAATAAAGCGAGATGGGCGCCACAACCCCAGAGTCATCTGCGACTGGACCTAATGGCCAGGGGTCCCTTTACCTTTACTTGAGTGGGACTAGCATTGGATACAACTCACTGTTGGCCAGCCTTACAATTATTCCACTCCTGATCACAAGAGAAAAGAATAATGTCAAACCAACTACTTGGGTGTTATGCCACTCAGATGTTCCCTCTAACCCCCCATATGCTTGAGAAGGAAGTCCCATGAAGTTACCTACAAGTAAGAAAGCTGTATAACAAATGCATAACACCCCAAGAGATGAAGTCATATTCTTCCTCTTATTATGGAACCTCATGGGGTCTGTCGTTCTGAATGAGGGTGTTAACAAGGGTGATTCCTCCAGCACCAAGGGGGCAGCTTATCTGCAACAACATCCCTTGTTCCCAAAACGGTATTACAATATTAAGCATTCTCCAAAAGCCCAAGCTGAGATCCATTGCACACACTTTCTAATCCACCCAGGATGCCCATGGCTGGTTTCTCACTGAAACATGACAGGAATATATGAAGAAGCTGCTTTATTCAGAGTCAGACTGCTGGCTCATCTAGCTCAGTATTGTCTTTACTGAGAAGTGGCTCTCCCAAGATTTCAGAAAGGGGGGTTTTCATAGCTCTATATGGAGATGTCAGAGGTAGAAACTTGGAACATCTGTGTGCAAGGCATGTCAACTGTAGGTCTTACTGCCATCAACTTCATCATCATACCCAAACATATTATGGAAATGACTTTTTCCATATTCTGTCACAGAAAAACAAAAACTGAGAATTCAGTTACTTCCCCCGCCCCCTCAGGGGATTGCTAGTCTCAAGGTAAAACTTTGATTTTAATTTTCTGTGTGTGTTGTAGTCCGAGCATTGTTTACCTGTTAACACTCATAGGCTACCTGTTGACACTGCTATCAAGAGAGGTGCAAACAGATCCATTGACTATTCACCAGTTTTGTGCCAATAACTTAACTGAAGCAGATGAACTGGTAAGCAAAAAGAGCTAAACACTCTGCCATTTCGTTGGTATTATCAAAATCCAACAACTGTGATTCAATGGCAAGTTAATGAGCAATCAAGAGAAGACTGAAATCCCCCCAAATCAGGATTCTCAATACTATTCATGATTTTTAAATACATCAAGGATAGTAATTTCCCCCCTCCCCATAACACCCATTTATGTCTTGACTATTCCAGGTGAGAAATTTAGTGTTTGAGCCTGTCTCTTAAATTTCACAAAACATAACTGAATCACCATAACAAAGATAACAGCCAAAGAAATAGATCTCTGGTGAAATATGAATCCCATGTGGGAATTGTCAGAGCAAATGCTGAAGCAAATAATGCAAGAAAGATATTCAGGAGTTTTATCCTGGCAGAAGCAAGTCAACTACAGTCATTCGTTACTGTATGATCCACATCTAAAGAGGCAAACTGCTATTCAAAGGCTGGATTTCATGACTCACAGCGAAAGCAACATGCGGTTTCTTATTCAGTAAAACAGCAACTACATGCAAAACCGGCTTGAAACCTCTTCATGTTTCAAACACTGTGGACATTTTATTGCAGTTTGAATGAAATGCAGTAACTCAACAACTAAACCAACAGAAATGAGTTCACTTGCATGACAGACATCTCTCTCACAAAATGAAGAACTAGAAAAGATTGGACATTCAAAAGAAGCAGGATAGCAAAACTGGGCTGCAGCTGTACTCTGTATGCAGGTTGCCTCTTTCCATTAAGCACACTGACTGCTATTTAAACAGTTACAAAATTCAGGGTGGAGCAAAAACTTGCCATATTCCCCAATTCCCCAAAGAAAGGGGTGAGTACTGACCTCTTTCATCTTGTCAAATTCATTCTGCAGAGCCTGCTTAGCGATCTCTACTTCGATTAGCTTCTGTCTTAGCTTGTCATTTTCATCTTCTGTGGTGGTACGTTTTTCTTCCACATTTTCCAGCTCATGGTGAAGTCTCACCGAAACATCCTTCGCAACCTAAATGCAACAGTATTTAAAACTTTAAATAAGCAGAAATTTATAGCAGAACTATGTTATATGAGTAGTCTGCCAACAAAAACTGAGTTGGTGTAGATAATTCTGAAGCTAGAGTAGCATTCTGACCAGTTAGGAGGTATATTTCCACTAAATATTTCTAATGGTAAGAGTTGTATGACAGTGGAACAAATTGTATCACCGGGTGGTGGGATCTCCTGAGTATTTAAGCAGAGGCTGAGCAATTGTCTGTCAGGTTTGTTGTAGTTGCATCCTGCACTGCAGATCCTGCATTGAGTCTGGGGTTCAACCACATTCCCTCTAGATTCTCTTCCAATTCTATTAGTTACATAGAAGTATAGAATTGCAGAGTTGGAAGGGACCACAAGGTTCAATTCCATTAGAAGTTGAATAAATTACTCTCCCCACCAAAGAGCCTAATTGGGGCTTAGTTCATGCAGTCCAATGTACTCCTGATTATTACATGGCTAAGAAGTGACTGGAACTCCCACATCAAATACCATCTCTCTCCATTAGAAGACTAGACACAGCCCAACCAAAAGCTTTATTTGAACCTGGGAGTCTTAGTTACATTTTCTCAGTAGAAAAATCTTGACACTAACATGAAAACTGGGGCTGTACCCCTTGGTTGATGAATCCAGTAATGCTTTAGAAATCAAGGTTACAAATTTTAATTGGGCAAGAAAAAAATTTAACTGGTATGTCTGAGTAGGGCACAAATTGTTTTAAAGATGTGTGGCTTTTGTATGCCACTGTAAAAGTGAATTCAATGAAAAATACTTAAGAAGCCTTTTACTTCTAACAATGAGTGATTGTTCATAGAATTGTAATTCATCTGTTTTGCAAATTTACAGGCTTTGTCACTTTACACATTTATGTGGATTTTACTCACATCTTATCTTCATACCTTGAAAGATCAGGTTACGTTAACGGATATGAAGATAAACTGAAGATATGACAAAAAACTGAATATATTACAAAACAGTACATGTGATGCTTTAAAATTGTAAAAACAAGCAGATAAGGAACTATTAGAGATCTTGGTGTAGACTTGGTATAACAACCATTAAAAGTAAAAATCTGTAAGATTCAATTTTATCTGTTGGTACACAGCTCTATCTATTAACATTCAACTAGCCTTTTTAACATTTTGTTGAGCATGCTATTATATTTACAGTTTGATATCTTTTCAAAAGCAATGATCACTTTCAATAGCCTTTTCCCCCAAACAAGCCTACATAAGATTGTGGCTTTAATCTTAGTTTCCCCTAGTTACAGCAAGTCAAAGGAAAAATGATTGGCTGGAAACAACCCAGAAACCTGCTATTTACCAGAAAGCAGCAGGAGAGAATGACTCACTCGTTCTTATGGGAAACATAATTGTCTATGAAATACAGTTAATTAGAATACAGACTGTCTTTCAATCTAGGGATGAGAAAAGGTAGAAAACATACCACTGAAAATTTTAATATGGAAAGAGAATACAAATTTGGCTAACTAGTCATAATGTAGGAGGAAAAGATCTAGGCCTCTAACGTAATTATATTATGTTGCGGTTTCTTTAAATCAAATCTGATTGCATCATCAAGGTTTGCATCACAAATTTGTGAGATATATTGTAGTGTATCAACTACAAGGTTGGACCCTTTTGTCTTCAAGACACATTTGTCTATTCAAATGGCCTCTGTGGAGCCTTGGGTAGCTTTATACAAAGGTCAATGAAACAACTGTCAATGCAACAAAGCAACTTCTTAGCCTAAGTGTTCTTCCCCTCACCAGCTCCCTCCACCATTTGCCAATTTCTGACCCCATGGTACCTTTAGGTCTTGCTCCAAGCTACGTAGAAGTTCTCCATCAATCTCCCCAGTTTGTGCATAGCGGAGCCTCTTGCGCTCTGCTTTTCGAAGGCGATACTGGAGGATCCTGCAATTTTATTGGCCCTCTCCAATTCATGGCGCATTTCCTGCAGTTGGCAGGCATCCTCTTCGAAGAAGCTGTCCCTCATCTCATCCATCTCAGTCCTTAGCTCGTCTATCTCATTCTGACACCCATTCAGACAGGACAGACAGAAATCCACCATATAAGGTTAGTTCACATAAATTAAAGTAATAAATAAATAAAAATTAAAGTAACCTTTAGTGCTATTACTAAAAGAAATAACAAACAGCACCTTCGGGTAATCTACGCATATTTTAGACAGATGTATCCATTGCTATCTTATGCCTGCCCCCATAATAGCTCTCATATGCCAACATGTATTACTTATGATTAATAAATCATAAGTAAATGGTACTTATCCAGTGTAGGCATAAGTAAACAGAGCTGTATCTACCACTAGATACTCAGTTGACTTACTAAAATGTAATGGCCCTAATATAGCCAATTCCATTCATTTCAATGGGTTTACTCTGAGTATGACTAACATTGGTTACAACCCATAGTCTCCCCATTATTTGCACTTATCAGCTCTACAATGGCAAAGCAAGAGGCATGTTGGTCTTACCCATCTTATCACCACAAAGTCATTCCTGATATGTATGTAACTCCTGAATATTTATCTACTAACTGTAAAGTGTAACTGTAATCTTAAGGAGACCTAGCACGCAATCCCTTCCCTAACAGGTGAAACAAATGGTAGCAGGAAAGAGCCATCTGATCTGAAAAGAATAATTACTTTAAACATTTCCCTTAAGACATGTAAAGAAGATGCATTTGCACATGGCAAAATTTGGACTGCTTCACACATGAGACGGGAAGAATGAACATGGATGCTCATGGTTTGGCATGTCAGCCATAGATGCTTTGTAGGGTCTGGCTAGGAAACTGCTATATTCTGACTGCTATTCCAAAAAGCTGAATTTATCAAATGCATACAATCCAATGTTTGATCAGGGGTAGCACAGGAGGAGAACCAGAGCTTCCCTCTCAGGAATGCAGCAGAATATAAACATTTTCCTGGAATGTAGCAGCTGCTCATATTTGTGTCAAAATATGTCTCCTCCCCATTTTGTGTCTCCTCCCCATTTTGAAACCAGAAGGTTTAGCATCTATTGATCTATTGCTTTGTCTTCTACAAGTGGGGTTCTCCAGTTGAATTCCCCACTCTGGGCTGGCCTACACTCCCCCTTTCTGCTCACCTTGAGAGTCTCATTCTCCTCCAGCAGTTTCTCCATCTCTTCCTGCAGCTCCTGCTGCTGCTGAGGGTTGAGGCTCAAGGCGCCTTCGGCGGCTCGGCTGCGCCCATTGCCCTCTTCCGCCCCAGCCAGCGCCATTGGCGACGGGGTCGACGAGGCAGGCTGAGGCTGCTTGGCGGCCGCGTTTTCGCCGTTCCCCGGGCTGCTGCCTTTGCTTTGCATCTGGGCCGCTGCCAGCCCCTTCCTGAGGTGGAACTGGATGAGCTCACTTTGCAGGCATCCTTCTTTCCAGTAGCCGCCGCCCTTTGCTGCTGCCGCGCAAGAGGCCGGAGGAGCCGGGGCTGCGTCCCCTCCGCCCTTCGGTAGAGGCCTGCCCGCTTTGCCTCGGCTCCAGCTCTTGGGTGGCGGCTGTGAGAGCGCGAAGGGGCCCTCCCTCTCCCCCTCCTCTCCAGCCGGCGTCTGCGGCTGCTCTTCAGCTCCGAGAGAGGCAAGCTCGGGGTCTCTGGGAGGCGCCTCCCGCTTGTCAGCCGCAGGCCTCGGCGCTGCCTTCGGGCAACCTCCTGCCGGGACCAGGGGCGTGGCAGCTTGAACTTCAGCACCATCCCCGGCCTGGACAGCTCCCAGCGGCGCCGCGCTCCTCGCTAGCGCAGGCTGTGCGGACGCCTTGTCCCCTCCCACTCCGCCTCCCTTCGCCCGGCCCGCTTTCTGCCCGGGCGGCGGCGGCTGCTGCTGCGGTGGCGGCGGCGGCTGCCGGGCGGAGCTTGCTTTGGAGGCAGCGGCTGCAGCAGCCGTCGCGGAGCGGGGTGAGCTAGCAGCCGGGGAGGGCTGGCGGACGGGGGAATCCTTGGGTCTGCCTGGAGAGGATGCTCGCTGCTGCTGCTGCTGCTGCTGCTGCTGCTTGTTTCGGCTGCTGCTCCCCTCTGGATGCAGGCGAGGAGAGGCGGTAGCAGCAGCGCCTCCGCTAGGCGGCTGGCTCATGGCTGATGCTATCTCCCAGGCGTCGCAGAAAGGTCCGGCCCCGCAAGGGTCATCGTCCCTCCCTAGCTGCCCTTCGAGCTGGGGAAAGAGGCACACACAGAGCGCTCGTAAATGACTCAGCAGCCCATCACCAAGCCGGCCTGCTCGCCACAATGGGAACCGTGTGCCTCCAAGAAATAGGGCGGAGTTGGAAGCGGCGCCACGAGGTTTGCGAAAAGTCCCAGGCGCAAAAGTATCGCGCTCTCCTCCAAGGCAGAGTCGTCACCTGGGGGGTTGCTTTGAGAGCACTCCAGCTTTGCAGAAAAAACATTTGCTATTCCGGGAAGGGGAGCCTTTTCTACTGCTGATTTTCTGGTTCCAAACGCTCAAAATCACCTCATCCGGAGTATTCCTCAAATAATTAGTTCATCTAATCACTTGCTCCTAAGTACTTCTAGAGGGCAGTGGGGCTGGTTCCATATAGCCGCTTTAAAATGGGTCATCCAGCCTTTCCCATCCCAAATTCCATGCTTACTTTTACTGCACTTTGTGCTAGTTAACCCACAACTCTGCAAAAGGGGTAATGAAAGGTTCTGGGTAGCCTACTATCTTACTAGTACACTATCAAACTATACAAACAAGCTGGGGAGCCGTTCACTGGGTGAGCTTTGGCCTTGTTCTGATTGGCTGACACAAGTTTGTGTGCCCATTCAATGCTGAACAACAGGTCTTGTAGACCCCACCATTATTTCACTTTATAGTTGATATTCCCTTTAACCTGAGCCCCAATAATAAATGTGGGTATCTATGGCTGCAATCCTATACACACTTGCCTAAGAAGAAGACATGGACCAGATTTCACTGCATGTTTGTTCACATTCATCCCTGTCTAACCCTCTCTTCCTCCCCTCCCTCACTGTCGTCCTTGCAAATTTAAATTGCAGGCCACTTCCTTTGTAGCTTCTGTATTATTCCAGGTACGTTGATGGTAAATAATAATAAGGGAACAGTCAGAAACAATAAGATGCAGAACTACTGCTGAAGCCACACAAGGTTTGAATCTGTACATGGGAGCCAACCCATCCAAAATATACTCTTGACTTCTTCAAAAGAAGAAATAGTTCAGCCCTGTATACCTGAAGGAGTGTCTCCCTCCCATTGTTCGGCCCGCTGTTCAACACTGAGATCCAACGAGGTTACAGGGAACCAGGCATAGGGCCTTCACAGTAGTTGCATCCACCCTGTGGAACGCCCTTCCATCAGATATCAAGGAAATAAACAACTACCAGTATTTGACTTTTAGAAGACATCTGAAGGCAGCTTTGTATTGGGAAGTTTCTAATGTTTGATGTTTTACTGTGGTTCTTTAATTTGCTGGAACCTGCCCAGAGTGGCTGGGGCAACCCAGTCAGACGGGCGGGATATAATTATTATTATAATACTATAATTATTATTGAGAACCTCTGGACTTGGAACTCAAAACCAGGATCTCCAAGGTGAGAATGAAAACATGTTCCAAGTTACAACTAAAACATACTTATAATCATGTAAAACAAATCTAGTTATTCAGTAAAGCACTTTAATTTCTTCCTCCGCCACTCTATCCAACCCAGCAAACACTTTTGTATTTCTTTTTTGTTCCCTAAGTGTAGGGAATTTTATTAGAATTGCTGAACTTCCCTTCTGACTTCCAGCTCTGTCCATTCAAATGCTAAAGATTATTTTTATACAAAGGATGTTTTTAGCTGAAAGACAGACACTTTTGTTTTTCTAATCTACATTTTTAAATGGAAAGAATGGGCAAAATATATAGTAGAATGGTAGATCTCAAAGTTATTCTTAATCCAGAAAAGTATAACCTCAATATGCAATATTAATCTCAGCACCTTATGACAATTATGACAAACTGAGGATAATATATATGTGCATGAAGAGAGAGGGTGACCAAGAAAGTTTTACATGAGACGATGAAATAAACAAGGTCTGTTGCCAGATTTTAGCAGTCTATAAAGTTATATGCCAGAAAAACACTATCTAATTATTTGTTTAGGTGCCAATGCTGCAGATTCTTATTTTAGATGAAGTACTTAAAAGAAGTGAAACATTATTAATTTATTATAATGCAGGCAACTACAATATATCAAATGGGAGAAGATCAGTCCACCACCCGCATTTTATTAGTGTGAATAAAATAAAATAACCACCTTCTGAATTCTAGAATTCCCAAGTGTAGATGGGATTGCAGCCTAAATTAGTAAATGTTTTACATATATCTATTACTATTGTCACCTCCAGATTCTATTACCCTAAAGTCTTCAGGTTACCAAATGTTAGCAATTATTTGAAATCTCTGTTTCTCAAACACTTCATCTTCAATCTGAAATTCAAATTGGTTTTACTGAATGAAACTTCAGGTTCTCAAAACAAAGCAAAAGCCAAAACACTACACAATAACCTATATACCTATAGGGATATATACAGTCCTTCACATTAACAACCTCCTCCCACCTCCAAGTTGCATTGCAGCAGAGTCATCACTTTTACCAAGGACATCCTTTGACCTCCTTCAAGTCTTCAATTGCAGCAGCGGTTGATAACCTCTCTATACAAACTTCATAACTCATTTTAAAAATAAAATAAATAAAGTTACAATCAAAACCAAGAATCTCCCCCCCCCCCACCCTAGATCTCTGGGACATCGTCACGTGGTTATCAGAGAGGTGACAGAATGTTGCACCTCTGCAGATTTCCATGTTAAAGCAAGGGGTGGGGGGAGAGGAAGAGAGAGAAACAAAGAAGGAATTCCATACTTCACCATTTAGCACAGACTACCTTGAAAACAGCCAGCTGCTCAGAGGCGGCTCTATTTGTTCACTTATCTCCACGCCCCGCCGCCCCCCAGCAACGGTCTATTTCCAGTGTGTCGAGATTTCGAAGCTCTTTTGAACTTTTATCCAGGTTTCAGCAGGCGGAGAGTTTGCACGCGCGCTCTCTACAAAGGATCAAGGTCTTTGTTAAGTTGCCCTGCTGTGCGATTGCCCTTTTTCTTTGCGAACAATGGCTCCCGCCGGCATCAGCGTTACTTACCCCCCACTTGGTGTCCTCTTAGGCTGGCTAAACTGCACACGCCCACGGATGCACGAGGTACCAAGCGGAGCCAGAGCTGCTCGGGGTAATGCAGCAATATTCATGAGCTGACCTCATTGGGCCCCGGAAAGGGAGAGCGGGTGGGGGGTGGGGAGCGGCGGGAAGGAGGGAGGGAGGGGAGAGAGAGAGAGAAGAAAGATCTAAAGAGACGAGCCACGCCCGGGCAGGCCTCAGGGCTCCATTGCACCTCGTATTATCGGCACGGGGTAGAATTGGATTACAGCTCTCCGAGTAGGAAGGAGGCAAAAGACATGGGAAGTTTCCTTCGCAATTCAGTCCAGAGAAACAGTCGATTCTGATCAAATATTTATTCTTCTTTGAAGTCCGGATGTGCGGAGTGCACAGTGATGTCAGGCGCTTTTTGATGTTGCAGCAGCATCAGCATAATGACAACTGGGCTCTCCTTTGTTCTTTGGCTCCAGTGGCTGTTTGACTTGCATTTCAGTCAGTCTCAAGGAATCGGAGACAAAGACAGACTATAACCATGTTGCTCCGCTGCCTGTGGCTTCACTTACTCTGGATTCTCTTTTGTGAAAACTTAAAAGGCTGACTATCACGAGTAAAGGCCTAATACCGTTTACCAAACGTGGTTTTAATTACTTGGTGGAAATTTACATTGAATTCTCTTGTAGTTTCAAAACTATGTATGCACGTGTTATGGTTCAGAGATAGTTCTTTCTTTAAAGCTGATAAAATCCTCTAAAATATGGATTGTCTGTTTCTTGTCTCTTGATTTACCAATAGTAAATCCTGCATATTCTGTACAACACAATTTTCTTCTATCTATTGTGTAATCCTTATACATCTTCAAAAAAAGAAAAGAAAAGAAAAGAAAAGAAAAGAAGAATAGTGCTGAATGTGGCTGGGCCAAACTTCACTGCATAAAGTTTTGTCTATTTTTGTGTAGTGCCATCAGTGGACAGTAAACTCCAGTTCACACAAATGTAAGCAGGTACCTGATAGTTTAGGATTAGAGGACTAAAATCTGAGCCAGTGTGGTGTAGTGGTTCAGAGTGGAGGACTTGTAATCTGGTGAACCGGGTTCGCGTCTCCGCTCCTCCACATGCAGCTGCTGGGTGACCTTGGGCTTGTCACACTTCTCTGAAGTCTCTCAGCCTCACTCACCTCACAGAGTGTTTGTTGTGGGGGAGGAAGGGAAAGGAGAATGTTAGCCGCTTTGAGACTCCTTAGGGTAGTTATAAAGCGGGATATCAAATCCAAATTCTTCTTCTTCTTCTTCTTCTTCTTCTTCTTCTTCTTCTTCTTCTTCTTCTGTCTGGTGAATCAAACTGGTAGGTGTTAAGATTGTCAACCTGATGAGGAATTTCACTTTGGGTGATCTTTGGCTTGGGTAGTAGATGGTCATATGGAACAAAGGAACACAAAAGAGAAAGGGCTTTTGCATTTTGTTTAAGGGGTTTAAGTCGCGGATAGTGTTACGCTTTTTACTTGTATGAATGGAACCTCCAGCCTTGGGCCAGTTCATGCAAGAATGGAGGTTTTGACCTTACACATTTGATTAACAATTTGTTTATGCCTGTTTTCCAATAATTATTGGAGTACACTGATACCTCGGGTTAAGAACTTAATTCGTTCTGGAGGTCCGTTCTTAACCCGAAACTGTTCTTAACCTGAGGTACTACTTTAGCTAATGGGGCCTCCCGCTGCCACCGTCCCGCAATTTCTGTTCTCATCCTGAAGCAAAGTTCTTAACCCGAGGTACTATTTCTGTGTTAGTGGAGACTGTAACCTGAAGCGTCTGTAGCCTGAAGCATCTGTAACCTGAGGTACCACTGTACTTGATATATGGAGCAGTTAACAGGGCCATAGCTAACAGGGGCTAGCTGGGGTCTCAGCCCTGGGTGAAGCCTCTA